GAATCCACGCTTCAAGATTGTTTTGATCATGCGGACTGGGATATGTTCCGTGTAGCTTCCGAAAATAATTTAAACATATACACTGAAACGGTGACAGAGTTTATCAGGAAGGTGATAGGTGATGTTGTGCCCACTGTGACTATTAAAACCTACCCTAACCAGAAACCGTGGATAGACTGCAGCATTCGCGCAAATCTGAAAGCACGAACAACCACATTCAACCATGGCAAGGTGACTGGGAATATGGCAGTATACAAACAGTGTAGCTACTCACTCCGCAAGGCAATTAAACTGGCAAAACATCAGTATAGAGACAAAGTGGAGTCGCAATTCAACGGCTCAGACACGAGACGTACAGTGGGGAAAAAAAGTATTTAGTCAGCCACCAATTGTGCAAGTTCTCCCACTTAAAAAGATGAGAGAGGCCTGTAATTTTCATCATAGGTACACGTCAACTATGACAGACAAATTGAGAAAAGAAAATCCAGAAAATCACATTGTAGGATTTTTTATGAATTTATTTGCAAATTATGGTGGAAAATAAGTATTTGGTCACATACAAACAAGCAAGATTTCTGGCTCTCACAGACCTGTAACTTCTTCTTTAAGAGGCTCCTCTGTCCTCCACTCGTTACCTGTATTAATGGCACCTGTTTGAACTTGTTATCAGTATAAAAGACACCTGTCCACAACCTCAAACAGTCACACTCCAAACTCCACTATGGCCAAGACCAAAGAGCTGTCAAAGGACACCAGAAACAAAATTGTAGACCTGTACCAGGCTGGGAAGACTGAATCTGAAATAGGTAAGCAGCTTGGTTTGAAGAAATCAACTGTGGGAGCAATTATTAGGAAATGGAAGACATACAAGACCACTGATAATCTCCCTCGATCTGGGGCTCCACGCAAGATCTCACCCCGTGGGGTCAAAATGATCACAAGAACGGTGAGCAAAAATCCCAGAACCACACGGGGGGACCTAGTGAATGACCTGCAGAGAGCTGGGACCAAAGTAACAAAGCCTACCATCAGTAACACACTACGCCGCCAGGGACTCAAATCCTGCAGTGCTAGACGTGTCCCCCTGCTTAAGCCAGTACATGTCCAGGCCCGTCTGAAGTTTGCTAGAGTGCATCCAGAAGAGGATTGGGAGAATGCCATATGGTCAGATGAAACCAAAATAGAACTTTTTGGTAAAAACTCAACTCGTCGTGTTTGGAGGACAAAGAATGCTGAGTTGCATCCAAAGAACACCATACCTACTGTGAAGCATGGGAGTGAAAACATCATACTTTGGGGCTGTTTTTCTGCAAAGGGACCAGGACGACTGATCCGTGTAAAGGAAAGAATGAATGGGGCCATGTATCGTGAGATTTTGAGTGAAAACCTCCTTCCATCAGCAAGGGCATTGAAGATGAAACGTGGCTGGGTCTTTCAGCATGACAATGATCCCAAACACATCTCCCGGGCAACGAGGGAGTGGCTTCGTAAGAAGCATTTCAAGGTCCTGGAGTCTCCAGATCTCAACCCCATAGAAAATCTTTGGAGGGAGTTGAAAGTCCTTGTTGCCCAGCGACAGCCCCAAAACATCACTGCTCTAGAGGAGATCTGCATGGAGGAATGGGCCAAAATACCAGCAACAGTGTGTGGAAACCTTGTGAAGACTTACAGAAAACGTTTGACCTGTGTCATTGCCAACAAAGGGTATATAACAAAGTATTGAGAAACTTTTGTTATTGACCAAATACTTATTTTCCACCATAATTTGCAAATAAATTCATTAAAAATCCTACAATGTGATTTTCTGGATTTTTTTTCCTCATTTTGTCTGTCATAGTTGACGTGTACCTATGATGAAAATTACAGGCCTCTCTCATCTTTTTAAGTGGGAGAACTTGCACAATTGGTGGCTGACTAAATACTTTTTTTCCCCACTGTATGTGGCAGGGTCTACAGACAATCACGGACTACAAAAAGAAAACCAGCCACGTCGCCGACACGACGTCTCACTTCCAGACAACTAAACACCTTCTTCGCCCACTTTGAGGATAACACAGTGCCACTGACGAGGCCCACTACCAAGGACTGTGGCCGACGTGATTAAGATATTTAAGCATGTTAACCCCCGCAAGGCTGCCGGCCCAGACGGCATCCCTAGCCGAATCCTCAGAGCATTCACAGACCAGCTGGCTGGTGTGTTCATGGACATATTCAATATCTCCCTTTCCCAGTCTGCTGTTCCCACATGCTTCAAGATGGCCACCATTGTTCCTGTACCCAAGAAAGCAAAGGTAACTGAACTAAATGACTATCGCCCTGTAGCACTCACCTCTGTCATCATGAAGTGCTTTGAGAGACTAGTCAAGGATCATATCACCTCTACCTTACCTGTCACCCTAGACATTTTACATTTTACATTTTAGTCATTTAGCAGACGGTCTTATCCAGAGCGACTTAGTTAGTGCATACTTTGTTTTGTTTTTTTTTTACAAAAAAAATTCATAGACCCACTTCAATTTGCTTACCGCCCCAATAGATCCACAGACGATGCAATTGTCATCACACTGCACACTGCCCTATCCCATCTGGACAAGAGGAATACCTATGTAAGAATGCTGTTCATTGACTATAGCTCAGCATTCAACACCATAGTACCCTCCAAGCTCATCATTAAGCTTGAGGCCCTGGGTCTGAACCCCGCCCTGTGCAACTGGGTCCTGGACTTCCTGACGGTCCACCCCCAGGTGGTGAAGGTAGGAAACAACATCTCCACTTCGCTGATCCTCAACACTTGGGCCCCACAAGGGTGCGTGCTCAGCCCCCTCCTGTACTCTCTGTTCATCCATGACTGCGTGGCCAAGCACGCCTCCAACTCAATCAGCAAGTTTGCAGACGACACAACAGTAGTAGGCTTGATGGTGCACCCCCCTATCCACATCGACGGGACCGCAGTGGAGAAGGTGGAAAGCTTCAAGTTCCTTGGCGTACACATCACCGACAAACTGAAATGGTCCACCCACGCAGACAGTGTAGTGAAGAAGGCGCAACAGAGCCTCTTCAACCTCATGAGGCTGAAGAAATGTGGCTTATCACCTAAAACCCTCACAAGCTTTTACAGATGCACAATTGAGAGCATCCTGTCTGGCTGTATCACCGCCTGGTACGGCAACTGCACCGCCCACAACCGCAGGGCTCTCCAGAGGGTGGTGCGGTCTGCCGAACGCATTACCGGGGGCAAACTACCCGCCCTCCAAGACACATACAGCACCCGATGTCACAGGAAGGCCAAAAAGATCATCAAGGATATCAACCACCCGAGCCACTGCCTGTTCACCCTGCTATCATCCAGAAGGCGAGGTCAGAACAGGTGCATCAAAGCTGGGACAGAGAGAATGAAAAACAGCTTCTATCTCAAGGCCATCAGACTGTTAAATAGCCATCACTAGCACATTAGAGGCTGCTGCTGCCTATTGAACTCACTGGCCACTTTAAGAAATGGAACACTAGTCACTTTAATAATGTTTACATATCTTGCACTACTCATCTCATATGTATATACTGCATTCTATTCTATAATATTATTCTGTATCTTAGTCCATGCCGCTCTGTCATTGCTTGTCCATATATGTATTTATTCTTAAATCCCATTCCTTACTTTTTTGTGTGTATTGGGTATATGTTGTGAAATTGTTAGATGTTAGAGTGTGTGTGGGGCCTCCACTCAGTCCACTTCAGTTTCTCGGTGGACCCACATTCACCAGTAGACCCCCACCAGCCACTATACAATTTAATTCACTAGGTAATACAAACTGACTACAGTACTTAAGTGGCAGTCTTCCTCCAATGTATGTACGATGACATAATTCACAGTCTTTTGGTACATTAGGAGAGGAGTTGGCGCTTAAAAGCCCTAAAAAGGCATAGCGCCTCAAAGTACAGAGAAGTACTTTGCTTTATGTTTTTTGTGTGTTCACTGTTAAGTGTCTGCTCAGCCCACATGCTCACATGCTCTATATAGAGTGGGGAGAACAAGTATTTGATACACTGCTGATTTTGCAGGTTTTCCTACTTACAAAGCATGTAGAGGTTTGTAATTTTTATCATAGGTACAATTCAACTGTGAGAGACGGAATCTAAAACAAAAATCCAGAAAATGACATTGTATGATTTTTAAGTAATTCATTTGCATTTTATTGCATGACATAAGTATTTGATCACTTACCAACCAGTAAGAATTCCGGCTCTCACAGACCTGTTAGTTTTTCTTTAAGAAGCCCTCCTGTTCTCCACTCATTACCTGTATTAACTGCACCTGTTTGAACTCGTTACCTGTATAAAAGACACCTGTCCACACACTCAATCAAACAGACTCTAACCTCTCCACAATGGCCAAGACCAGAGAGCTGTGTAAGGACATCAGGGATAAAATTGCACAAGGCTGGGATGGGCTACAGGACAATAGGCAAACAGCTTGGTGAGAAGGCAACAACTGTTGGCGCAATTATTAGAAAATGGAAGAAGTTCAAGATGACGGTCAATCACCCTCGGTCTGGGGCTCCATGCAAGATCTCACCTCGTGGGACATCAATGATCATGAGGAAGGTGATAGCACAAACTGGTTCACAACAAAACATGAGATAAAAACATTTTTTTTTTTTTTTTCACTTCACCAATTTTGACTATTTTGTGTATGTCCATTACATGAAATCCAAATAAAAATCCATTTAAATTACAGGTTGTAATGCAACAAAATAGGAAAAATACCAAGGGGGATGAATACTTTTGCAAGGCACTGTATGTGTATGTTTTGTATTGTTAATTAATTTGTATAAAATCTTACAAAAAATGTTTTTATGTTTGGACTGTACCTGCTGAAGACTGAGTGCTGTTGTGATTGTCTCCTCTGTGTTTTCCTATGTTGTTTTGTTTAAATGCATGCCATCCCCAGACTGTTGACCGCTATTGTGTCTCCCTCCCTCCCCCTCCCTCCCTCGGTCCAGTTGTCTGCTGTATAAGCATGTGGCGATGGACAGGTTGAGCTCTGTGCTGGGCTCGCAGGGCCAGTTCTCCAGCCGGAGGAGACGCAGGAGGAGACAGGCCCGTGTACGCCGGCCCACACCAGACCACCCTGACATGGCCTCTCTCACCGGGAGACAGGTGGGTCTAGTTCTGGGGCTTTGCTGAGGCCTCGCTCACTCACACACACACACACACACACACACTCGCACACATACACACGCACGCTTGCACATACGCACACACACAAACATGCTCACAAACATACTTTTTGTTGGTATGATTAGGATAGTTTATCGCTAAAAAACTATTTTATAGTTTGACGGTATATTTATAGTGTGACACTGGGAGAATGTATCTGAGCTCCCCTATGTCTGTGTGTGTCCTGTAGGCCCAGTTACAGCTGAACCTGCGTGTGTCTCGCCCCGGTCCCTACATCCTGGTCCTGGAGTATGCCAGCGAGGTGGACACAGTCCAGAACGTCAACCTCATCATCATTGGCCAATCAGAGAGCCAGATCCAGGCCAGAGCCAACATCTACAGCTGCCAATACAGGTTTGTGTGTTTACTATATGTGTGTGTATGCATGAGTGCATAATTCATTCCTTTCCTTCTTGAACACAAGATATTGTTTTTATACACTGCTCAAAAAAATAAAGGGAACACTAAAATAACACATCCTAGATCTGAATGAATGAAATAATCTTATTAAATACTTTTTTCTTTACATAGTTGAATGTGCTGACAACAAAATCACACAAAAATTATCAATGGAAATCAAATGTATCAACCCATGGAGGTCTGGATTTGAAATTAAAGTGGAAAACCACACTACAGGCTGATCCAACTTTGATGTAATGTCCTTAAAACAAGTCAAATGAGGCTCAGTAGTGTGTGTGGCCTCCACGTGCCTGTATGACCTCCCTACAACGCCTGGGCATGCTCCTGATGAGGTGGCGGTTGGTCTCCTGAGGGATCTCCTCCCAGACCTGGACTAAAGCATCCGCCAACTCCTGGACAGTCTGTGGTGCAACGTGGCGTTGGTGGATGGAGCGAGACATGATGTCCCAGATGTGCTCAATTGGATTCAGGTCTGGGGAACGGGCGGGCCAGTCCATAGCATCAATGCCTTCCTCTTGCAGGAACTGCTGACACACTCCAGCCACATGAGGTCTAGCATTGTCTTGCATTAGGAGGAACCCAGGGCCAACCGCACCAGCATATGGTCTCACAAGGGGTCTGAGGATCTCATCTCGGTACCTAATGGCAGTCAGGCTACCTCTGGCGATCACATGGAGGGCTGTGCGGCCCCCCAAAGAAATGCCACCCCACACCATGACTGACCCACCGCCAAACCGGTCATGCTGGAGGATGTTGCAGGCAGCAGAACGTTCTCCACAGCGTCTCCAGACTCTGTCACGTCTGTCACATGTGCTCAGTGTGAACCTGCTTTCATCTGTGAAGAGCACAGGGCGCCAGTGGCGAATTTGCCAATCTTGGTGTTCTCTGGCAAATGCCAAATGTCCTGCACGGTGTTGGGCTGTAAGCACAACCCTCACCTGTGGACGTCGGGCCCTCATACCACCCTTATGGAGTCTGTTTCTGACCGTTTGAGCAGACACATGCACATTTGTGGCCTGCTGGAGGTCATTTTTCAGGGCTCTGGCAGTGCTCCTCCTGCTCCTCCTTGCACAAAGGCGGAGGTAGCAGTCCTGCTGCTGGGTTGTTGCCCTCCTACGGCCTCCTCCACATCTCTTGATGTACTGGCCTGTCTCCTGGTAGCGCCTCCATGCTCTGGACACTAGGCTGACAGACACAGCAAACCTTCTTGCCACAGCTCGCATTAATGTGCCATCCTGGATGAGCTGCACTACCTGAGCCACTTGTGTGGGTTGTAGACTCCGTCTCATGCTACCACTAGAGTGAAAGCACCGCCAGCATTCAAAAGTGACCAAAACATCAGCCAGGAAGCATAGGAACTGAGAAGTGGTCTGTGGTCACCACCTGCAAAACCAGTCCTTTATTGGGGGTGTCTTGCTAATTGCCTATAATTTCCACCTGTTGTCTATTCCATTTGCACAACAGCATGTGAAATGTATTGTCAATCAGTGTTGCTTCCTAAGTGGACAGTTTGATTTCACAGAAGTGTGATTGACTTGGAGTTACATTGGGTTGTTTAAGTGTTCCCTTTATTTTGTTGAGCAGTGTAGTATGTACTCGAGAGGCATTTTTGGCAAGTCATTTGTGTGTCATTTGTGTAATAAACCTGTTTTAATGCAGCTCTCCAGCTCTATAATGCCATTGATCATTGAGGGTGTTTAACCAATACAGCTTCCTGTGTCGGAGTGTGGTGGTAGATGGAATCAATCGCATGGCAGTGTTCCAGTTTACCCATAAGGCCAAACTCCTTCTCCAGACCTCCACAGCCTCACTGCTGCTGGTGAGAAAGAACTACGCCTCTCATTGCATGACAATAACTTGTGCCACTTCTTCTGCTTTGTCGTCCATTTCTTATATTGAAGTGTGCATATTATTTAGTAAGTGGAAGGGTACCGTCCCTATAAGCAAGTTTATAAAGCGAATTTATATAAAAATGAAATACTTCTATTAACTGTATATTCCTCTCAGTATAAAGTGTATGCAGTGCCTGCGGAGGAGTTCTCCATGGACTATGTGGACCCCAAGGTGCTCTGTGTATCTGTCCATGGACGCTTCACTGAGGACAGGTAAGCCATTTTACCTAATAATACTATGTTGTAATGCCAGAGGACTTTAAGTGACTTCTTACATTTTATTTACGTCATTTAGCAGACGCTCTTATCCAGAGCGACTTACAGTTAGTGAGTGCATACATTTTCATACTGGCCCCCCGTGGGAATCGAACCCACAACCCTGGCGTTGCAAACGCCATGCTCTACCAAATGAGATACACGGGCCTAACACTCTCTAAAATAGACAGCTGGTACCTTTGACAACTAGTCATCAGCAAAAATGGGCAAACATGGCAGTAAAGGTAGTGTTTGTATTTTACAGGTTGAGGGCTGTTCAACCAGTACCTCTTTCTCTGGGGGTAGATACTAGCTGTTGTATTGCAGATACTTATCTTCCACACATCTGTTTTCCAGGTGTGATTCCATGCATTCCTCAGGCAGAGCACAGAGTCACTTACCTGAGGCTGTCTGATCTATGGGCCAACCTCTCACTTTCCCCTCTCACTCTTCCTCTCCTAACCCCTCTCCTAACCCCTCTCCTAACCCCTCTCCCTTTCCTGACCCCTTTCCTAACCCCTCTCCTAACCCCTTTCCCTCTCCTATCCCCTCTCCACTCTCCCCTCTCCTATCCCCTCTCCCCACACACCTCTGTTCTCCACCCAGCACAAGTAGTACCTGTTTCCTTCTAACTACTTAAACTGCGCTTGATTAAGCTTGCCTGGTGCAATGGAACCAATGGAATAGTCCCAAAAGTGCAAATCGGCACTCTGGCCAGGCTTAATCGAACCCTCAAAGTATATGAAAGAAAACAAATCCTATTTGAACCCAGGTCTGACAGCCATGGACCACGCCAGGATTTACTACCATGTTTGCTTCTGATGACTCGCTGTTAACAGCACCAGTCCAGTTATTGTACAGCTGGTTTTTACAGGCTGTTTTTACTCCACTTTCCCTACTGTAAACTTACTGCCTGCCTGGCTCCACTATTGTTGAAGGCAATTAGCAAGTTAATATTTTATTGAAAATAAATAGTGAAAGTGAGGGAAAGAACTCTATTGTCAAGACATTTTAAATAACTCAGTTGTTTGATGGTGATGGTTTATACACATTACAAAAAGCCTTTCCTTTCATGGTGCTCTGCTGTTTCCACTAAAACAAATAAGGAGGGAAACCATTAAAAGATCAGCCCCACATCAGGTCTGAGAAAACAAAAAGCTTGCCATGTGTTGGTGATAAGAGCATTGATAAGGACTTAAAACTGAGAAAAGAAAGAGTGAGAAGTTTTGTCAGATCGTGAAAGGAGTCAGGCTCCAGTAAAAGAGGAAGGAAGAGAAAGAGAGAGATAACCTTTTACTGCAGTGGGCTATATCAGGGTCACACAGAGTGTTTCTTGGTAGTCTTAAACAAATCTACTTTGAAACAAAAGTATACACCTTAAAATAGAAGGTACCTGTGCCATGTCAGATATAGAGTTGAAATGTATTCAGTTTTGAGTTCGCATTCCAATATTACGCTTTATATATGCTGAACAAGAATATAAATGCAACATGTAAAGTGTTGGTCCCATGTTTCATGAGCTGAAATAAAAGATCCCAGAACTGTTCCAGCCACACAAAAAACGAATTTCTCATTTTCCAAGATAATCTATCCACCTGACAGGTGTAGAAGCTGATTAAACAGCATGATCATTACACAGGTGCACCTTGTGCTGGGGACAATAAAAGGCCACTCTAATATGTGCAGTTTTGTCACACAACACAATGACAAAGATGTCTCAAGTTTTGAGGGAGCGTGCAATTGGCATGCTGACTGCAGAAATGTCCACCAGAGTGGTTGCCAGAGAATTGAATGTTAATTTCTCTACCATAAGCCGCCTCCAACGTCGTTTTAGAGAATTTGGCAGTATGTCCAACCGGCCTCACAACCGCAGACCATGCCAGCCCAGGACCTCCACATCCGGCTTTTTCACCTGTGGGATCGTCTGTGACCAGCCACCTGGACAGCTGATGAAACTGAGGAGTATTTCTGCCTGTAATGAAGTACTTTTGTGGGGAGAAACTCATTCTGATTGGCTGGGCCTGGCTCCCCAGTGGGTGGGCCTATGCCCTCCCAGGCCTACCTATGGCTGCGCCCCTGCCCAGTCATGTGAAATCCGTAGATTAGGGCCTAATTAATTTATTTCAATTGACTGATTTCCTTTATATGAACTGTAACTCAGTAAAATCGTTGAAATTGTTGCATGTTGCGTTTTATATTTGTGTTCAGTATACATCACAGAAGACTGAAATATAACAATACTATTTCACATAAACACTGGATTTTCATCGGGAAAAAAAACTAACAATGTTTATTAATTATGAAATTATGAAAAATATTAACTCATTCCACCCATGAGGCCAATAGCTAATTTGACTGCAAGAAAGGGCTACGGGGCTAAATATTAAGTCTTTAGGGGATTGCAGCGGGATCAGTGGGTTCGCTGTGTGTGTGTGTGTGTGTGTGTGTGGTGTGAGTAATTTAGTTGGGATTTCTATACATTGATTAGAGAGAATGTGATAGTTATATGATGTCTTCATATGAAAGCTGCTTACGCAAGATTTCACAGGTCACAACCATTAACTGATCACTGACCCTGGTAATAACCAGTCACAGTGTTTCCCAGTAGTGCTTGGCAAACACTCCAGAAGCCCTCAGAGGCTGCATCTGAAATGGGCCCTGGTCAAAAGTATACTCTTAAAGAAAAAGGTGCTATCTAGAACCAATAAAGGTACTTTGGCTGAACCCTTTGAAGAACCCTTTTTTGTTCCAGGTAGAACCCTTTTAGGTTCTGTGTAGAACCCTTTCCACAGAGGTTTCTACATGGAACCCAAAAGAGTTCTGCCTGGAACCAAAAAGGGTTCTATCTGGAACCAAAAAAGGTTATCCTATGGGGACAGTAGAGGAACCCTTTTGGAACCCTTTTTTCTAAGACTGTAGTGCACTATATATAGGGAATTGGGTGTCATTTTAGACTAAGGTTGCTCTAACCAACCTTCACCTCATCTGTTCTGTTCCCCCTCCTCCCATCTCTCCCTCCCTCCAGTCAGTACTGTGTTCCCAGCCAGTACGACAGGCCCTCCTCAGCTCTGGTTCTGGACGCAGCTCGGGACGGGCGCCTCTCCTCCCACTGGGTCGTCCCCCAGCAGAGGGAGATTGAGGAGTGGAGACAGAGACGACAGTCAGGGGCAGGGGGGTTCCCTCTCCCTGGAGTTCAGAGTGAAGGGGTACTACTCAAATCTCCCCAGGTACATGCATGGAGATGGCCCACATAATGCTGCTGCTGCTGCTTGGAGTGGGACCTGGCACTGGAAAGCATGTGGGGCTTCACTAACATTAATGGCAGTAACTCTGACATCTATAGTTATAAATATATTATAGATGTATGTTAGATAATGAGCATGTTTTAAATGATGCAAACACACTTTCACTCATCTCTTATCTCTTATCGTATACTGTCTCTGTGGAATTGACTAGAGGATATTTCTCAACATGTGTTCATCCTGTGTTGTGTTCCTCCAGACTGAGATCAGTTTCAGTGCCAGAGTGGCAGCTCCTGGCAGGTATGTGTTTGTGGTCCACTACTGTCAACCTGAACACACCACCTTCCCTGTAGAGGTACGGGTGGATGCCGGACACACCTGGACCGGTGAGTTTGGTGAGCAATGTACAGTGAGGTAAAAACGTTTTTGATCCCCTGTTGATTTTGTGCGTTTGCCCACTGACAAAGAAATGATCGGTCTATAATTTTAATGGTAGGTTTCTTTGAACAGTGAGAGACAGAATAACAACAAAAAAAATCCAGAAAAACGCATGTCAAAAATGTTATAAATTGATTTGCATTTTAATGAGGGAAATAAGTATTTGACCCCTCTGCAAAACATGACTTACCGGTAGTACTTGGTGGCAAAACCCTTGTTGGCAATCACAGAGTTCAGACGTTTCTTGTAGTTGGCCACCAGGTTTGCACACATCTCAGGAGGGATTTTGTCCCACTCCTCTTTGCAGATCTTCTCCAAGTCATTAAGGTTTCGAGGCTGACGTTTGGCAACTCGAACCTTCAGCTCCCTTCACAGATTTTCTATGGGATTAAGGTCTGAAGACTGACTAGGCCACTCCAGGACCTTAATGTGCTCCTTCTTGAGCCACTCCTTTGTTGCCTTGGCTGTGTGTTTTGGGTCATTGTCATGCTGGAATACCCATCCACTACCCATTTTCAATGCCCTGGCTGAGGGAAGGAGGTTCTCACCCAAGATTTGACGGTACATGGCCCCATCCATCGTCCCTTTGATGCGGTGAAGTTGTCCTGTCCCCTTAGCAGAAAAACACCCTCAAAGCATAATGTTTCCACCTCCATGTTTGAAGGTGGGGATGGTGTTCTTGGGGTCATAGGCAGCATTCCTCCTCCTCCAAACACGGCGAGTTGAGTTGATGGCCAAAGAGCTCGATTTTGGTCTCATCTGACCACAACACTTTCACCCAGTTCTCCTGTGAATCATTCAGATGATCATTGGCAAACTTCAGACGGGCATGTATATGTGCTTTCTTGAGCAGGGGGACCTTGCTGGCGCTGCAGGATTTCAGTCCTTCACAGCGTAGTGTGTTACCAATTGTTTTCTTGGTGACTATGGTCCCAGCTGCCTTGAGATCATTGACAAGATCCTCCCGTGTAGTTCTGGGCTGATTCCTCACCGTTCTCATGGTCATTGCAACTCCACGAGGTGAGATCTTGCATGGAGCCCCAGGCCGATGGAGATTGACAGTTCTTTTGTGTTACTTCCATTTGCGAATAATCACACCAACTGTTGTCACCTTCTCACCAAGCTGCTTTGCGATGGTCTTGTAGCCCATTCCAGCCTTGTGTAGGTCTACAGTCTTGTCCCTGACATCTTTGGAGAGCTCTTTGGTCTTGGCCATGGTGGAGAGTTTGGAATCTGATTGATTGATTGCTTCTGTGGACAGGTGTCTTTTATACAGGTAACAAGCTGAGATTAGGAGCACTCCCTTTAAGAGTGTGCTCCTAATCTCAGCTCATTACCTGTATAAAAGACACCTGGGAGCCAGAAATCTTTCTGATTGAGAGAGGGTCAAATACTTATTTCCCTCATTAAAATGCAAATAAATGTATAACATTTTTGACATGCGTTTTTCTGGATTTTTTTGTTGTTATTCTGTCTCTCACTGTTCAAATTAACGTATAGACTGATCATTTCTTTGTCAGTGGGCAAACGTACAAAATCAGCAGGGGATCAAATACTTTTTACCCTCACTGTAGGTGTATAAAGAGGTTGAGCCAGATTGATATGGTTAGATAGAGTGTGTATATGATCCAGGATCTTACCCGACATCACCGTCCAAGATGTAATGAAATGGACATCTGCAAAGAATGAATGTGATTATCAATTGTCATGAACATAGTAGCTAGTTCCCCTCTTCTATGGTGTTGTTGTCTAGGAAAGCCTGTAGTGGGTTTTGGGGGGTTCTAGTGGTCTCTGGTGCTGGGGGTGATTCTCTTTTAAAAGCAGATTAGGCATCTGACTCGCGCCCCACATTACAAGATGATCAAAGGCCTCGGACACACTTCTGACGGGTTGATGGGGAAGGATTACCTCGTGGCGCAACTGATGTCTCTTATCTTCTCTATACCCCCTTTCCTCTTTCTACTCCTCCCTCTCTCTACTGACTTTCAATCTTTTTGCCTACCTCCCTCTCCCTCCTTTACCCTACCACTGCTCCTCCCCCACCTCCCTCTCTTCCCCCAGGCTTTGTGAACGCCTCCTTCTGCCCTGGTGTCTCTTGCTGCAGGGAGGTGGTCATCGCTGAGAGGCGCATCGCTCTGGACCTTCCCCAGCAAGACGTGGCCATCTCTCTCAAGGTTCCACCCGGGAAGACCCTCACTCTGGTCAGTCACATACAATATGTTGGTCAGTCATGGTCACTGGGTCAATTACTTACTGTGGCTATGTTCCAATGTCTATACTAGCATACCACTTAGAATGCATGCCCAAATTGTTGCTTCATTCCAAGAAGCATGTTAATGTGGATCGTAGAACAGAACAGAGACAGTTTGTCAGTTGATCATCTTTGCCCATAGTGTAAGGTGGCGAACAGACATTCCTGTCCTGAAGAAAACCCAGACTAGGCCTGTGTGGTGATGCCTGTATTGTAATTCAGGAGGATTTAGAAGCCAATAATCTAGGCCTTTAGTATGCTGTATTAGAGGTTTACCAGGTTGGCACTGTGACACTCTCTCCTCCGTGTTATATCATGTCCCAAACAACAACAATGGGGCCTGTTTTCTACCTGGCAACACCCCACTCCACCCTATTAGAGCTCTCCAACCCAGTATCAAAGTGAAACACACAGCTAAGTTTGCATTTGCTGTAGGGCAGGGGTAGGCAACTAGATTCAGATGCGGGCCGATTCTTTGGTCGGAGCGGATGGTCGGGGGGCCGGAACATAATTATAATACATTGTACACTGCAAATTGACCAAAACTAAGCCCAAAAAGAGATTGTATTTGAAAATAACAGTCATTTCATACCTTGATTACATTGAGACAAGATCACATACTGAATGTTTATTTTATTTTATTTGTGGGAATACTTGGGGACAGATTTCCTAAATAAACTAATTTTTTGCTGGATTCTAGGTGATTTTAGTCTTTTTTTTAAACCCAAAACGACCCCCCCCCCTGTTTCTTAAGCTATGATAAGTGTCAAAGTGGAAGTTTTCAGAGAGATAAGCCTACAGCATTGTTGTTTGGTTTTGACTAGATCTGTTATGTTTTGTTCCATTTCTTCAGGATTATATCTTGGTGGTTCCTGACGATAGTTACACCCCTGATCTACTGAAAGAGAAGCCACTGGATAAGTCATCTGATTTCACCAGGCAGTGTGAAGGACAAGGCTTTTTTATAGAGTAAGTATTCAGTTCACTGACCGTGTTCTCAAAACTTAGCTCTAGCAAAACAACCTGCCTTGTGGAATGGGATCAACTGCTTTGCTGAGTGATTTGAAGATTAGATAAATGAGTATGATTGATATTGTAGGATCATATAATGTTTATTTGAAACCTAAGTATATTTGAGGTATTCGCTTCCTATACTAATATATTACCAAATTACCAGAATATCCTTCCTAGAGAATCCCATCCACAATACCGTCCTTGGATGTTATACTTAATAAAGCCTTCTGGTGGTTAGGATGTAAAATACAAAATGTTGATCAGTGGTGAATTTTCCAATCATTTACAAGCTTTTACAATACATGTTAAAGGTAGACTCAGCGATATGATGTAGATGCAGAAAGTAAACAGCATAGTGGGCCAATTTCTGCAACAACTCTGCTGTTTTGGTGCCCTGGCTACCATGCTCTGAACAGCGTGAGGCAAACCCGTGCACATGCGCAGATACTGTGTGTGACTGTGTGAGAGCGAAGTCTTGCATCTCGCTCATCTCAGTATCTGCGGTGTTGCTCATGGCAACGTCATTTTGCTGTGTCTACCTTTAAATGTGTGGATGTAAAAACTATAACTGGAGAATTTCAGAATGACTTTATTTGATTGACCCCGGACCTCGTGAATGTTCTCGTCCTGTTCCAACTTCCCACAGCTCCAGAACCTCCTCCCAGTTCTGCCAAGACTCGGCCCGCTCCCTGGTAGCAGCCAACAGTGATGGGGCCCTGCCTTGCTACTGTGATAAGTCAGGAGCCACGGGGCCCACCTGTAACCCTGTAGGGGGCCAGTGTCCCTGTCGGCCCCATGTCATCGGTCGACAGTGTACACGATGTGCCACAGGATACTACGGCTTCCCTTACTGCAAACGTGAGTGGATTTCAGTTACTAAAATGTCTGACACCCACACAGTGTCCTACCCTAACCTGTCTTCATCCTCTCTCCCCTTCAGCCTGTGACTGTGGCCAGCGGCTGTGCCACGAGGTGACAGGTCAGTGTATCTGCCCGCCCCAGACAGTGAAGCCAGCCTGTGACGTGTGTGAGAGCCAGACGTTCAGCTACCACCCTCTAGTGGGCTGTGAGGGCTGTGACTGCTCGCCCAACGGAGTCAAGGCCATCGCAGGGAGAGACTGTGACCGCGATACTGGACGGTGCATGTGAGTGGCCTTCTGTCTGATCTGACATACACCATACTGTATGTCACTTATGCTAGTGTGTACCATATGTGGTGATTGTGAATTATTGTTAGATTATTGTGTGTTTATTCATATGCCTATTCCCTCCACAAAGAATGTAAGTGTGACCATAGCTCTTTAAATTCGACCCTGTTCTGGATCTGACATGCTTTGTGTGTGTGTGTGTGTGTGTGTGTGTGTGTGTGTGTGTGTGTGTGTGAGTGTGTTTGTAGGTGTAAGCCCAGGATCGGCGGGCGGCAGTGTGACCGGTGTGCTGCAGGGTTCTACAGGTTCCCTGAGTGTCTCCCATGTAACTGTAACCAGGGAGGGGTCACACCTGACATATGCCACCCAGACACAGGACAGTGCCTCTGCAAGGTGACTGACTATACACGATTAATATACTACTTGTAAAAGGAAGAATGATTATCTACAGTACTGTATGTGTACATTCACAAATAGGAAGAATCTGAACACTGCAATATAATTCCCATAAGTGTTTATATGTACGCCATAACAACATTTTGACCACTTCTTCTGGCCAGTGTAAAAAACATGTTTTTTCTGTTGTAGAGAAATGTGCAGGGAGCCCACTGTGATGCCTGTAGAGACGGGTCCTTCCACTTTGACCCATCCCACCCCAGGGGCTGCATCAGCTGCTTCTGCTTTGGAGCCAACAGCCAGTGTCAGAGCTCCGGCAAACGCAGGGGGAAGGTGTGTATGTATGTGTTTGTGTATGTGTGTTTGAAGATTTATAGGTGTTTTCATTGATACATTATTGGATTTCTGGTCTATAGAAATCTAAAATGGCGTGTTATTGTACTATACTTGTTCAGACACGTGATCCAACAAAGCCTTATCTCGCCACATGACCAGCGTTGCAACAACCCAAATTCCATAGAGTGGATATACCCACAGCTTTGCCACACCTGCGGAACATAAATCCATTGCACACCACAGCATGCTATTCTATTCCAATGTACATAATGGTATTTCACCTAATCATAGGCCTATAAGATATAGTACAGTGCTCTTTCCATCCGCTTCCACTAGTTTGTGGACATGCGTGGCTGGCGTCTGGAGAGAGCTGACCAGGAGGAGGTGGCATCAGTCCTCAACCCATCCAGTAACACAGTGGTAGCAGATGTACAGGAGCTGCCTGGCACTACTCAGCTCCTCCACTGGGTGGCGCCACCATCCTACCTGGGAGATAGGGTGAGTGGAGCGAATGGGACTCAGGAGGAGCACATTTACTGTTATAGAATAGTTCAGTTTAATAAAGAGGACATGTTTCAGTAATATTTTGAAGGTCTTTTTATATCAGACTTGAGCATTTTAAGCTAGAATCTTTAGTTACTACATAAATTTTTCGACTTATAAATTAATGGAATATACCCATTGATTCTTGAAGAATATATCTTATAAATGCCTCATGAGCTTAGTTAAACTGTCATACCCCGACAGAACCCAAAATATAAGCTTGTTTTGCTCCAATGTTTGTAAACAATGTGAATGTAAACAAACACTATATAGCCTCAAAACATGGTTAAAACGATCATTTTGATATCATGAATGGTCAATCCTTACATCCATAGCTCTGTCTATGAATTTGAGAGTGGTTACATTTCTCCAGGCCCATCCCTCAGCTTTTTACCAAAACAGAGGCGGGGTTTCGCTTTGTTATTGTTTTAATTAAGGACTCTACCTTTAACATTTGATCAATTGTTATTTAGTGGTGAATTCAGTGTTAACAGGAAAAGTACACGAGGAGCCAGAGTTTTAGCGACTGCCAGAGAGCCTAACCAATAGTTGACCTGGGTGGGATACTACAAAGCAGGATCTATGAGTTATCCAGCTAACTTCAATAAACAACCAGAAATAACTAGAGATTTTCTGGTTCATTAAGAAAGCTGGTTGTTGAGTCAATTAGGCCATGCCCATTTCAAGCTTATCTTAAATATATATATATCTCCTTGATCCTTTGTAATATACCACCCAGTTCTATACTGATTCAGTCCATAAAATTAGAATGATTGGTAAGTAATTCATGAATGTTCTATTCATTCTATTTCTATGGTTCAGACCCAGTCTCAGTGACTCTGACAGTATGCTCTGCTCCTGTCTCAGGTGTCTTCCTATGGGGGCTACCTGACCTACCAGGCCAAGTCCTTTGGGATTCCTAGTGAGGGGATGTCGTTGATGGACCGCAGACCTGATGTCCTGCTCAGTGTACGTGCAGTATGACATATCATCACACACTGCTAATTATGACAGCTCTCTTATTGGTATATAAGTCATGATGACTTCCTGTTGTGAGTAACCCAGTGTTATTTCTGTATGATGTCCTCAGGGCCAGGAGATGGCCCTGGTCCACATGGCCCCAAAGACCCCCGACCCAGACAGACTCCACCAGGGCAGAGTTCAGCTAGTGGAGGTATAGAAAACAGTTTTCCATACCTAAAAAGTGGTCAAACTGAGTCCTTATTCCATGCTATCTGTTGTGAACAACATCTTTAAAACACTTCAAAGTTTCCACTCCCTCACTAACCTGTCTGTGTGTTATGTGCAGGGGAACTGGCGTCACGCCGGCACCAACCGTCCTGTGTCCAGGGAGGATCTGATGGTGGTCCTGGCTGGGCTGGTGGGTCTGAGAGTGCGGGCTCTCTACTTCACCCAGAGCCAGAGACTCAGCCTGGGGGAGGTAGGCCTGGAGGAGGCTACAGACACGGGGGCCGGGGGCCCTGCCAGCACCGTGGAGCAGTGTGCCTGTTCCCCTCTCTACAGAGGAGACTCCTGCCAGGTTAGACTCAGGCCGTCATGATCTCATTCACTCCTCATTCACTCCTAGTCCCCTAGGTGTTTCATGTTGATCTACTGGGGTCATATAGGCATAAGGAATATGATTAAAGATTTGAAGAGAGTACTCCAGAGGTGCCTTGGAGTCTTTGTTATTTTGGAAATGGTAGTATATCCAAGGCTAGTTGAACTTTTAGCTCTCCGATGCACAACAAGTAAGGCTGGGGGCTTGGGCTAAGGGTCAGTTTGGGATTTGGAAAGAGAGGTGGGAAAGATGGTGGGAGAGAGAAAAGGATTAGGAGAAGGTAATAGAGGGAGAAAGGAGACCGGAGGGGCTGAGAGGGAGAGGTGTCGACGGACAGATCTAGTCATTTTGGAAAAGAGAAGAGTGAGAACTCCCCTCCTCGCTGTGGGGTTGTTGTCGTGACGCCCTAACAATGGTGCCAGGCCCGGGGTGAGTGAGGTCATTAGCAGACAGTGGAAAAACTCATCAGCCCATTGAAGAGCCAACGGTTTAAACAACCCTTTGTGGAATGTCCTGGAAAAATACCCATCTGTGTGTTTGTGTGAATGTGTGTGTGTCTGTGTGTGTTTGTGTGTGTGTGTGTGTGTGTGAATGTGTGTGTGTCTGTGTGTGTCTGTGTGTGTTTGTGTGTGTGTGTGTGTGTGTGTGTGTGTGTTCATCAGCCGAGCCCAGTAGCCCTAGGCAGAGGGAGAAGATGCACCATCACCCTGACATACTATTACACATTCAACTACTGCTGTAAACTGCTCAACTGTGGCATGGTAACGGCAGTTAAAATAAAATACAATTAAAAAAACAAAAAAACATGTACAGTATGATATCCATGAAGTTTAAACAGAATTCTTCCCCTTAGGGTGTTTAGTACATGGGTGGGTCTCAAACTCCAATTAGGAAAAGTTGGATGGAAGCATTTTCCCCCTGAAAATCCACTTATTAAATTGAATGTAAATGGAACCATTTTCGCTTTGTCACCCATAGGGATGGGCGGCTGACAGTGAAGATGTGATTTTCTTACGCTGGCAACAGTGTCCTGATGACTTTGCAGTAGATTTTCATTTGACTTGATTGAGTTGTTTTTCCCCATTTGGTGGTTGTGCTCTAAGCGGTGTTATTATGAGTGTGTGTGTGTGTACGTGTGTGTGAGACATCAACATCCTGTAGTCAGGTGTGTTCAGAGGAAATGGATAATATGTACCCGGCGGCAGTAATAAAAAAGGAGAGGCACCCTGACACATATTCAGTGTGGTATCTGGCAACCAGGACGGTGTTACTCACCACCCTAAACCAGACAGACACAATGTGTGTGTTTATTCTAGGTTGCCAGATACTGTCTTCTGTACTGTCTGGAGGTTTATGAATATTAGTCACAGAACCACACAATCACACTGGCATACTCACACATATACCCTATAGACACACATTAACACACACGATCAAAAACACACTCACTCAGTCTCCCAGGTGGAACCACACCCTACCAACTTGTTGTATGTAAATAAATAGTACATTATTAGGATTTTCCTTTAGACCGTTTGTTTGTTTAAGCGAAGTTGTATTTTTGAAAGTAGTTATAAGAATAAGTGTGTGTGTGTGTGTGTGCGTGCGTGCGTGCGACGTGCATGTTGCTGCATTGCTCTGACTGCGGCACTGACTCAGGTACTGTAGGTGAGTGGAGAAGGGGCGTGTCCTCTACGTGTGTGAGTGTGTCTGTGTTTAAGAGGCAGAGGCAGGGGAGACCAGGGAGTTATTTCAGACTAAACCTGAGTGATGTCAGACACGAGTGTACACAGACATTGGAGAGGGAGAGGCATGCTACTACAGGCCCTGCTATGGGGAACCTTACTGGGGCTATGCAGCGCAGGACACAGACCATATTCCAGGGAGAGAGGAACCGCTATCCCAGACAGCATGACCGAGAGGCACAGAGGATACATTATCCTTCAATACATGACCAGGGAGGACAGAGAGTACATTACCCTTCTGTGAATGAAGAGGGGACCCAAAGAGTCCAGTATCCTTCTGTGAATGATGAGGGGACCCAAAGAGTCCAGTATCCTTCTGTGAATGATGAGGGGACCCAAAGAGTCCAGTATCCTTCTGTGAATGACCAAGGTACACAGAGAGTCCAGTACACTTCTGTGAATGACAGAGGACAGATGGTTCAGTATCCATATTTTGACGACCAAGATTCCAGCTCTCAGATCCAGGTAAACTTATGGAAGTCAAGCAGTGGTGACGTCTGTTGGCTTACAAATGGATTTACTGTCTGTAATGTATGTTTGGCTGCTCTGTACATGAATTAGACCTGTGGGATATCAGTTGACTTCCAGACTGTTATCTTACAGAGCAAAGGGTGTGTTTGACGGTGGTGCGTGGTGTCTTGTATTCAGCGTGGTACTGGTGACATACCCCACTTGGGAACAGTTTGGGACATTTGTGAGATCAATCATTCTCTGTTGCTAGGCAGATTAGCTGAGGTAAACTCAGACTGCCTTTATCTACTCAAACACTGCCACTTTGAATGGTAAAGTATTATTCTGTGTGGGAATTAAGTGTGTCGTTTTGAAATGTGTGTTTAGGATTGTGTTCTGATTGTGATAGAACTTGTGTGGCTTTTCTATGTTTTTATTATTCATCCATTGAGTCCCATTGAGCTAGACATCACTTTTAAAGCTCTGACTTTCCATGAAGTAGTTCTGTATCTACTGTATGTATTTGATGTGTCTGTATTCATGTCTGATGTTTGTGTTTCTCTGTTCCAGAAATGTGCCACTGGTTACTATAGAGATGGCAGTGGGCCCTACCTGGGTCGCTGTGTGCCCTGCTCCTGTAACGGCCTGGCCAACGAGTGTGACGAGAGGACTGGGAGGTGCCTGGTAAGAACACACACACACAGGTTCTGACTCAGCGCTAAAGAGTGAAGTGACCACAACCGCATATGAAGGTACACCACTTGTCTTGTGCAATACCTAAGTCATCCCATCTGACTCCGTCAAGGTAAACTACAGTCCAGTCAGCAGTCATGGTCTAGACATCTTACCCATGCCACTGGGCATTTCTGTGGGCACCCCATGGGCATCCCACCCTACCTGGGTGCCCACATACTGTTCTGTTCTGTACCATAGCAGGCTAACCACATTAAAGTATTGGATGATGTGGGTCTGCCTTAGTAGATGTGATCACAAATGTGATATGGTTCTACATTAGCCCCTAGGGGAGCCTTCATCTGTCTCCCTCTGTCACGGATGGCAGGGTGGAGTGGAGGGTGAAACTAGATCTCTAAAAGCCCATGCAGCACTCTCTATTCTCCTCTCTCTCTTTCTCCCACTCGTCCTCTCGTCCTCTCGTCCTCTCTCTCTCTCTCTCTCTCTCTCTCTCTCTCTCTCTCTCTCTCTCTCTCTCTCTCTCTCTCTCTCTCTCTCTCTCTCTCTCTCTCTCGCTCTCTCTCTCGTCTCCTCTCATCTTACACAAGCCACTCAAGAGCAGGCGTGTGCCTGTCTCCTGGCCTAAGGAACCCAGAGTGCTACGGACAGACACACACACACACACACACACACACGGCTGAGCACTCACTCTTTCTCTGCAGTGAATGTCCATCAAAATCCCTCTTTGGGATGGATTAGAACAGAAATGTTAGGCATCCCCCTATCATCCTCCTCTCTCATAAAAACAATCACCCTCCTTTGTGGTAAAAAGAGGACTTATGAAATGTACAGTTAGATCTACCATGTGGTGGGGTACGACAGTGTGGTTATGTCCACAAAAGGACAAAGTGTGTTTAGACTCACTATGGTCTTTATTATGGTATTTTCATCAAATTAGTGAGGCTATAGATTCTCTTTGTTACTTGGTTATTTACTAAGAGTGCACAGAACTACCCTGTGCTCCTCACTGTCTAAACAGATATGAACTTGTAAAATATGATGGATTACAGCTATATTACTTAAAGAATCCTCTATTTAGATACTCTTATTGTCATACTCAAGTGCTCTAACCATGCTTTCTACTATTCCTGTGGACAGAACTGCCAATACAGCACGGCTGGAGACAGATGTGAGCGCTGCAAAGAGGGTTACTATGGAGACGCTGCCCAGAGGTCATGCCAGGTGTGCCCGTGCCCCTTCAGTGTGCCAGCTAACAGGTCAGTGTCTCCAAAGAACCAATCAGTGGCAAGGTCAACCATAGGAGATGATTCTTTGGTGGAATCAAACCTGTGCACTGTATCATGACTTACTGTTGTTGGCCCAGTATTCAAGTGTTTAAATGTACTCTTCATCATTCCACTACAGTTTTGCAGTTGGTTGCAGAGAGGCTGCTGGAGGGTTCCAGTGTGTTTGTAAACAAGGCTACACAGGAGACAGGTGTGAACGATGTGCCCCTGGTTACTACGGTGATCCATTGACAGCTGGAGGAAGCTGTAGGCCTTGTGATTGTAACGGCAATGGAAACAACTGTGACTCCAGGACTGGGGGTGAGTGCTGATGTTATTGAGACATGATGACACATTCAAAAAATCAGGACCCATTGAGTGTATTGGTAAAGCTTTATTCTCCGTTTATTATTAGTAATTTTTTTATGGCATTGTAGTTACTTGTTAAAGTGAATGTATAATTTTGCTATTTCTACAGTGTGCAAGAACACTTTGGAGCCAGGGGACACCAACACAGATGAGCAGTGCCAAGGTTAGTGTCTGGTGTAAAAGTCTGATGGTTCCAATGAGAGTACAGGACAGTACATGAGGGTACCTACCTCATCATGATCAACTGTTGATTACACTTGTCTGTGTGGTTCTCAGTGTGTGATAACTGCGCCCAGACCTTACTAAACGATCTGCAGAGTCTGGATGAGGAGCTGGGGAGAATTAAGACTCAGCTGGATAGCGCCAGTATCTCCGCCTCCTCTCAGGACAGACTCAGGAAGCTGGAAAATGCCATCACAGAGACCAAGGTACTAATGTATTAATGACCTATATGTCCTGTTACTGTAATGAAGTGTACCACCATGCCCTCTGGCTACACAGGCCACAGAGAGGGAGGGAGAGGACCAAAATGTACATACACACACAGCGTACACTTACTTCTCAATGCACGCACGCACACATGCACTTGTGTGTGCTAATACACATTTCAACACACACACACACACACTTGTTTTACTATCCTTGTGGGGACCAAACAATTGATTCCCATTAAAAATCCTATTTTCCCTTACCCTTAACCTAACCCTAACCCTAATTCTAACCCCTAACCCTAATCCTAACCATAATTGTAACCCTAAACCTAACCCCTAAGCATAACATTTTTTCTTGTGGGGGACCGGCGAGATGTCTCCACTTGTCCCAGTTTTCCTTGTTTTACTATCCTTAAGAGGACTTATTTAAAACCAGAAACACACACACACACACAAATCGAATCAAATTACATTTTATTGGTTGCGTACACAGTTTAGCAGGTGTTGTGACGAAATGCTTATGTTCCTAGTTCCTATCAATCAATGCAGTAAAAGTCAACAAGCACACAATATTCAAAAATTCCTAAATGTAGTCCAGCAGTAGATGCATGTATGTAAATAGAATGTCACCATTATTACACATACATACACACAGAGTGGTATTACTGGAACATTTCAGAATCCTCCTGATCAGGGATCTCAGTCAGTTTGTCCCAGAGCTGTGGGTCAAAACATGTCAGAGACCACACTGCATGGCAGTGGTTGTTGTCTGGTCAGGACTTGTTGTAGCTAATCTCCCACGTTTGTGATATCAGCAGCTCCTACACTCCATGTGAGCATACGCTAATGTGAGCATTTATGAAACCAACAAGAGTAAACAAGTCACTCTGTCAACCTTTCAAACAGCCTGAGGAGGTGGCAGGTAGCTTAGTGGTTAAGAGCGTTGTGCCAGTAACTGAAAGGTCGCTGGTTTTAATCCCCGAGCCGACTAGGTAAAAACTCTGTCGATGTGCCCTTGAGCAAGGCACTTAACCCTAATTGCTCATGTAAGTCACTCTGGATAAGAGCGTCTGCTAAATTACTCAAATGTAAAATGAGTCAACAACCATATCCCACTGTACTGGAGCTCTCTGTCTTTCTCTCTCTCTCTTTCTCTCTCATTCAAAGGGCTTTATTGTCATGGGAAACATATGTTTACTTTGCCAAAGCAAGTGAAATAAACAATCAGAAATTAACAGTAAACATGACTCTCTCGCTCCGCTTCCCTCCCTCTCTCTCTCATCTCATAATAAAGCATTGAACAATAGACTGTGTGTTCTCTCCACAGTCTTTGGTGAACAAGTTCAGTTCCAGTGTGAACAGTCTGAAGCCCAAGGTTAGCCAACTAGAGCAGGACACTCTCAGTGTCAACGAGGATATCAACGCTTTCAAAGGCAAGGTACTGGACTGGAACTTCTTGGTGTCTTTTTATTAGGGTTCGTCATGAGTGGGTGAAATTGTGTGTATGTTTAGGTGTGTATATGCTGGCTGTGGAGAGCTGATGTGTGTGTTGTCCATTAAGGCAGATGACAGGGCTGTGGATGCCCAGACAGTGCTGGGTGATGTGGATAAGACTCATCTGAGAGCTAAAGACCTGGATACTGAAGCTAAGAACCTGCTCAAGAAGATCCTGGGTAAGAAAAACTATTCCGGTTTACTCACCTTTTTCCTTTTTCTGTCTCTTTGTCCACCTCTGTCTATCTAGCTATCTCTCTATCCATATTATCCTCTTTCGTTTTGTTGTGACTTTTATTTCTCTTTCTCTGTTTTCTCTCTCGCCCTCGCTCTTTTTCTTTATTTCTCTCTGTCTCTGTCTCACTCTCTCTCTGTTGCTTTCTCTCCCCCTCTCACCCTCCCTTTTATCTAAACCTGAATGTGTGTGTTGGGTGTAGCCCTGCTACAGCACCTGAAAGAGTCTGGTTCCAGTGGTGGTGGGGTGCCCAATGAGAACCTGGCTAAGATGTTATCTGAGGCGGAACGCATGGTGAAGGAGATGGAGAAGAGGAACTTCAACCCACAAAAAGATGCAGCTGAGAAAGAGAAGGACGAGGCCCAGAAACGTAAGACTTCTTCCTGGTCCATTCAATATGAAAAACCCTTCGAATCCCTAAAAGTCTGATGTTCTTGAACACTACCACATTAGGTTGAGCTAAGATACAGATAAGAAGCATAATGTCACAATAACGATGACTACTTTGTTTGATACCATCAGCAACCAAATCAAATAGTGAGATTATTATCTTCAGTCGAGAATGTCAGTTTCTATTTCTATTTGAATATATTCCTCTCTCCCAGTGCTGGACTACATCAAGGCCAATGTGACCAAGCAGTATGATCAGAATGAGGCAGCAGCCAATAGGGTGAAGGGCCTGCTGAAGGACTATGAAGCTAAACTGAAGGACCTGGAGGAGGCTCTGAAACTGGCTGGGGACATGGTGAAGAAAGCCAACACTCAGAATGGACTCAACACAGAGGCACTGGAAGACATACTGGTAATAATAAAACTCACAGTACCAGACTTCTAACATGATGGTACTATGCAGTCATGTATAGGCAGTTAGTGTGTGCAGTAACCATGTTGTTTAGCCTCTGTTGGTATGGTTAATTCACAGTTGGTATCAGTATTGTTTGCGCAATTACATTTCCATTGGCTTAATGTTCTCTTAACCAATTGAATTATGTTTGTTCTTCAGAAACGTATGGAAGATCTGAAGAAAGAGCGTAAGAAGGTCCAGGACCAGATAGCCATGGCAGAAGATCAGTTGAAGGATACAAAGTACCTCCTTAGAAGGCTGGATGACAGCAAGACTGTAAGCACACAGACCAGCCATGACAATACATCAGTATTCCCCTTTTATTTGGCCCCCCACATTTTTTAAATTGTAGACATAAAAGACTGTAAAAACACTGTGACCCTGTTATCTTCCTCCTCTCTCCAGGAGTATGAACACCTAGCTGCCCAATTGGACGGGGCCAGGACTGACCTCACCAAGAAGGTCAACGATATCTCCCAGGCAGCGGCCAAAGAGGACATCGTGGAGCGAGCAGAGAAACATGCTGAGAACCTGGCCAAGCTGGCCAAGGAACTACAGGAGTGAGTTATAGGGATATGAGGACATTATCTTTATGGCCAGGGTTATGAGGACAGTGCAGTTTCTGCTGCTTGTATAGCTCAAGTTCAAATCTTTTTGTGTTTTAGGTAATGGAAGTTGCCAGATATTGTTAAAAATATCAATTTTACAGGATAGATCAAAAAGTGTCAGATAATAGCTCAGCACTTAATTAATGAGAACAATAGAGGCTCAATTAAAAAGGTTTTCCAAGTATAAACGACCTAGTATAGAAGCCAGGCGTTGTGGTTCTGTAACAGGGATGTTTATGTTGGGTGGTTTCCATCCTCAGTGGGTCGTGCCAGATAGATCTGCCATCCGATAGATCCCCCAGAGGCTGCATGTTTGTTGTTCCGCTTTTCAACAAATCTAGATGCGTGTGTTGACCTGTGTACTCTCTCGCTCTACCTCCTTTCTGTTCTCTCTTCTCCCTTCCTTCTCTCTCTACCCCCTCCCCCCCTCTCCTCCTCTCCTCCCTTTCTATCTTCCTATGTCACAGTGCTGTGAGGGACTCGAGTGGCCGCTCTGATGTGCGTGATGCCATGGACGCCATTAAGGCCTACAAGAACATCACAGATGCGGTGAACGCTGCAGAGAAGGCAGCCAAGGAGGCCAAGGATGCAGCTGACAAGGCCCTAAAGGTCAGTCCACAGTCCAGCCACTAGACCCTTATCACAGAGATAATGACTACTCAGAACCTCAACTTTTAGCTGACATGGCTTTGGTTTACCTTCTGTTTTTGCAATATTCTTAAACTTTTGTTATTCTTTTTCAATCTAGGATGTGAAGAAAGAGGACCTGACAAAGAGAGCTAAGAATCTGAAAGACAGCGGGAACGACCTACTGAGGAATGCAGAGGATGCAGAAAAAGATCTCAAAGGTATGTTGCTATAAGTTGTAATGGAGTTTTTAGAGATGGCAAGGAGCCAACCAAATACAAGTGGCTTAAATTAGTTTTAACTAAGCTCTGGTTTGACTCCACAGAGGTCTCTGATGACCTCACAGCCCAGAAGAAACGCCTGAAGGACGCAGAGAAGAAGAAGAAAGCATTGGAGAAGGACCTGATGGATGCTCAGGCAGAGCTGAACAACATCATGAGAGGTAAACCGGCTCAGATAGTTAGAGGACCAGAGGAAGTCTAATAGATCAGCCCTAATCCCTCCTTCCCCTTCTCCTCCTTCCCTCCTTCCCCCTCTCCTCCTTTCCCCATTCCCTCTCTTCTCTCCTCCTGTCAGATGATATAGGGGAGATGTTGGACGAGGCGAAGAGGGAAGGCAGCGTCAGCCAATGACACGGCTAGCACCACCATGGACAGACTGAATGCCATCAGAGAGGAAGTGGATAAGATCAACGTCATGCCCTCCGACTCCAACCTCAGCAGCGTCATGGATGATGTGGACAAGTCAGGTGAGGGATCACTCCACTAACCTATGTCTGCATAGGATGGAGGGAATGTACACCCATGGACAGGGCTTCCTTGTAAAAATAGATTTATATACTGCATCAATGGCACTCAACCGGAAAATAAAGGTTGAATTAATACTACTTGTCTTATTTGATGATATTACCATGCATGTATAGTACTGTATGGACAGCCATGTTTGTCCACTCTTTGCCTGTTTTGTGTGTTTTGTATAGGTGTGAAATGGTTAAAAGGTCTAACTACTCTCTCTCTCTCTCTGTATCTCCCTCGCCCCCTTCCCTCTCTCCCCATCCACAGTGAGGAATCTGTTGAACACAATCCCGTCTCTGCAGGATAAGATCTTGGAGGTGGAAGAGCTCAGCTCTCAGCTGTCCCCCGTCACCAACATCTCAGAGAACATCAAGAGGATCAAGGAGCTCATCGAGCAGTCTAGAGACGCAGCCAACAGGGTAAGAACGCAACACACCCACACACACACACCCTGGGTCCACACCCCACCAGATATGCCCACTGTGTACTACCTATCCCCTTTCCACTGGCCATACAGTTGAAAGGATTGCAGGTCTAGGTCTTGACAGAGCCATTTGGTGAATATGTACCATCATTTGTTGGACAGTTGTTATTCCCATTAAGGAAAACAAGGATTTCTCTTTACACTGCTGGTCCCTTTAACCATGTGCAACCTCTCTCCTCATCTCCTCCCCCTGTCTCTCCAGGTTGTGGTCCCTATGAAGTTCAGTGGTGAGGGCCACGTGGAGCTGCGTCCCCCCAGGGACATGGAGGACCTGAAGGCATACACTGCCCTGTCCCTGTCCTTGCAGAGACCAGTGAACCCCGACATCGGCAGAGGGGGGGATGGAACACGCAGACGCAGACAGGACACCACCACCACAGACAAAGGAGACATGTTCGTACTCTACCTCGGCAACCAAGACGTGAGTGGACTGGACAGGATTTGGGTTGTAAAGGGAGGGTATATTATCTAAAACGTTCTAAGTTTACCAGTAACTACCAGAATTTTGGTATCTTTCAAGGATTTTATGGAATCTATCACAAGACATCTAGTGGCCCTTTTGGGTACTTCAGATTATCACAGGCGTCTGTAATATTCTCTGGCCCTCTGTGTGGGATTATCACATGAAAATAATAAAATAAAATAATTTTAAAATAAAAAATTTAATTACAATGCTGTAAAATATTATCCTAAATATAAGCCATCAACTTAGTGAATACCTTTTTACTTTGATTTATTTTACTATGTCAATATGTATTTGTAGTCAATGTTTGGTCCTCAAACTGGTGGCAGTTGTGAAAAAAGTCAATAGTTGGAAGAGTTGCAGTGTTAATTGAAAATAATGACGTTGTTGATTAGATGCTTTTTTCATTCATTAGGCTATTTTCTCTTGAACCATATGGTCTATCTACTAGAAACTCATGGACAATGGGGACACAGATAAAATTTTTCTAAGTTATTCAAGTATATATTACCAAAGTTACGATAGATTGCCATAGATTTTCTGTTAATTACCAAAATGACTGAAGGTTCCGGTAACTTTGGTAAATTACCGGTAGCTTTGCAACCCTAGACAGGACACAACCTGGCCTTTGTAGTCCCTTTGTTCTCCTAATGAAACACTGGATGGTATAGATTTGACTATTTGATTTTTGGTCATAAAACTCTCTCTGGCACTTCAGTCGCCATCCTCCTAATACATTTTAGTCATTTAGCAGACACTCTTATCCAGAGCGACTTACAGGAGTGAGTGCATACATTTTCATACTTTTTCGTACTGCTCCCGCGTGGGAACCCTGGCTTTGCAAGTGCCATGCTCTACCAACTGAGCCACACGGGATCCTGTCATATATGATCCATTTGTATATTTCTCTATTGAAATAATGGCACCGTATAGATTTGACAGTTTGCTTGTGGCTGGAAATGCTCCCACTGACTGTCCTCACCTCTCTCTTCCACAGTCATCTAAAGACTACATTGGCATGGCCCTGAGGAAGAATGTGCTGTTCTGTGTGTACAAGCTGAGCGGAGAGGAGTATGAGATTAAGACAGACTACATCACTAGGTCTTTCTCTGAGCCTGCCTTCTTTGACAAGGTGGACCTGCACAGGTAAAACCATACCTTTGTCCAGCTCAAGTCTTAGGAATTGGAAACGTTATTTGAGTGAGTAACCCTAATCTAACTTTTTTACAATCTCTTAGAATTTACCAAGACGCACAGGTGATCCTCACCAAACTGTTCACATCCAACGAGCCGGACCTTCCTCAGGCCAGCAGTAAGCAGGGAGAGCTGACCAGGAACCTTCTAAACCTGGACCCTAGTGACGTGGTCTTCTATGTCGGGGGCTACCCCGCCCAATTCACTGTAAGCCCCCCAAAACATTGACTGGAAATGACCATTTTCAGTGCCTAGGTGACATTACTATTCCTGATTATTGAAACATTCTCAAAGTCTTATTATACCTGAATATGCTTTGTTTCTATAGCCTCCAGCCTCCCTCAACTACCCCAACTATAAAGGATGCATCGAGCTGTCCACCTTCAACGACAGATTCATCAGTCTGTACAACTTTAAGAAGGCTGTCAAGATCAACCTGGAGACTCCGTGCAAGAGGTTGGTTTAGAGCTACTCAAAGCCTAATAAGGTATTGACGGGAGATAACGCTCCTGGGCCAGAGGACAACAAAGACTTACGGTCCCATACTCAATATGCCTTAGAGTCCTTATACAGTCAATCTAACCTGTCAGTCACTTGACTGCTGAACGTCTTAAGTGGCTAGACTAATTCCAAACCTTACATGCCTGCTACACTGGACCTTTTCACAGTGTGACATGCTCCTATTCATTTCAATGAAACCTGGGCTTTAGCAGCACGGCTCCGTGAGAGGCTCGCACTGCTCAGCGTAAAATTAGGCTTCAGTTCTATTTTCGAGCCTGAGAGCACTTGATGAAGTGGCTTCCGCTTTGCTCGCGCACATCCAGTGTAGCATGTAAAAACTGACTGTTTTCCCGACACCCCAGTGTAGCATGTAAAAACCGACTGTTTTCCCGACACCCCAGTGTAGCATGTAAAAACCGACTGTTTTCCCGACACCCCAGTGTAGCATGTAAAAACCGACTGTTTTCCCGACACCCCAGTGTAGCATGTAAAAACCGACTGTTTTCCCGACACCCCAGTGTAGCATGTAAAAACCGACTGTTTTCCCGACACCCCAGTGTAGCATGTAAAAACCGACTGTTTTCCTGACACCCCAGTCTAGCATGTAAAAACCTACTGTTTTCCCGACACCCCAGTCTAGCATGTAAAAACCGACTGTTTTCCCGACACCCCAGTGTAGCATGTAAAAACCGACTGTTTTCCCGACACCCCAGTGTAGCATGTAAAAACCGACTGTTTTCCCGACACCCCAGTCTAGCATGTAAAAACTGACTGTTTTCCCGACACCCCAGTCTAGCATGTAAAAACCGACTGTTTTCCCGACACCCCAGTCTAGCATGTAAAAACCGACTGTTTTCCCGACACCCCAGTGTAGCATGTAAAAACCGACTGTTTTCCCGACACCCCAGTGTAGCATGTAAAAACCGACTGTTTTCCCGACACCCCAGTGTAGCGCCCCAGGTAGTTATGAGTCTTTACATCTTCTAACCTTAACCCTATTCTGATTGAATCCCCCTGTGCCCAGGTATGTCCAGCCAGTGGTTTATGACTACTTTGAGGGGACTGGCTATGCCAAGGTGTCCACCCAAGGTGTCATGGTGCCCACCCTCCTCCTGAGCCAGACCATCTCCACTCGCTCAGAGAATGGGCTTCTCCTCTACATTGGAAATGAGGTAGGCTACTTAGTCTTTTTACAGGGAAACATTTGGTGTGGTAAGGTTGATGATGTACCATGGTTGACACTTGAATAGCTGTTGAAATTCTGTACTGTTGTCAGTCTGTCCACTGACTGTGTTTGACATTGCTTGTTTTCTTCTTTTCATAGGACAACTACTACAGTGTGACGTTTGAGAGAGGCTACGTTGTCATCCATAGTAACCTGCTCCGAGAGCCGGCACGAAGCACTACCAAAGTCTTCCCAGTGGTAAGGCAGTTGGCGCTAGATGGGTGGAATAATTTGTCTGTTCTATCTTTTTGATATTTGGTTATTTGTAGATTTTGCATTATTTTGCTTAAATAGTAACCCCTGATTTTCCTTCTCTTAAGGTTGCAGATTCAGCAGAAGTGTTGATCATCATGGAGTCTAAAGGAAGCCAAGAGATGAAGATCCGTGTAGCAACCAATGAGGTGGTCAAGGCTAATGTTCAGTACACCCCTGGAGGCTTCACAGACTACTACATCGGTGGCCTACCACAAGCCCTGAGAGAAAAGTGAGTGCTTACTAGGAACATTATTATAATGTTTGGCCCATGTTTGGTATTGCCATTTTGATAATCAAACTCTGGCCATGTTACATGGCTGTTGAGTAAGTTTTAAATCGTTATTGGTAGTACACTGTTTCCCTAACCCTACACCATACCAGAGTCTAAATACAATTGTGTTTTGTGTGTTCTCGCTCACAGACACAACATCACCACCCAGCCACTGAAGGGCTGCATGAAGAACGTCAAGCTCAACAGCAAGTACCCCACCTTCCAGGAAAAAGTTGGCATCAGCCGGGGCTGTCCCAAGGACTTCCTGGTAAGTCTTCACTTTTCACTAAAGTTTTCAAATGTGGTCAACACAGTAAGTCAGCGTTTGGGGTCAATTTGAATTGAAGGTAGCCAATTCAGGAAGTGATTTGAATTTCAACTTACATTTTTTTACAACTTTTGAAATAAGTAGCTTTTACTTTTAAGTTTATTGATAAGTCATTGAAAACGCCTTTTTTCAATTATTGAATTCTCATATAAAATCAATACCATGGCATTACATTTTTATTTATACCACTATGATATTCACTTACTGGAAACTATAAATGATATGTCAGGAAGCCATTTCTGTGTGTCCACTACTGTGTATTTTGATGCCACCTAGACGCTGCAAATGACTCCAGTCCACTGTTAGTAACAGCATGATAATGTCTCTGTGTTCCAGGCATCTCGTAAAGCAGAGTTCAATGTGGGCAGTTCTCTGTCAGCTGCTCTTAAAGGCTTCAGCCTGGCCAATGATGTCACAGTCTCACTGGGATTCAAGAGCTCTGAGAAAGAGGGGCTTCTACTGCAGAACACCGAGTCGGTTAGTAGACTACACCACCTGTTTTTCTCTCTGTCTGTCTCTCTCTCTCTCTGACTCCCTCTCTCTCTCCCTCTTCCTTCCTTCAACAGTTGTTTTAACAGTTTAGCTTTCGGATACAGCAAATGTAAGTGGACTGACTGTTTGAAATAATCGTTATCCTCCCCCTGGTCTCCGACAGAGCATTGGTGCCATCGAACTTGCCTTGGTCGACGGCTACGTGGTTCTGACATTCAAAGACGAAGTTTGGAAATCTTGGAAATCAAGCAAGCAGTACCAGGATGGCAAATGGCATTACCTGACTGCCACCAGAAGAGTGTCTCCTCAAAGGTAGAACATCAAACAGATGTCTATGAAACCCACATGTTCTGAAAAAATTTAAAATGTTAACTTTATCCAGTTCCATGATGGATTGGTGATAATTGAGACTTACTATAGACATGATTGTTGTGACAGGACAGTACACACTCGCTATACTGATTGGTAACCCCTGACAAGATACTGTAAGTACCATAGATGTGAATGCATGTCCTGTGTTGCCCTACAGTATCGCGCTGCGGATAGATGAGGATGATATGGGAGGGCAGATAACCTTAGGCTCCTTCAGGTCAAACCCAGACTCTGTGTTCCTGGGGAAAGACACCTTCAAAGGCTGCCTCTCCAACCTCTATTTGAGAAGGTAAACTCACATCACTGTATATTATTACAATGTCTAACATTAGTAACAACACAGCAGTAGTAATATTTATTATATACATATGTAGATATCATAATGGCTGTTGTTGTAGTAGTTTTATTTATTCTACCTTTATTGAAGCAGGGAGTCCTATTGAGACCCTTTTGCAAATGAACCCTGCAGAATACAACAAATACACATCGAATATGAAATGCAACCAATAAATAATAACATAGCATAACTAGTAGAGGTTTATTTTTGTAGGAAAGGTTTCATGGTAGTTTTAATGTTAACATTAAACATTTCATAGTTCACATTTCATAGTGCACTGGTGTCCTGATATTGATATTAGATACTATCTTGGTTGTACCACCTCCTGAAAGTTGCTGTGTGTGTTGTGTTGTGTTGTGTTGCAGGCCTGAATCTCTGTACATAGCAGAAGACCTGAGTCAGTTCAGCTCTACAGGAGATGTGCTGCTGGATATGTGCAATGCTGACAGATCTCCTCAACTGATGCTTGATCGCAACACCTCCAGGAAGGTGAGAAATAACATTGAACTCAGCTAGCCCAACCAACAATGATGAACTTACAATAATTACCTACCTAACTGATGACTATCCTTATTACCAAATAACTTTTTTGTATGTTTTTTTGTATGTTTTGTGTTTGTCACACCAATCACAATTGTATTTATTTGTCCTTGTCCTAATGATGGAACGAGACTTCAATCCAAGTTTTCAATAACACTGTACTATGATTACCTACTGTAGGAATAAGCCAGTCGTTGGTGTCAGTTATCACTTCAGCATCTATCCCATACTTCCCATGAATGTTGTGTTGATGAGTTGTTCACTGTGTTTTGTGCTGCTTTGTTTCCAGAGATGAAGAGAAGGATGACCTGCTGACTAATGAGGACGAATTGATATTGACATGAGAGATATGAGCATCTCACACAATGTTTGCACAAGCCCATTGCTATTCTACTTGACTGATAAAAACATTACTGCATGGACAATCACATCATCATGACTACTATTATTAAATACAAACTATTAAAAACAATTATTTAATGAGCATTGTTTCACTTTTGATTTGTACACTGTTCTATCTTAAGCATGTTTCATGACAATAAACCACTTTTCTGACCAGTGATTCACAAGCGTCTATTAACCCACTCATTCACTATCATCATCAGTCCATCAATCCATCTGGTAACAACCAGCCTGATGTTAAGTCATTGCCCTGCCCTCACTCCCTCTCTGCTCTCCCTATTAACAATGACTAGGACCAATGAACTGATGAATGATCTATGGTCTGTACTGAGATACAACAACTATCATAATAGGATATACTTTCATAATATTATTATACTATGGAATGACTGAGGGTGTCTTATTGGAACGTTGCACAAGGAATGAACAATATTAGTTATGGCCTGTGAATACCTGGAATGTATACTGGAACATTACACTGGGAATTTCAGAGTATTGGGTAAAACAGTGCATCATTGTCATGCATAAGCAGTGTTAGAGTTTGTGTGTGCATCATTGTCATGCATTTCTTACTGTATGCCAGAGGAGGCTGGTGTGGGGAGGACGGCTCAATAATGGCTCGAATGGAGTGAATGGAATGGTATCAAACACATGGAAACCAGGTGTTTGAGATCATTCGATTAATTCTGTTCCAGCCATTACTATGAGCCTGTCCTTCCCATTTTAAAGTGCCACCAGCCACCACTGACTGCTGTATGCTCTCTCAAGCATTTTTACCTGAGCACCTTGGCCTCTGTCTGTCCAAATTATCTGATCTTCTAACATTTACATTTACATTTACGTCATTTAGCAGACGCTCTTATCCAGAGCGACTTACAAATTGGTGCATTCCTACAATAAATCAACCACTAAGCTCATTTATCTCTTTCTTTGTGAACGCCTGTCAAATCAATGTCACTCTAAACACCTCAGCTCTGTTGATTAAAACTAATTAATCGACTAACTCTTCCCAATTAAAACATGCAATGACTAACAGATTAGCACAACTGTATGCTAGAATTACAATTACCCCCATGAATAATATAGGCTCCATAAATTATTGGTGGAGTATTTCAAATGGTGCCAAGCGTGAGTGTCCTATTTGGTTGTTTATAAGCAATTTCTTTATATGCATTTTTATTAATGCAAATACAGTACATGCAAGCATATCTTATAATGATTCTGTGTATACTAAGAGCATATACAAGCACAAACATGTTCAGAGGCAATTATGATGAGGTATCTTTCCCAAAGAAAGTATGTCATATCAAAAGCCACACATACTGGCCCCTACCCTCATTCCTTCCCTCCCTACCACACCTAAACTGAAACAAAACAACAAAATGACAGATTGGGAAGTATCATGTCATCTTTGTGGAGGAAACATGACTTGTGATACATCTTACACATCTTACAAATGAGAAATGAGGGGCATTCAGCAGTTGAAACAATAACAATGGGCCACCCCGCCCCTAACAAACACTATGGATGCAAGGACTGACCATCCATAGTATTAACGTTATAGTTTTAACCATGTTTTGAGGCTATATAGTATTTGTTTACATTTACTTTGTTTACAAAGCATATATTTTGGGTTCTGATGGGGTACGACAGTTGAACTAAGCACATGAGGCATTTATTTGTTATATTCTTCAGTAATCAATGGGTACATATCATGAATTTATAAATCCAAAAATGGATAAAGTAAAGAAATCAATATTGTAGTGATACAGATCGTGATTCATGATTCAGTAAAGAGATGCTGATCATGGGGAAAGTGTGATGGAATGTATGCCTATCAACAGATTACTACTCAAAGCAGCTTTGACCCCCAAATGGGAGCCATCTTGATCAGTTTCTAATTCCCAGAGGCCTACAGTAGATAATAAGGGTGACTGAGGAATGAGAATGGGCTCATACATGTTAATCGAGCACAGTGTCATATTCACCAAAGCTCTTTATCCTCCAAAATCTGTCTTTGCATTTCAGAACCACATTTCCATTGACTAAGGCAAATCCTGCCCCAGTGCTACGTTGGAGGTTAATCCCATACATATATTTAAACCATTTTCTCTAATATTGAGTTCCTGTTTCTCTGTGCCTGTGTGTGTTTTGTATAGGATGTTGGTATGGAGGTGTCAGATGACAGTCTCTCTGTGTGTGCACATCCTGCCCTGGTCAAACATGCTTACCACATTGGGGGCACTGTGAGTAGCCTGAGCTACAGCTTCACTCCCCAGGCACTCCAGCCCAGGTGAGTAGACGCACACGCACGCTCACACTCTCTCTCTCTCTCTCTCTCTCTCTCTCTGGCCTGACTCCCCTCTCTCTCTCTATCTCTCTCTCTCTCTCTCTCTGGCCTGACTCCTGTCTCTTTCCTCCACTAGACCTCATTTCTCCCTGGACGTGAGGACCAAGTCTGCCAAAGGCCTGCTGTTCTATGCAGCCACCAGAGGGGGGAGCTCTCACATGGCTCTCTACCTGTCCAAGGGCAGGATCAGACTGTCAGTAGACAAGAGGAGGGAGATCTTCAACAGGGAGAAGTACAACGATGGAAAGTGGCACTCGGTCAGTGGGTTACAATCTAAGACAATCTGCACTCAGTAATGTTGTTTCACATCATACATTCACAAACAGTTGTTTGCAGTAGTTCAGTAGTTTATCAATGTTTCATGAGAGAAAAGTTTTTTTGGGAAACTTACCAAATCACTCTGTGGCACTACAATCAGTTAGTGACAGGGATGTGCATTGATTTGTCCTTTGTGGTGACCTCACCTCTGCAGGTAATATTCAGCCTAGAGAAGAAGAAGTTCAGGTTGGTAGTGGACGGTATCAGGGCTCAAGATGGACAGCTGACCAGTGATGAGGCCACCTCCAAGGAATTGATCTCTCCTCTTTACATGGGAAGTGCTCCTGATTCCTTGAACAAAGAACTGAAGGTAGCCAACACACATACACCAGTGGAGGCTGGTGGGAGGAGCTATAGGAGGACCAGCTCATTTTAATGGATGGAATGCTATCAAAGGAACAGAATCATACGTGGTTTCAATATACATTTTAGTCAATTAGCAGACGCTCTTATCCAGAGCGACTTACAGTTAGTGAGTGCCTACATTATGTTTTTCATACTGGCCCCCCTTGGGAATCGAACCCACAACCCTGGCATTGAAAACGCCATGCTCTATCAACTGAGCTACATCCCTGCCGGCCATTCCCTCCCCTACCCTGGACGATGCTGGGCCAATTATTCGCCGCCCCATGGGTCTCCCGGTCGCGGCCGGCTACGACAGAGCCTGGATTCAAACCAGGATCTCTAGTGGCACAGCTAGCACTGCGATGCAGTGCCTTAGACCACTGCGCCACTCGGGAGGTTATGTTAGATGCTGTTCCATTTATTCCATTCCAACCATTCCAATGAGCCTGTCCTTCTATAGCTCCTCCCACCAGCCTCCACTGATGGATACACACGCACACACAGACACAGACACAAACACAAACACACATACAGTTGGCTACTGGACAGTATACACTCACACCCCAAAATTGTATTGTATTTTCTCTTTACTTTCAGTGGAAGCTCCTCCCAAGGCTAAGTGTGATTGGCTGTGTGCGTAACTTCAAGATGAATGGCACTCCCATGCCAGAGCCAACCATGAATCATGGTGCTGGTCCCTGCTTTGACGGACAGGCACAGAGTGGGGCCTACTTCTCAGGGAGAGGGGCATATGTCATTATCAGTGAGTAGAAAACAAAATATTGAGATTGGTAATATGGTGCATGATAATCTCTATTAACCCAGAAGTAAAATCTTGAATAATTTGGTCAGCTGCGTGATTAACTTATGTGTTCATACATGTTAGAAATTGAGAGTTCCTGCAAAAAAGAAGTCTCCACCCTCGCAAAAGAAAAATCTCAGCCAAAGCCCCCCATCCAATCCGTGTGGGCACATACATGAAGCACTCGAGGCGAAGCAGTTTAACCACTGCCTTCGCCCAATTCTGATATGTCCAAATAACCAGTGACGAAAACCCCACAACTGGAACTAATGCAGCTCGTTATTTCACACATCCCATTCAGTCCCGTCAGATTCTTCGGTCTACACGCAGAATCTTCCCACGGGAGATTAGGTGCACGATGAAGATGATAATCACAACAATGATGAGGCTGATGATGATGATCAGATGATGATGATGATGTCTTTTCCAGATGATTCCTTTGTGGTGGGCTCCAGCTTCGAGGTGGTGTTTGACATCCGTCCCAGGAGTCTGACTGGTGTTCTGCTCCATGCGGGGGACTCCAGCAGGCCTCGCCGTGGGCCCAACGCTGGACACCACCTCAGCCTCTACATGCACAGAGGAGAGGTGAGCCTGCCCTGGGCTGTGTGGACTGGGCCAGTCACAGCCTTGAAATTGTTTCCTTGACACATGATTCCTTGAACTAGTTTGACCTCTCAAGTGCTAGATTTGACCTTTCAAGCTGACCTTTCAGACCTCTCAAGGGTTACATTTGACTTTCAAATAATTTAAACATGATTCCAGTTCAGGCTGATTTTAGGCTGAGTTTCCTTGCAGACACATACTGGTGCCTGAGCAGCCATAAATATGTTGTGCAGTGTTGTGATGCACATGTGTTTCTCCAGGTGGTGGCACGGGTGAACAATGGAGCTGGTGAATTCAACGTGTCCGTCCGGCCCAAGCAGCCCTTGTGTGACGGAATGTTCCACAGAGTTGCTGGTACAACTTTTGTTATAACATTTTATAACTTGCCCATACCCAACTAGCTAGCTACAAATTAATGATAATAAGTGTCTTTAATACGTAATAAGTGACGCCCATGGGGAATGTGTGTGTGTGTGTTTCTCACATCAGTGATCAAGAGGAACAACGTTGTGGAGATGCATGTGGACACCGAGGGTGACCACAAAATAGGACCGTCCTCCTCGTCCTCTACTCTAACCAAAGACCCTCTCTATGTGGGCGGCATTCCAGGTAGGTACTCTGGAGGAGAGGTCACTGAATTTACAACTACATTAAAACTTTCAGACCTGGAGTCCATTGTAATGGAGTACCTCTTGTATTTTACACAAATAATAACCTCTAGATCCTATAGGACGGTAAATGATAGATGAATCGAATACATAGTCACACTGAATTTAGACTCCATCACTATTTTGCCTCTTGAATACAGTACTGTATCTGTCTCTTCCTTGTGCAGAGATGTCCATGCACCTGACCCTCCCTGTCACAGGGTCCTTCGAGGGCTGCATCCAGAACATGAAGATCAACGAGGACCCGGTCTCCTTTAAGAAGCTCTCTGGGGTGTTCGGTCCAGTCAACCTCAGAGAGTGTCCTGCTGGCTGAGTAGTCCATGACCACATCCTGGGACTACGTCCACTGTCTACTGGCCGCCACGTGCAATCTATTACAAAGACAGAGAATATGTGTGTGAGAGAAAGCATGTGTGTGTGTGTGTGTGCGCACTCGCATTTGTGTTGGTAAATATAGGAGCGGCTCAGAGATTCATGTGTGTTGCTCTGTATGAGGAAACTAAAGATAAAGAGAGATGAGCTAGTCTGTAGTGTTATCGCTATTGTATATTTATTTTGTGATAAATGTGTTTATTATCACCGTCTTTGTTATTGAATATATTCTAATATTCTAATGTTGTACCATCTGGGTTAGACATGTCTGTTTCCCCCCATTAGGCTCTTCCTTTGTATTCCCTGTCCTCCTCCCCCATAGTATACAAAAGCTTTCCTTAGACTTTAGAGTGGATGTGGTGTGTGTTTGGTCAGCATTGCATCATGGCCAGCAAATATAAGCAACCCTGCACTTTAAAAAACAAATGCCATGTTGACCAGTTAACAAAGAAAATGTCAGTCACAACAATGGACTCTACAATGGTATTACGATTTAAATTACCATTCTGTATCTCTTGTGACATGTAATGTTGAACTCATCCATTTTTGTGTGTAGGGCCTACAATAATTACATTGGGATATTTTCTTTACGTGAATGTTGTCTGTTATCAGAATAATTTTTAATCATCAATATGAATCCGGAATTGTCAATTCTTTGGAAAAAGCAAGACATTTTCTCTCAGTAGATTAGTCTCGAAAATGATATTAAACAGAATTGGGACCACTGAGAAATGTACCCCCCCCCAAAAAGAAATTGCTCTCAGTTTTCTCACATACAAGTGGATATACCTCAGACTAAGCTATGTATATAATTGTGTATAATGCTTGATTACTATTTTCCATAATGAAACATTCAGTGTAAATGTTGTATTCACTGTTGACAGTTACACCAGCTACCATTTACTTTACACTTGGCCACCCTTTATTGTACATGTATGCATTCCTGCCTTTTTACCACTGATATCATTCAACATTTGTGAGTGGGTTAATCATGTCTGTCCATCTGTCTGTCTTCATTGCCTATTTATGTGAGTTTTGAATGCTTGTAATTCTTTTGAACTTGGTGTTTACATTTTATGTGTAACCTTTTAATAAAATACAGCAGAAATCATGCCCTTAGCCAATATTAAAGTGTTTTGGATATTACCCTGTACATTTTGCCATTTCACATTAGTTGATATATAGAATATAGGGCATATTTCCCGCTCCCTGGTGTTCTATATCTCTATAAAAAAAAAAACATCTGCTGGAGCCAGACCCTATTGGAAATGTTGGATAATTAGCGTTTCTCAAATTTGCACACTAAACGCTCATTGGCTAATCCCTGTCGGCAAGAAAAATATGGTCGCGCGGGGTTTCCATTTCCTCTATTTCCGCACGCACCCGAACACAGAGAGAAAGACGGACACACACAAGGCTGAAGAAAACGATGTAAATCAACAGTATTGTTGTACCGCAAACACTTTTGCTAGAATTAAAGTATTATTTATAAGAACATGCAATAGCCGTTGTTAGTTCGAAGAGGTGGTGGTAGCAGCCCATTGTACAGCAGCTGCAACGAGACGAGGTGCAGTGCACACCGCCTCCGCCACAAGTCTAGCCGCTGTCACTTCCATTTCACTGGTGTATTTTGGTTCGATAGGCGAAGCGCGCTGACAATTTGTCAATCAGTTGTCGACACTAAATAGACGGGTTGTGATCGATGGCGAACCCAGAACCAGCCCAGCAACATGTGGAGGAGAAAGCGGAGCAGGTTGACGACGCAGAGTTGGCATTTAAAGGAATAAACATGCTGCTCAACAACGGATTCAAGGAGAGCAACGAGCTGTTCAGAAAATACAGGTCAGAAGGTCCCGTGCCATAAACAATGAGATAATAGACTATCACTGTGTAATTGGTTAATTCATTTGGCGAAATAATGAAATCTAGGAGCTATCATATTTCCGTGATCTGTTGATTTCTTTCGAGTGAGGAAGCCCACGTGAAACTGATTATTATAGGCTAATTTGTTACAGTGTAACTAATCAGTTTGCTACAGCGTTTCTCATCAAGTTTCAAGTTTCAATCACTGATACAGCAACAGTTCTAACAAAGTACATCGTAACATTCCGTCCCAAGTGGCCCATTCAAGTGTGCAAGATCACAATGGGGACTGACTCTCCCTTATCAGTTGTCAGTGTGCATTGGTGCTTAAACATCTAATTTTAACGTTAGTCATTTAGGCCAAATGTGTACCTTTTGACTAGTGTTTGTGTTCTCTTACAGAGCTCTGTCAGTTTGTAGACACCTTTCTCTCTCTGCTCACTGGCTCTGTCAATCTGTTGTTAAATACCTTACCTTGTTTCTCCCCACAGCTAGCTTCCTACAGACCTCACTCTTGTGTCATGTTGAAGAGATATTTTAATTCAGTGTTTGTTTGTAGTTTTCTGTAATATTAAATGTTTCCCTTTTCCCTCAATGCAAAACTGCTGACTCCAAGCACATTTGCAATAGCTTGTATCCGTATCACTTCACTATTCTGCTATTTTGAGAGGCTTGTTGTGATGAGCAAGCCAAATGGGACTAGACATAAACAGTGAGATACAAAAGTATTGGGACAGTTACACCATTTTGTTGTTTTGGCTCTGTACTCCAGCACTTTGGATTTGAAATGATACATTGATACACAAGTGCAGACTGTCAGCTTTAATTTTATGGGTATTTTCATCCATATCGGGTAAACCGTTTGGAAATTACAGCAGTTTTTGTACATAGACCACCCATTTTAGGAGACCAAAGGTATTGGGACAAATTCACTTTTGTGTATTAAAGTAGTCAGAAGTTTAGTATTTGGTCCCATATTCCTAGCATTCAATGATTACCCATAAAATGTAATCTGACAGCCTGCATTTTAACCTCAGTCATTGTATCATTTCAAATCCAAAGTGCTGGAGTACAGAGCCAAAATAACAGAATGTGTCACTGTTCCAGTACTTTTGGAGCTCACTATATAATTGAAGGATAGTTGAAATACTTTTTTTTGCTGTACATCTGTACTTTATCAAATAACCTATTCGTACTTGCTTTTTAGCCAAGATCTCACACCAGTTGGGAGAACTGCATCTGAGTTAGCAGTGGTTAGCTGCTATGCAAGCAGACCACAAACATTCCTGTCATGTCAGTCATTGAATGTTCTTTAACTAAGGTTACTCTGAGAGCAAACAAGTTGGTGTTCCCAAGTTGTTCACATGATTTACTAGTACCACCTCACTCCTCAAATATAATCGGCAACCTAATAATTGTTATCACTGTCCATATCTAGATCTACAGCGTGATTAGGCCTAAGTCAGTAGATTTCTTGTCTCACTGTGAAAGGTCTTGCGTTGGAATTATAAGGAAGTGACTTACAGTTGTCCAAAACAGTTGTTCTGTTTTCTCTTTTCAAAACTGGTTCAATGGCTATTTTTACCCTGTAGGCACCTGCAACTTTAGGTGAAAGAAATTCATCATTTAGCAGACGCTCTTATCCAGAGCGACTTACAAAGTGGTGCATTCACCTTATAGCCAGTGGGATAACCACTTTACAATATGTATTACATTTTTTGTGGGGTAATGGGGGGGTAGAAGGATTACTTTATCCTATCCCAGGTATTCCTTAAAGAGGTAGGGTTTCAAGTGTCTCCGGAAGGTGGTGAGTGACTCCGCTGTCCTGGCGTCGTGAGGGAGCTTGTTCCACCATTGGGGTGCCAGAGCAGCGAATAGTTTTGACTGGGCTGAGCGGGAACTGTGGTAGGGGGGCCAGCATGCCAGAGGTGGATGAACGCAATGCCCTCGTTTGGGTGTAGGGACTGATCAGAGCCTGAAGGTACGGAGGTGCCATTCCCCTCACAGCTCCGTAGACAAGCACCATGGTCATCTGCCTCCAACCAACCAAATTAATTTGAATTCTTCAGAATTCTGAATAATGTAGTCCAGGCCATTTTTTAAATTAAATTTTACTTTGAGGTGAAACATCGACATTTCAGTTTTGGTTGCTGTGCAGTTGTAAATCAAACAAATACATGTGTGAACACCAAACTAGTTTCAATTTCAACTTATTTTAGAAGGAATTAGTGAATCATTTTAATAACGTTGAAGGGTGCCAATAGATTAGAGACCAACTGTATATTAAATATAGCATTGTTCTAAAACTTGATAGGCAATAGTGTTAGGCTATGTACTGTAACTAGGCTACACATGGCAGCAGGTGCCAATCAGTGATAGTCATTGTGATTACAGATAAAACACAGCAGGCTTAGTTAGATCCTCAAAGACACACACACACACACAGCCTTGTCTCCTGCTGATTGCCTAAATGTCACCTCTCCCACTAATTACATTGAGCTCTGAGCTCCAGAGAGAGCTGCACACTGTGAACTGTACGTCATAAGAGATGGAGGGAACTGAAAGTAGACAGCTGTAGATAAAATCCAGGCTGATCAAGCTTCTGTTCACCTCATCATCCCATATTTCTATACTGCAGGCTTAAAAATGAAAGCATAAAATGGATAGAATCAAGCCTACTACATTTTTGGATATTAATAACCTTCCAGACTTTGAGACATGAATGCAACTACAATGAAATGTTCTCTTGGAGTACAAATCACATTTGGGGGATTCAAGTGCGAGTGTTAGTTCCTGTATGCTTTTTAAAATTCATTTATTTTATTAGAACTCAAAATTCTGTTAGGAAATTGGTAACGACATTTTCGGAAAATTGGAAATTGAATTGGCTAAAATGGGAAATCATAGTAGACACAAACCACAAGTGTCGACATCACTGTACAGTAGAGTTCAGTAAAGAAAAGTACAATTCAGTACAGTGCACACTAGAGTAGAGTACACTATAATGAACTGTACTGAACTCTGCTGTTCTGTGATGTGCTCTACTGTACTAAACTCTTCTCTACTCTACTGATCTGTGCTTTGCTGGACTGTACTCTGCTGAGCTCTACTGTGCTGTATTTTGATGTCCAAACTTGTGAAACATAGACGTCTATGATTGGTTAAGTCCGGACAAACCAAATCTGTTTTTGTTTGGGGGCAGAGCTCATTTAAAATAATAGTCAGTGTGTAGAATAATACCCAAATATGCAAAGGAGGATATTGCATAGATACAGTTGAAGTCGGAAGTTTACATACACTTAGGTTGGAGTCATTAAAACTCGTTTTTCAACCACTCCACACATTTCTTGTAAACAAACTAGAGTTTTGGCAAGTCGGTTAGGACATCTACTTTGCATGACACAAGTAATTTTTCCAACAATTGTTTACAGACAGATTATTTCACATATAATTCACTGTATCACAATTCCACTGGGTCAGAAGTTTACATACACTAAATTGACTGTGCCTTTAAACAGCTTGGAAAATTCCAGAAAATGATGTCATGGCTTTAGAAGCTCCTGATAGGCTAATTGACATCATTTGAGTCAATTGGAGGTGTACCTGTGGATGTATTTCAAGGCCTACCTTCAAACTCTGTGCCTCCTTTGCTTGACATCATGGGAAAATCAAAAGAAATCAGCCAAGACCTCAGAAAAAAAATTGTAGACCTCCACAAGTCTGGTTCATCCTTGGGAGCAATTTCCAAACGCCTGAAGGTACCACGTTCATATGTACAAACAATAGTACGCAAGTATAAACACCATGGGACCACGCAGCCATCATACCGCTCAGGAAGGAGACGCGTTCTGTCTCCTAGAGATGAACGTACTTTGGTTCGAAAAGTGCAAATCAATCCCAGAACAACAGCAATGGACCTTGTGAAGATGCTGGAGGAAACAGGTACAAAAGTATCTATATCCACAGTAAAACGAGTCCTATATCGACCGTTCAGGCCGTTCAGCAAGGAAGAAGCCACTGCTCCAAAACCGCCATAAAAAAGCCAGACGACGGTTTGCAACTGCACATGGGGACAAAGAGCGTACTTTTTGGAGAAATGTCATCTGGTCTGATGAACAAAAATAGAACTGTTTGGCCATAATGACCATCGTTATGTTTGGAGGAAAAAGGGGTCAGCTTGCAAGCTGAAGAACACCATCCCAACTGTGAAGCACGGGGGTGGCAGCATCATGCTGTGGGGGTGCTTTCCTGCAGGAGGGACTGGTGCACTTCACAAAATAGATGGCATCATGAGGAAGGAAAATTATGTGGTTATATTGAAGCAACATGTCAAGACATCAGTCAGGAAGTTATAGCTTGGTCGCAAATGGGTCTTCCAAATGGACAATGACCCCAAGCATACTTCCAAAGTTGTGGCAAAATGGCTTGTGGAAGGCTACCTGAAACGTTAGGGCTCGCAGTTGGCGGGCCATTTCATCCCAAAGGTGTTCGATGGGGTTTGAGGTCAGGGCTCTGTGCAGGCCAGTCAAGTTCTTCCAAACTGATCTCGACAAACCATTCCTGTATAGACCTCGCTTTGTGCATGGGGGCATTGTCATGCTGAAACAGGAAAGGGCCTTCCCCAAACTGTTGCCACAAAGTTGGAAGCACCGAATCGTCTAGAATGTCATTGCATGCTGTAGCGTTAAGATTTCCCTTCACTGGAAATAAGGGTCCTAGCCTGAACCATGAAAAACAGCCCCAGACCATTATTCCTCCTCCACCAAACTTTACAGTTGGCACTATACATTGGGGCAGGTAGCGTTCTCCTGGCATCCGCCAAACCCAGAATCGTCCGTCGGACTGCCAGATGGTGAAGCGTGATTCCTCACTCCAGAGAACGTGTTTCCACTGCTCCAGAGTCTGATGGTGGCGAGCTTTACACCACTCCAGCCGACGCTTGGCATTGCGCATGGTGATCTTAGGCTTGTGTGCGGCTGCTCAGCCATGGAAACTCATTTCATTAAGCTGTCAACGAACAGACATTGTTCCAGAGGCAGTTTGGAACTCGGTTGTGAGTGTTGCAATCGAGGACAGATTTTTACATGCTACACAGATTATTTGTATGCGCTTCAGCACTTTGCGGTCCTGTTCTGTGATCTTGTGTGGCCTACCACTTCGCGGCTGAGCCATTGTTGCTCCTAGATGTTTCCACTTCACAATAACAGCACTTACAGTTGACCGGGGCAGCTCTAGCAGGGCAGAAATTTGACGAACTGACTTGTTGGAAAGGTGGCATTCTATGACGGTGCCACGTTGAAAGTCACTGAGCTCTTCAGTAAGGCTATTCTACTGCAACGGGTGTGGCTGAAATAGCCGAATCCACTAATTTGAAGGGATGTCCACAAACTTGTGTGTGTATTCATACCCCTTGACTTTTTCCATATTTTGTTACGTTACAGCCTTATTCTAAAATTGATTAAGTTAAAAAAACAATAATGACAAAGCAAAAACAGGTTTTTAGAAATTGTTGCAAATGTATTAAAAATAAAAGCTTGGCACACCTGTATTTGGGGAGTTTCTCCTATTCTTCTCTGCAGATCCTCTCAAGCTCTGTCAGGTTGGATGGGGAGCGTTGCTGTACAGTTATTTTCAGGTCTCTCCAGAGATGTTCGATCGGGTTCAAGTCCGGGCTCTGGCTGGGTCACTCAAGGACATTCAGAGACTTGTCCCGAAGCCACTCCTACGTTGTCTTGGCTGTGTACTTCGGGTCGTTGTCCTGTTGGAAGATGAACCTTTGCCCCAGTCTGAGGTCCTGAGCACTCTGGAGCAGGTTTTCAACAAGGATGTCTCTGTACTTTGCTCTGAACTTTCCCTCGATCCTGACTAGTCTCCCAGTCCCTGCTGCTGAAAAACATCCCCACACCATGATGCTGCCACCACCATGCTTCACCGTAGGGATGGTGCCAGGTTTTTTTCCCAGACGTGACACTTGGCATTCAGCCAAAGAGTTCAATCTTGGTTTCATCAGACCAGATAATCTTGTTTCTCATGGTCTGAGAGTCTTTAGGTGCCTTTTGGCAAACTCCAAGCGGGCTGTCTTGCCTTTTGCTGCGGAGTGGCTTCCGTCTGGCCACTTTACCATAAAGGCCTGATTTGTGGAGTGCTTCAGAGATGGTTGTCCTTCTGGAAGGTTCTCCCATCTCCACAGAGGAACTCTGGTGCTCTGTCAGTGACCATCGGGTTCTTGTTCACCTCCCTGATCAAGGCCATTCTCCCCGATTGCTCAGTTTGGACGTGCGGCCAGCTCTAGGAAGAGTGTTGGTGGTTCCAAACTTCTTCCATTTAAGAATGATGGAGGCCAATGTGTTCTTGGGGACCTTCAATGCTGCAGAAATGTTTTGGTACCCTTCCCCAGATCTGTGCCTCAACACAATCCTGTCTCGGAGCTCTACAGACAATTCCTTCAACCTCATGGCTTGGTTTTTGCTCTGACGTACTGTCTACTGTGAGACATTATATAGACAGGTGTTTGCCTTTCCAAATCATGTCCAATCAATTGAATTTACCAAAGGTGGACTCCAATCAAGTTGTAGAAACATCTCAAGGATGATCAATGGAAACAGGAAGCACCTGAGCTCAATTTCGAGTCTCATAGCAAAGGGTCTGGATAAGAGCGTCTGCTAAATGATTAAAATGTAAATGACCTGGCCTCCACAATCCTCCGACCTCAACCCAATTGAGATGGTTTGGGATGAGTCAGACCACAAGAGGGAAGGAAAAGCAGCCAACAAGTGCTCAGCATATGTGGGAACTCCTTCAAGACTGTTAAAAAATTATTCCAGGTGAAGCTGGTTGAGAGAGAGCCAAGCTTTTGCAAAGCTGTCATCAAGGCAAAGGGTGGCTCTTTGAAGAATCTAAAATATAAAATATATTCTGATTTGTTTAACACTTTTTTGGTTACTACATGATTCCATATGTGTTATTTCATAGTTTTGATGTCTTCACTATTATTCCTAAATGTAAAAAATAAAGAAACCCTTGAATGAGTAGGTGTTTCCAAACTTTTGACTGGTACTATATAGATAGTGTAGATATAGATACTGTTTATCTAGCTAGCTATTTGTACTAATTTAGGCTGCATCACCATGAAGAGAATGACATTCATATCTATAATTATGCATTTCTACAGTGAGGGGAAAAAAGTATTTGATCCCCTGCTGATTTTGTACATTTGCCCACTGACAAAGACATGATCAGTCTATAATTTTAATGGTAGGTTTCTCAGGAGGGATTTTGTCCCACTCCTCTTTGCAGATCTTCTCCAAGTCATTAAGGTTTCGAGCCTGACGTTTGGCAACTCCAACCTTCAGCTCCCTTCACAGATTTTCTATGGGATTAAGGTCTGGAGACTGGCTAGGCCACTCCTTTGAATATGCCTCTTCTTGAGCTACTCCTTTGTTGCCTTGGCCGTGTGTTTTGGGTCATTGTCATGCTGGAATACCCATCCACGACCCATTTTCAATGCCCTGGCTGAGGGAAGGAGGTTCTCACCCAAGATTTGACAGTACATGGCCCCGTCCATCGTCCCTTTTGATGCGGTGAAGTTGTCCTGTCCCCTTAGGTGAAGTTGTCCTGTCCCCTTAGCAGAAAAACACCCCCAAAGCATAATGGTTCCACCTCCATGTTTGATGGTGGGGATGGTGTTCTTGGGGTCATAGGCAGCATTCCTCCTCCTCCAAACACGGCGAGTTGAGTTGATGCCAAAGAGCTTGATTTTGGTCTCATCTGACCACAACACTTTCACTCAGTTCTCCTCTGAATCATTCAGATGTTCATTGGCAAACTTCAGACGGGCCTGTATATGTGCTTTCTTGAGCAGGGGGACCTTGCGGGCGCAAGTATTTCAGTCCTTCACGGCGTAGTGTGTTACCAATTTTTTTCTTGGTGAATATGGTCCCAGCTGCCTTGAGATCATTGACAAGATCCTCCCGTGTAGTTCTGGGCTGATTCCTCACCGTTCTCATGATCATTGCAACTCCACGAGGTAAGATCTTGCATGGAGCCCCAGGCCGAGGGAGATTGACAGTTATTTTGTGTTTCTTCCATTTGCAAATAATCGCACCAACTGTTGTCACCTTCTCACCAAGCTGCTTGGCGATGGTCTTGTAGCCCATTCCAGCCTTGTGTAGGTCTACAATCTCGTCCCTGACATCCTTGGAGAGCTCTTTGGTCTTGGCCATGGTGGAGAGATTGGACTCTGATTGCTTCTGTGGACAGTTGTCTTTTATACAGGTAACAAGCTGAGATTAGGAGCACTCCCTTTAAGAGTGTGCTCCTAATCTCAGTTCATTACCTGTATGAAAGACACCTGAGAGCCAGAAATCTTTCTGATTGAGAGGGGGTCAAATACTTATTTCCCTCATTTAAAATGCACATTTATAACATTTTTGACATGCATTTTTGTGGATTTTTTTATGTTGTTATTCTGTCTCTCACTGTTCAAATAAACCTACCATTAAAATTATAGACTGATCATTTCTTTGTCAGTGGGCAAACGTACAAAATCAGCAGGGGATCAAATACTTTTTTCCACTCACTGTATGTAGTACAGATCAGGGACCCATGATGAAATTCCATTACCAGCTGTAAATCCACTTCACTTACTGTAACCAAAATATATTATTTTCAAAGTCAATGTGTCATGTCATAGCTGACAGTCAGTCTTTCTGCAGACATCATTGAATCTTAATTCGGAGCAGATATTTACGTTTTTGGAAAACATGGACACATACAAAACGGAGGTAGATTTTAACTGCACAGTTCTAGTAAATATGTTTTTGTAAAATGTTCATTGTAAATTGTTAAAAGTAGACCTTGTGCATAGAGTTGTATGATTTGGTAAATTTTTGAAATTAATATTTTTTGTTGGGCATACATTTTCAATGAAAAATCTGAGTCAGCGCAATTCAGTTAAAAATGAATTGTCTTTTTGTCAATTCAGAAGTTCTGCACTCAGATGGTATGGCTGGAAGATACCCAAGTTTGACTTTGTTGAAATAACTCTGTAGCCCTCACCACACTTCACCTGTCCTGCCTCTCTTAAGTAATTGATCTGTTTTAGCTGTGCTGTGCAACCCAAATGTCTATCTTACCTCTCAGTCTATTGACATTTGACAAGGCCCTTTCCTCAAACGTCTCCATCTCTCTTCCAGGACCCACAGTCCACTGATGAGTTTCGGAGCCAGTTTTGTCAGCTTCCTGGTGAGTAGTGGTGGGAGAGGACATAGGTCAACGTCTTTTACTGATTTACTTTATCACTGCTATTCTCATTTGATACTTCTGCAATGCAGACCATTGGAGTTAGGAAACCAGAAGATATCTATGTATTACACAGTTCGTAATGTTGTACGTTTTATTGAATGCCAACGTGTTCAATTGTTGGCTTTTGACAGTACATCTCTATCTCAAACATAGATCTAGTCATAATGCATTTGATGTACAGATAGGCTGAATAAATTGAAGGTCACACAGATAATAGCACACTAGGGATATCCACAGCAGTAGTCCTGCTGTGCTTCACCTGCTGCTGGCCCACATACTGAATCATCAATGATTCACCAACCTGATATAACTGGCTCACGGTGGGCTAGAATACTGAGTGGGAATAAATGATTTGTGCACATCTCTGAAAATGTTTAGAATAAATATTAGTCAGATAAATCCAAGACTCATATAGTTGGTTGTCTAGCTGGGCTCTGTATTGTTTTATGTAGCTGCTGATAGGATCTGTGTTTATATGAAAATATTATGACTGCTAAACAATGATATCATGACTAATGAGATAACCGCTATACTGTGTGTATTGCTCTCAGAGAAAGGCCCTGACTGACTGGTACTGTGAATGTGGCTGTGTGTGTAGAATGCCATGATGACGTTTGAGGAGGAGAAGATGCAGATGGCCTTTGATGACCTCCGAGCCACTGAGAGACTGTGTGAGAGCGACAATGCTGGGGTCATAGAGACCATCAAAAACAAGATCAGGAGGAGTGTGGGTGAAGTACAATACATACCTATTGACTGCATAGCACCTCACACAGGCCCTCTCTACACAGGGTGTGTTCCTAAATTCACTCTAGAGTGCCAGAGTGCGCTCTGGTTGTTCGTAAATTCAGAGTGTTGTCAGATTGTCCGTTCGTAAATTCAGATCGTTTTGCACTCGGAGCGTTCAGAGCGCACACTGGGCGCTCTGACCGAGGAGTAGGGTTGATCCAAGTGTTCTGACCTTACAACGGCAGTCAAGCACCCAAGCTAACTGGCTAAAGTTGGCTAGCTTGCTAGCTATTTCCAGAAACAATTTCCAGAAACATTTTACTCGCCCTAGCAGAGCTGGTTAGGCTGTTTTCATGTTATCTAGAGCATTGGTGACTGTAACTGTGCTGCAATTTCTTTTAAATATACATTTTTGCCAACGTTTACTGACACCGGTCATATTCAACGGGTGTTGCCTGTTCTAGAATTCATCAGTTATTCTGCGCTCTGGCACACTTAGACGAGAGTGCTCTGAAACTGGAGTAGATATCCAGAGTGAATTTACAAACGCACCCACAGACACCTGACTTGTCTTACTGTCTGCCAATGTTAATTGGGCATCATCCTCTCACAGTGCTCTTCGTGTTTGGCCTTGCTACAAGTGTGTTTGGCCTTGCTCTTTAACTTGGATGTTGACATCTATAGACATCACTGTGCTCACTGTGTGTGTTTGGCCTTCCTCCAGGACTCCCAGAGGTCAGGGGTGGCAATAGTAGACCGCCTCCAGAGACAGATCATCGTGGCAGACTGCCAGGTGTACCTCGCTGTCCTCTCCTTCATCAAACAGGAACTGTCAGGTGAGACTCCTCATCACTTCTACCTAGACCTACACTACCGTTCAAAAGTTTGGGGTCACTTAGAAATGTCCTTGTTTTCGAAAGAAAAGCAATTTTTTGGTTCATTTAAAATAACAAAATGGATCAGAAATACAGTGTAGACATTGTTAATGTTGTAAATGGCTATTGTAGCTGGAAACGGCTGATTTTTTTATGGAATATCTACATAGGCGTACAGAGGCCCGTTATCAGCAACCATCAGTCCTGTGTTGCAATGGCACGTTGTGTTTGCTAATCCAAGTTTATCATTTTAAAAGGCTAATTGATCATTAGAAAACCGTTTTGTAATTATGTTAGCACAGCTGAAAACTGTTGTGCTGATTTTAAAGAAGCAATAAAACTGGCCTTCTTGAGACTAGTTGAGTATCTGGAGCATCAGCAATTGTGTGTTCGATTACAGGCTCAGAATGGCCAGAAACAAAGAACTTTCTTCTTAAATAGTCTATTCTTGTTCTGAGAAATGAAGGCTATTCCAAGCTAGAAATTGCCAACAAACTGAAGATCTCGTACAACGCTGTGTACTACTCCCTTCACAGAACAGCGCAAACTGGCTCTAACCAGAATAAAAAGAGGAGTGGGAGGCCCCGGTGCACAACTGAGCAAGAGGACAAATACATTAGTGTCTAGTTTGAGAAACAGACGCCTAACGGGTCCTCAACTGGCAGCTTAATTAAATAGTACCCGCAAAACACTAGTCTCAATGTCAACAGTGAAGAGGCGACTCCGAGATGCTGACCTTCTAGGCAGAGTTGCAAAGAAAAGGTCCAGTGGCTGTGTTCTTTTGCCCATCTTAATCTTTTATTTTTATTGGCCAGTCTGAGATATGGCTTTTTCTTTGCAACTCTGAAGGTCAGGGTCCCGGAGTAGACTCTTCACTGTTGACGTTGAGACTGGTGTTTTGCGGGTACTATTTAATTAAGCTGCCAGTTGAGGACCTGTGAGGCGTCTGTTTCTCAAACTAGACACTAATGTATTTGTCCTCTTGCTCAGTTGTGCACCGGGGCCTCCCACTCTTTCTATTCTGGTTAGAGCCAGTTTGCGCTGTTCTGTGAAGGGAGTAGTACACAGCGTTGTACGAGATCTTCAGTTTCTTGGCAATTTCTCGCATTGAATAGCCTTCTTTCTCAGAACAAGAATAGACTGACGAGTTTCAGAAGAAAGTTATTTGTTTCTGGCCATTTTGAGCCTGTAATCGAACACACAATTGCTGATGCTCCAGATACTCAACTAGTCTCAAGAAGGCCAGTTTTATTGCTTCTTTAATCAGCACAACAGTTTTCAGCTGTGCCAACATAATTTCAAAATGGTTTTCTAATGATCAATTAGCCTTTTAAAATGATAAACTTGGATTAGCATACACAACGTGCCATTGGAACACAGGATTAATGGTTGCTGATAATGGGCCTCTGTACGCTCAAAGAATGATGTTTCCACCTCCATGCTTCACGGTTGGGATGGTGTTGTTGGGGTTGTACTCATCCTTCTTCTTCCTCCAAACACGGCGAGTGGAGTTTAGACCAAAAAGCTAAATTTTTGTCTCATCAGACCACATGACCTTCTCCCATTCCTCCTCTGGATCATCCAGATGGTCATTGGTAAACTTCAGACAGGCCTGGACATGCGCTGGCTTGAGCAGGGGGACCTTGCGTGCGCTGCAGGATTTTAATCCATGACGGCGTAGTGTGTTACTAATGGTTTTCTTTGAGACTGTGGTCCCAGCTCTCTTCAGGTCATTGACCAGGTCCTGCCGTGTAGTTCTGGGCTGATCCCTCACCTTCCTCATGATCATTGATGCCCCACGAGGTAAGATCTTGCATGGAGCCCCAGACCGAGGGTGAATGACCGTCATCTTGAACTTCTTCCATTTTCTAATAATTGCGCCAACAGTTGTTGCCTTCTCACCAAGCTGCTTGCCTATTGTCCTGTAGCCCATCCCAGCCTTGTGCAGGTCTACAATTTTATCCCTGATGTCCTTACACAGCTCTCTGGTCTTGGCCATTGTGGAGAGGTTGGAGTCTGTTTGATTGAGTGTGTGGACAGGTGTCTTTTATACAGGTAACGAGTTCAAACAGGTGCAGTTAATACAGGTAATGAGTGGAGAACAGGAGGGCTTCTTAAAGAAAAACTAACAGGTCTGTGAAAGCTGGAATTCTTACTGGTTGGTAGGTGATCAAATACTTATGTCATGCAATAAAATGCAAATGAATTACTTAAAATACATACAATGTGATTTTCTGGATTTTTGTTTTAGATTCTGTCTCTCACAGTTGAAGTGTACCTATGATAACAAATTACAGACCTCTACATGCTTTGTAAGTAGGAAAACCTGCAAAATCGGCAGTGTATCAAATACTTGTTCTCCCCACTGTAGATATTCCATTAAAAATCAGCCGTTTCCAGCTACAATAGCCATTTACAACATTAACAATGTCTACACTGTGTTTCTGATCCATTTTATGTTATTTTTACTTTCGAGAACAAGGACATTTCTAAGTGACCCCAAACTTTTGAACGGTAGTGTACATGTGGGCTTATAGCTGACTGACTGAACCATTCGTACTTGACTGATTGGCTGTGCTGCTACTACTAGACTGAATGACTGCACTGTATTGTTGGTACAGAGGTTTCAATATCCACTCTTGCATACTGATTTATAATGAATGCCCAATAAATTGTTTGCTATAATGGACATTGGTATGTAGACCATGTCTCTCGGGACTCTAACATCCTGCTTTATGTGTATTATCTCTCATGGATTTCCCCTCTCACAAACCCACGCAGCATACATCAAAGGAGGCTGGATTCTCCGCAAAGCCTGGAAGATGTACAACAAGTGTTATAGCGACATCAGCCAGCTGCAGGAGTGCAGCAAGAGGAGGTCCTCCGACCAGCAAGGGTCTCCCTCTCCATCCACTGACAAAGCCAACCACAACCATGCCATGTCCACGGCCCCAACCCAGAGGACCAATGGGGTTAGCCCGGAGGCCCTGGAGAGGCTCAAGGGCTCGGTCAGTTTTGGCTATGGCCTGTTCCACCTGTGCATCTCCATGGTACCGCCACACCTGCTAAAGATCGTCAACCTTCTGGGTTTCCCTGGCGACCGTCACCAGGGGCTGTCCGCCCTCGCGTATGCCAGTGAAAGTAAGGACATGAAGGCCCCCCTAGCTACGTGAGTAGGGGTACCACTACCGACCACAGGGACATTGGGTGTCCAAATTATTTTTTTTGCCTCTTGTGTCTTGGTTTGTTTCACTTTCTTGGTTTTAACTGTGTTTGGGGTCATTCAACATATTTAACATGGACATGGTAAACCATGTATTTAGTGATAGAAAATGTATGTAGTAATTTTACCTAATGTAGCCTATACATGGACTAGACAGAGAAGTCTAGTAGTCTGATGATTTGGGAAGGGGAGAAGAACCAGCAGGCCTGTGAGATGTCCCAGGCCTGTGTTGCTAAAATAAAGTACGCAGCTTATCTGGCTCTGAATATCACTGATTTCATATTGAACAACATATTTATTACTGGAGTCACCGCCATACTGATTAGACATTTTCCGCTATTTGACTGTGGTGAATGTTTGATTCTGCCCACACATCAACTGCAGAAGGAAGGTGACACAGGCTGCCTCCCAAATGGCATCCTATTCCCTATATAGTGCACTACTTTTGACGTCAATAGTGTACTATGTAGGGAATTGGGTGCCATTTGGAAGGCAACTACAGCCTTTAACAGGCCTGAAACCCATTATTTGGGACAAGATGAAGGGAGGCAGGTAGCCTAGTGGTTAAAAGCGTTGGGCCAGTAATTGAAAGGTTGCTGGTTCAAATCCTTGAGTCGACTAGGTCAAACATCTGTCAATGTGCCCTTGAGCAAGGCACTCAACCGTAATTCACTCTGGATAAAAGCGTCTGCTAAATTGCTCAAATGTAAACTGCTGTAATAATTGAGAGGCACTGACCCTAGCCCCTGGTTAAACTGATGCCTCCCATCAATGCCTTGGCAGAGAACAAAGATTGTATTTGTTTTAGGAGTACACATCTTCAACATTTAAGATAAGATTAACTTTATTGTGCCTGAAGGAAAATTTGTCTTGGACATTCAAGTGCTGTTGCTTCCACATCTAAGCTGCATGTAATGGTTGATTCTGCAGATTTCTGATTGATTGTGTTATCAGCCAACTTATCTGATGAGTTTGGTAGCAGGCTGTTTAACTTGAAATCAGTCATATGTTTACCGACAGATGTGATATGTCTTGGTTTCTTGACTGACCCTCTGAATGCTGATGTTCACCAGTATAGTTCTCAATTAACATGTTTACATGCACACCAATATCCCATTATTATTCGGGATACTCAAGTATTCTGTTTTTGAGTTGACGCATATAAATATAATTATCCCATTTACAGTAACCTGAAAAGTTTACAGCAGTTATGAGAAACCCTGATAAGATGCCTGGCATATGCTGATCTTAGACGGGATACTGTTGTGTGATGTTTTCATCTGATTGTCAAACAAATCACTTCAAAAAGTAGGCTACCTGCGCAGTTAATTCCATAATCATTTATTTTGATGATACTCCGTACTGGACCGTATAGCCTACTGGCTACATTCACCCCTAATTTAGACCATTTCCAACATTTGCTAGGTCACCTATAGGCCTACATGTAGCTTCTGTTCTGTCATAACTTGTTGCCCCAAAAGTAGTGCTCACCAGAATTTCTTGCATTGATAGAATGAATGCATTAGTAATCTAGTTAACATGGTAAAGTTGTCTGTGTCGTTTAGGGACCGGGTAGAAAATGCAATAACTCCAAACCAGTGGAAAGATTGATCCTGTGCAACATTTTCAAATGGCATCAGTTTGACCGGTTTTAATGAAATAAAAAGCTGAAAAAACTAAACATTTCTGATAAGACTTCAGTTCGTCTTGGGTGCATCTTTTATGTGGTTGAAATACTATCTGCTTGCATAACATTGTAACACAAGACACGTGCATTTGCATTTTCTCGAGATGCTGAAATAAATAAATTATATTTCTCAAGACAAAATTAACATTTGTATCATTTTACTGCAAGAAATGCATAATTCTGCAGGAGTTAATATTATATTATGCTACATGTGAGATTATAGGCCTACAGTCAGTGTCCATATTTCAGTTACTATTCCATTTATCCCCTATGAATTTAAATGAGGAATATTATGTTTATTCATGGTCACTTGTCAATAACAGGGATTTCTGTCCCCCTGTGGCAGGTTGGCCCTCTTATGGTACTATACGGTAGTGCAACCCTTCTTTGCCCTGGACGGCTCAGACACACAGGCCGGCCTGATGGAGGCTAAGGCTATCCTCCAGAGGAAGGAGCCTGTATACCCTAACTCCTCCCTCTTCATGTTCTTCAAGGGCAGGGTGCAGCGCCTGGAGGTAAAGACCTGGGTCATGTTCAGTAGTGGGAAAACATTTCAAAATGAGAGTTAAAGGATGAGGTACTACCTGAACGCCTCTAATAATAAGTTATTCTTGTGCTATAGTGTACCCTGCCTAGATAGGAGTATAAATAACACCTCAAGGTAACCTGTGTCTAGCACTGTGGCTGTAGTGTGTTGGTCTTCGTCCTTGTCTTCCCCCTCTCCTCTCCACTTCCAGTGCCAGATCAACAGTGCCTTGACGTCCTTCCAAAATGCCTTGGAGTTGGCTACAGACCAGAGGGAGATCCAGCATGTGTGTTTGTATGAAATAGGTACAGGCTTTTATCCCTCTTCACTTTAATCTCGAACTAATGCTCTCCATTGCCTTGTTGTTTCTAAGTGACATTCCATTCTCTCTGCTCTTCTCAGGGTGGTGCAGCATGATCGAGCTGAGGTACAGTGACGCCTACAGGGCCTTTCAGCGTCTGGCGACTGAGTCACGCTGGTCCCAGTGCTACTACGCCTACCTAACTGGAGGTGAGTGGGCAAAGGTTAGAGGTCACTCAATTGGAGGTGGGGTTAGAAAACCCTCTTGTTTTGTTTTTTTCTTTTCAAAGGTAAAGAGGTTCCAAAACTGGGAATGCTAATTAACCTGAATGAAAAGCTTCTGAGCCTATTAGCGATAATGTCATACATCCCCTGATAACGGTAATATGTTGGCGTTGAGGTACCCTGCAGACTCTAACCCCTGGGCCTTCTCTCTGTGTTTGTGGTCCACTATAGTGTCCCAGGGAGCATCAGGAGATCTGGAGGGGGCTGCAGCTGTCTTCAAGGATGTGCATAAGCTTCTAAAACGGAAGAACAATCAGATAGAACAGTTCTCTATGAAGAGGGTGAATGTGGGACTGGCAACAGCACATTACTATAGATATATATGTGAATTATTACTTCTAGTGAGAATACATATTTTTGATTGTCATACAGTTTCAAGGTGATCTGAAGTCATTGTATGGAGGAAAATAGGCAGTTGATTATGTAGTGGGTAGAATTTTGCTTCTTGACTGTGTGTGTGTGTGTGCAGGCAGAGAGGCTAAGGAAACACACCCCATCCAGAGAGCTGTGTGTCCTGGCTGTGATTGAGGTGCTTTACCTGTGGAAGGCCCTGCCTAACTGCTCCACCTCTAAGCTGCAGATCATGAGCCAAGGTACACACAGTGTGAAAACATACATAGACAAACTACACATGATCAAACTCCCAGTCCCACCTACCATGGTCGCTACACAAATCAATTATAGCCTATTCTCTTTTGGCTGTAAAGGACAACACAGAACACTTTCAGGATCAGCTACAATTTCAGCTGAGTAGTTGTGGTGGTGCCATAAAAGTGCATTCCTGTGAATGTGGAAGGAAACTCATGGGGTTGTCTGTCTCTTAGTTCTGCAGGAACTAGATGACGTCTCAATTGCTGGCCTGAAAAACCTGCTTCTTGGTGACATACACAGATGCCTTGGCAACATAAAAGACGCCATTCAGGTTCTGTCCCATCACCCTATTGATATGTATTGAAAACGAAGTACACATATAGTATGTATCTGCAAATATGAGTGTAGTGAGAATAGTGAATGTTTATTACTCTTTATTTTGTTTCATTGAACATTGCAGTGCTTCCATCTGGCTGCCGGAGATGAGGTGGGTCGTCAGAACAACTATTATGTGCAGCCCTACTCCTGCTACGAGTTGGGCTGTGTCTTACTAGACAGCCCTGAGGTGAGCTCAAAGCGTATACAGTGTGTTGCTATATTGTATTGTGCGATGTGTCAACCCTGAGGAGAGAAAGTGTATGTTGTTAAATACAGTAGTTGATTGAGTATATCTGATTGTGGTTTTCTTCTCTTCTCAGTCTGAAGCGAAGGGCAGAGCTCTGATGCTTCAAGCCAAGGTACGGTAGAACTTCACTTTCCTCCGCCTATAGTGTATTCTTGGAACTTGTAGCTGTCAGTTATAGTATTTGGAATTATGAGGGACAGTCATTCATGATATGCATTTGAAATTATTTAATATTTCCTCACCTTTATGTGCCCTTGTGAGGATGTTAAATGTGATGTAATGTAATCATCTGTGTTTGTTACTACAGGATGACTATGCTGGCTATGACTTTGAGAACAGGCTCCATGTACGCATCCACTCAGCTCTGGCTTCCATGAGGAAGGAGGTGGCCCCACCCTGACTTCCCCATTCCTCCACCATACATCCACCTAGCTCTGCGTTGAGGGTAGAAGGAGCTGGAAACTACTCCAGAAGCCATCTTGATCTTTACAGCACTGTGATGGTTCACTGCAATGTTTGTTTCAGTTGACTTATTTTGTTTGTATAATGGATGTGCCATCAAGTTTGTAATGCATAGTTTACAGTAAGAGTCTCCTAGAGGGATAGTGCAGACTACTGGAATGTAATAGTGCGTTTCAGCCAGATCAAATATGTACAGTAGTTGCTGCTGGGAGGCAAATGTAACTCTTTACCAGGGAAAAATATATTGGGGGACAATCTGTCAGTGGGGCTGCAGGTAGTCTAGCGGTTGAGAGCGTTCGGCCAGTAACCGAAAGGTTGCTGGTTCGAATCCCCTAGCCAACTAGGTAATACATCTGTCGACGTGCCCTTGAGCAAGGCACTTAACCCAATTGCGCCTGTAAGTCGCTCTGGATACGACTGCCTGCTAAATGACTAAAATGTGAATAGTACAATAATATCTTTATTCTCTCCCATGAGATATGAAAGGGTTCAGATTGAAAACTGGGTATGCTGTTGTGTATGACACTTCATTATAAAGCAGTGGAGTTGTGCCATAGCAACCCTACTGTCTAGGTTGATGCCAGATGACCTGAATGTCCAATGTCCTGTTGCTCTTACAGTAGTAGTAAACAATCTGAATGCACAATCCCTATGCTACTACTCATCACCTGGCCGTTGTCACTGTAAATTGATGCCAACCCTTTAATCACCTTAGGTTATAGACATTGTGAATCCATTATAGATGGTAATATAGGCTGATTTCCTCAAACTACAATATGTTACATTGTTAGTTTTTGTTTTTTACTGGTTTTAATAACAAGTGTATTGATATTTAAAGGGAAATCACCTATTCATGTCAGTGTAAATATGTAACTGTACTTTAATTCTATAGATATGTTACTAGCTAAATGACATTGTCCTTTTGGCACTCACTTATGGGTATAACATCCACACTGTAGGCCTACTCTGCTGTACTTGTATTTGCTGGAAACTGGTTTTCCTTTGTTGCGTAGGGGTTTCTATGTATGTATGTATGTATGTATGTATGTATGTATGTATGTATGTATGTATGTATGTATGTATGTATGTATGTATGTATGTATGTATGTATGTATGTATGTATGTATGTATGTATGTATGTATGCATGTATAAGATCATGTTTTAAAATAATACATCTCTTAAATCTATGGCCATTTTATTTCCATAATGTGTTTTAAGATGCATGTAGCCTCATGATGTATTTATTTGAAAGGGACAATGCACCTCAATTAACATTTTCTGTAAATGTGGCAGATTTTGCTAGCTGGCTAATTTTAATCTGTAGCCTACTTCCTCACAAACGGCTTTAAAATAATAGAAGCAAGAAATTATAATTATTATAAAATAGTGGTTGACAGTGTGGTGTTCAGGCAGGCCTTCAGGTGCTTTACAGTTAAAGTTAAATCAACCCTTGCCACACCAATGATAGTGATGGAAATGTCCATATTATTTGCTGTAGAAATATGATAAATTGGCAGATGAGCTATCTGATATGCCGCATTCAAAACAACTGGGAACTCGGCGCTCGGAAATCTCCGGCTTCTGACTTCAGTGCGTTCAAGACAACTGGCTACTGGGAAAAAACTAGCTCTGACTGGGGAAAATCGTTTTGAATGGTCATCCAACTTGGAATTCCAACTCGGGAAGTCGAGCCTCTTTTTCTAGAGCTCCGACTTTCCGACCTGAAGATCACTGACGTCATGATTTGACCTCGTATTTTTCCAGAGTACCCAGTTGTCATGAACGCAGCAATAGTTGGATCGACTGCTGCATAGTAGCAGGCCAATTTTAGCTAGCCTACGTGTGCATTAAAATGTCATTATTTCATGGCAATAATACACCTGCCATTATGATGCAATCATTGAATGACGTGATCATGTTATCTCAAGCGCAGCCATGTATTTAGAAATACGTCTAAATACATGGCGCTCATCTCAAGTAGCTTTTCATTGGTGCTCTCTGTGCTAAGGACAACTCTTGAATTCATTTCGGTTGAATGCGTTCAGTTGCGCAACTGACTAGGTATCCCCTTTCCCTTTCCAGTCTACATGAACAAGAATAAAGCTGTAAAAACACAAGCACAGCCGCTGGTTACTGTCCAAGGTCCTGAAACGTTCCCCTACCCAAAGCCAATTCTGGAGTGGGAGCCAGGCCACCTACTAATGGAAACTAGATGTGAGGACGTCAGGGAGCCTTTCTCCTTCGTCCCTAGTGACCAGCCCTGCCGCAGCCGAGATATCCAGGCTACAGACACAATGGCAGTGGCATCTACTGACGGTGAACAGAAAGAGTGTGGCCTGCGGGTCTCTGTCACCAGCATCACCCTGTCCCGAGGGCCCATCCCAGCAGACATTGCACAGGGCCTGGCAGTGTATCGCCGCAAGATTGACCCAGAGTCGTCCCCTCGGGACTCTCCTCCACTCGGGGCTTCCTCCAGCAACTCCTGTGCGCGCGTCCATCCGGGTCTCCCTCAGCGAGATCAGCCAGGAGTTGGACGCGGTGCTAATCCGAACTGGCGTGCTCCCGACAGAGTCCCTGATCATCGTGCGGACAGAGGAAGTACCCGAGATGATTGTGTTCCAGGCTGATCCCCTATTGGCTGAGAACGCAGTCCCTGTCAGGTCTGTTAGTCTGATTTGTCCCTCTCCTTCTGCAGTGAGAGTGGAGATCCGATCTTCCATGCTGGCTTGTCCCCCTACTGCTGCAACCGTGGAGACACAATCCTCCAATCTGATTTGTCCTTCTGTGGTCACAGTGGAGACCGAATTGGCCAATATGTTATCACCTGCTGCAGTGACAGTGGAGGCCGACTCTTACGTTGTGACTTGTCCCCCTACTGCAGTGACCGACGAGATCATGGCCCATGTTTCTGTGTGCCTTTCTGTTGTATCACTAGAGGAGACCAGCGTCCCCAGTGTGCAGCTCCCACCTCCCACTACTGCCTTAACAGAGGAAACTCAGTCCCAGTCTGCTCCACCATGCCTACCCACCCTCACGGCCGCAGGAGACATTAGAACCTCCTTCCTGGTCTACCTTTCACTGCCTGTTCCAGAGCTGGCCAACACCCCCGGTCTGGTGTGCCAACTGGGCCTGGGACAAGAGGAGGCCAAGAGCCTCCCTTTCCTGTGTGTCCCTATGAGCTCAGTTGACATTCCCAGTGCCCCAAGTCTTGTGGCTGCCAGCCCGGCACCAGCTCAGACTGTGGCTTCGGCTCCTGACCATGATGCACTGCAACGCCCTGGAGCACAACATCCCCATGTACCAGGACTGTGGCCAGTACTCTAGCAGCTGCCACCCCGCTCCCAGTCATCCCACGGCGGCCTGCAAACCCACCACATGGCTGAGCCCCGTTGCCCCGCTCACAACCTGGGCACCTCCTTCCCTCAGCCCCAGTCCTGCTACTCTGACCCCGTCTTCCACTTTCCCCAGCAGTACCGCCTGAGGGGAAACCCCCTCCCAGGTGAGGCAGCAGACCCAGGGCCTGTGCCCTCTCCAGTGCCCACTCCTGCAGCAGCGCCACAGCTCCCTGCTCTCGTGTGGGCACCAGGAGGAGCTGAGCTGAGCAGGGTGGGCTCCTCACGCTGGGTCCCTGTCACCAACGAGGGACAGAACCAGGGAGGGGTAGAGCAGAAGGACAGCATCCGCAGATGCGCATCGCTTCACAGCAAAGGATCAGACACACACGCAAACACCAATCAAAGTAGCTAAACGTGTTGCCGCTATGAAATATATGGTTATGTTATTTTTTATTGTTTATATATTGATGAATTTCATCCATGACTACCTTGTATGTACAAACATATACTTATGGTATTAGTGGTTGAAGAAGCTGTGTTATGATGCTATTATATATGGACTATTCTCTTTTTTTCTTGCCACAGACTGTCATGAACTACAATCCCCAGGGCAACTAATCCTGTCTTCACAAGAGAAGGACCTTCTTTTTGTAGTTGCCATTGTCTCCTTTGCATTCTTTTAAACTGATAATAATCAATAAAGATATTGAATTGCTGTATTGCATGAATTGTCTGGATATCTCTCTTATCTGCCTCAATTTTGATATTGTACAATCACGCAATCAATCACTACAAAAATATAGAACAAAAAGTAATTGCCGCTATATAAATGCAGTAGATGGAGGGTAAACTTCCACATTGATACAAAAGACTGATTATGTGAAGCTTCAGTATTGGGGTTGTTGTTTAAGACCACTCTGTATCATTGATATGCACACAGTGTTATCCACTCAATCTATGATTAGAACCATTGGAACACTCGCAAAAGGAGTCATAGAATGTCACATCCACATTGCCTAGTAACAGATACCATGGGTGTCAATGTGGGTAAAATAAATAAATAATAACCTTCAAGTATGTCGTGCTTGAGATAAACAGAGTCTGGAGTGACTGAGCCTAAGGCAATTTGAACCTTTTAACATCTGCTCAGTTACTCCGCTGTCCTGGCGTCGTGAGGGAGCTTGTTCCACCATTGGGGTGCCAGAGCAGCGAACAGTTTTGACTGGGCTGAGCGGGAGCTGTGCTTCCGCAGAGGAAGGGGAGCCAGCAGGCCAGAGGTGGATGAACGCAATGTCCTCGTTTGGGTGTAGGGACTGATCAGACCCTGAAGGTACAGAGGTGCCGTTCCCCTCACTGCTCCATAGGCAAGCACCATGGTCTTGTAGCGGATGCGAGCTTCAACTGGAAGCCAGTGGAGTGTGCGGAGGAGGGGGGTGACGTGAGAGAACTTGGGAAGGTTGAACACCAGACGGGCTGCGGCATTCTGGATGAGTTGTAGGGGTTTAATGGCACAGGCAGGGAGCCCAGCCAACAGCGAGTTGCAGTAGTCCAGACGGGAGATGACAAGTGCCTGGACCAGGACCTGCGCCGCTTCCTGTGTAAGGCAGGGTCGCACTCTCCGAATGTTGTAGAGCATGAACCTGCAGGAGCGGGTCACCGCCTTGATGTTGGCGGAGAACGACAGGGTGTTGTCCAGGGTCACGCCTAGGCTCTTCGCACTCTGGGAGGAGGACACAGCGGAGTTGTCAACCGTGATGGCGAGATCATGGAACGGGCAGTCCTTCCCCGGGAGGAAGAGCAGCTCCGTCTTGCCAGGGTTCAGCTTGAGGTGGTGATCCGTCATCCATACTGATATGTCTGCCAGACATGCAGAGATGCGATTCGCCACCTGGTTATCAGAAGGGGGAAAGGAGAAGATTAGTTGTGTATCGTCAGCGTAGCAATGATAGGAGAGACCATGTGAGGATATGACAGAGCCAAGTGACTTGGTGTATAGGGAGAAAAGGAGAGGGCCCAGAACCGATCCCTGGGGGACACCAGTGGTGAGAGCACGTGGTGCGGAGACAGCTTCCCGCCACGCCACTTGGTAGGAGCGACCGGTCAGGTAGGACGCAATCCAGGAGTGAGCCGCGCCGGAGATGCCCATCTCGGAGAGGGTGGAGAGGAGGATCTGATGGTTCACAGTTACTTGTCAGAACTCAAAATGACCTGTTCGCCAGGCTGTTGCGACATAGATCCATATGTTGCATGGGGTAAGGAATCCATTTTAAAAAGCTAAATAAGCCTACAGGTAGCTAGCTATACATGTAGCTATTTGTTTGTTTTCCTGCTTTGAAGCTCAACACATTTTATTATCCACATCTAATGAGAATAAATTAGAGCATATGTATTTAGAGAAAAGCACAACAAAACGTTAACGTTAGGCTAGAAAGTGATAGCTACACTGTAACATTTTCTTTTGGCTATGTAGTGGTGGATGAGCCAAATAATGGAATCTCCACCATATGGCCCATGCCTGTCGGTTGCCACCACCAACAACAAGCAAAACTCTCCATGCCAGTGCCCACTGCCAGTTACCACCACCAACAACAAACAACACTGTCAACATCAGTGCCCACTGCCAGTCCAATGAAGGGGGATTTAAACTCTACAGTCAGACCTGCAACCCCCACTGAGCCAACGTACAGTCCACCCAATCCAACTGGGACAACAGCTGGTTCAGAACCAAAGGTGATGGTCAAATCTCCCCCAAACATAATATCAGAGAAAATGAAGAGCATTCTGATCAGCCAAGGTTCAGAGAATCCTGAGCTCACAATTCTGCCCAGCAACAGGCAGAGTGCCCTGGTTCGCCTGGCGGGTCAGTTAGAACCAGGAGATATCCCTTCTTCTGTCCCCTGTCCGTTTTAATGCCATCCCTGGGTGTGGGTCACAACAAGTAGTTTCACATCCAGCTGCTGCTCCTCCTCCTCCTGCTACTCCAGGGGCCCTCATCAAGGCCTCCAGTCCTCCCCCAATGACAGAGTCCCTACCTCCAATCCCTGAGAGTTTGTCAGGGTGCACCAGCCGCTGTACCATCAAGATAAAGCTGGACAACTCCAGTGCAGGGATTGTGGTGTTGCAGAAGGTCAGCCAGCCAGCCCAATACTCCAGCCCCCCCTTTGCAGGCCACAGACTAGACGTGGTAGGGATGTTACCCTTCAGCCTTCCACCTGGGGTCAAGGTCACAGTGGTCAACCCTGTCCCTGTGGGAATGGTACAGCAAGGAGGAGGTACACCACAGATGCAGCAAGGTATTCAAAAGGGAAACAGTCAACTTGGTGAAAAACATATTGTATATTCATTCTATATTAGCAGACTGGATGTTTTACAAGTATTGCCAGCTAGGGTCCATACAGTGTTACCAGCATTGACATAATCTATTCTGTTGTCCCTTTATTAGAGACACTAACTATATAAACTGAGTATACAAAAAATGAAGAACACCTGCTCTTTCCATGACATAGTCTGACCAGGTGAATCCAGGTGAAAGCTATGATCACTTATTGATGTCACTTGTTAAATCCACTTTAATGATTGTAGATGAAGGGAGGAGAAAGGTTAAAGAAGGATTTGTAAGCCTTGAGACAATTGAGACATGGATTGTGTATGTGTACCATTCAGAGGATGAATGGGTAGGACAAACTATTTAAGTGTCTTTGAACAGGGTATGGTAGTAGGTGCCAGGCGCACCAGTTTATGTCAAGAACTGCAACGTTGCTGGGTTTTTCACGCTCAACAGTTTCCTGTGTGTATCAAGAATGGTCCACCATCCAAAGGACATCCAGCCAACTTGACACAACTGTGGGAAGCATTGGAGTCAACATGGGCCAGCATCCCTGTGAAACGTTTGACACCTTGTAGTCCATGCCCCGATGAATCAGTATTTCAGTGGAGCCCATTACAGTGTACCTGTGGTGGCCAGACCCCAGATCCACGTGCCTGCAGTTATGGGGCCACCGTGTTTGTGATGGTTTGTGATGGTGAGGGCTCCTGTGGAGTACGCCCGGCCAACTGTGAACCCCAACCATCCCTACCACTGATAGGCCTATGTTGCAGAGGTACACTACCTCAACTACTTATTTTTTTTAAACGATATACCCCTCTATTGGGGCACCACTATGAATACTTCCAGAAAGCAAAGCTTTCCTGTTAGTAGCCTCCTCCTTCACTGCAGTGCTACCCTGGGGAAAATGCCCCTCCCCCTTTTGACTCTAATGAACTACCAGTATATTGTCTGTTTACTGCTTTGTAAATTAGATATCATACAGTAATTCACTCTTTTAATGAGATGGATTGATGTTTTGGATAAACGAGGCTCTGCATTCAGTAATGACTCTCGATCTTTTCACAGGCAGACAGCTCAACTTTACTTGACCCTTTGGTGGATCTTCAGTTGCAAATAAAACTACTCCTTGCAAAGATACAGCGGTTGCTTTTCTTGCTGTATATTATAACTTAGGTATCAACTAACTGACACTGTAAATCTTCAAAGAAATAACAAACTATTATATGAAGAATGTATAGGCCTATTCGATAAGGGGTCAGAGAAAGTATTTGGATGAACAAGTAAATACATCCAGAGGGTTTTATAGATATAGATAGAGGGTGAAAATCTTTCCAAAACAACAGGGTGTGTTATGTGTGTTTGAATCTAATTGAATATCAATCACAATGCTGATAAAGCCAATGGAAACCTATAACCTATCACATCCATCAGATATCGATTTTTTCCTACTGTATGTAAAATGAAGCATTATTATGACGTAGCCTAAGCACTGTATGTAACCCCCCCCCCCCCCCCCCCCCCCCCAATTGTGACACCGACGTCAATGCCAACTTTTACGCACATGGTTTTATGCGCAAACGGAATGTATATAACCAACAACTAAATACGGCATGTCTGCCATGTTTTGAGAACCGTCCTGTAAACACAGTGATGAGGTAAGTGTAAAACGAGTAATTTATAAGCCTATATTATGACCTACGCTAGCCTAAATGCATCTAGGCTGTGTGCGTAATGGAATGGAATCAAACCTGAAATATTTTCTTCATCTCACCATAATAGAGATAAGCAATAGCAGGTGCATCACGATTGGCTTGACTTTCACACAAGTGTCTCTGGTTGCGAAAATGAACCACCCGTCGACGCTTATCCTACCTTGGGGGTTGAAGAGCTGGCTAGTTGCCGTCAGTCGCGCGGTTCTACTGGAGGAGCCGTCAAATGTCCTGGCGTTCATAGCATCTTACTGCGGCCAGCTTCTCCAATTGAAGAAAGGTGCAGTGCTCATAGGAAAATAAATTCACACTTTATTAACAAATTCCCCAAACAATGTTTAGTATATTCATATGAACTCTAAGCTACATAAACATATATCTGTGCAGTTGAATGTCATTAGTTATGGTTTATTGTGCAGAACATCCAAATATTGATATTCAAGAGCTCTCATACATCTTCAGAGATTTAAGGGGTAAGAGTCCTTCCTTCTTCCACAAGTCCAAAATATCAAAATGTATACCCTTTCCATAATATATTTCCACTGAAAAGATGCAATAGATTGAGAATGTAATGAGATGGGTTTTCTAACTCCATCTCTCTGGTGAGTCTGGGGTTGTGTTGTGTTTGGTAGGAGGTCACTCTGATGACTACCAGGGAACCATCTCCTTCACTGGTCTGGCGGAATCTGTTTTGAGTGAATGCTCTCACAAAATATCTGAGGAACGAGACGACGCAGCACCATGTCTGTCTGCATCTGATACATCATCAATCCATGTACACTGTGAGGAGCCTGGCCACCCGGCCATGGAGGATGACACGGTCAGCAGTTCAGTGGTCCAGTCTGCAGTGTACCAGAGAGATCCGTCAGTCAGTGGCGTGGTCGACGTCGAGAACACTGTGCTCATCCACACTTCCAGGACTCCGTCCGAGCATGTGATTATTGTTCACTCCGAGTGTCTCCCTGAGACGCTCATCTTCCACAGCGAAGCCTTGCCTTCATCCAACGGATCCCCTACGACATGTGACCTGACCCCTGCTCCTAGTCCTGTCCCTATTGATGAGGAATGGGAGGAACCAGAGGGAGTGTCTAGTGTGGTCATGTTTCATAAGGTTCCCTTGTTTGAGGACCTGCCTCACCCACCGTCCATGGGGGAACTCCCCTATGTTGCTGCTGTGGAGACTATGACTGATGAGGATATATCCTCAAGCAGTGACAAAGTTCCCTCGCAGGAGAACATGTCTGGCACTCAATCTGTTCAGGTCTTTTTCTCAGCAGCCTCAGAGGTAGAATCATCTGGTCAGATGAGAAATTCAACAAGCAGCTTTGAGGATCTGGCTGTGGACAAGATATCTGATGTGATTATACCTCACAAGGCCCCTTCCTATAAAGAGCTGCCTCAGTCAACATCACCTATAAAGCAAACTTCAGTTGTTTCCCCTGAATACTCGGGAAGTGATATTACTGCAAAAGCTCCATCTGAAACAGAACTAGTTGATGCAGCACAGAGAGTGTCCTCAGTCAGGATACCCAGTAGAGAGGAGGGTGTGGGGAGAACAGCAGAGACACCAGAGAGACGCACATCTCCCAGAGTATCACCAAGAGCTTCTCCAGGAGTTTCTCCACAAACCTCTCTTGTATCAGGTACAACTGTTATCCATACTCTGACGAATGAGCGACTAATAAGCTACTAATAAGAAATGTTTTAGGTAAAACTTGGCAAAGCTTCTAAGGTGAAATGTATACAGTATGTGCCTAATTTTGTATCTGCATCCACAGCTCATGTTGGTGAATCTCTGTATGGTACAGACATTTCTCCACAATCCAGTCTGCCTAGGATTCCCTCTGCACCATCAATGGAGGAGCTACTGGTGTCTCCATCTGCTTCTGTTGGTAGAATTTCACCAGCAGTTTCAAGAAGATCTTCAAGAAGTAGTTTGTCAGAAAGAGCTCCTTCGGAATCAGCAGTGGGGAAAACAGCAGAGACATCAGAAAGACACACATCTCCCAGAGTATCTCCACAAGCATATTCTGTGATGATTGATCAGGTGACTAATCTGGAGACATCTGAAAGATCACTGACGACCTCAACTCTGCATTCAGAAGATTTCAAGTTTGGTGAGATATTGTACTTTAATCAACTCATACATTGATGGATTTGATGGGGGTGATGGGGGTCTATGTTCATATTATAGTGTGTTTATAGATATAGGAATGAACCATGGCTTAAGCCGTGCAATTGATACTATTGTTATTAGCATGCATTTCCTATCACAACGTGGCCCATGGAACCACACAAACTGAGGAGAGACCAGTGTCACAGAGAACTACACAAACTGAAGTTTCAGCATTGCATAGAACTACACAAACTGAAGTTTCAGCATTGCATAGAACTACACAAACTGAGACGAGACCAGCAGCCCACAGAACTACACAAACTGAAGTTTCAGCCTCTCCTCTGCCTGGTAATTTTGGATATGGAAGAATTACTCTGCTCGTTATCTATTCTATTCTCTGTATGAGAATCTGATATTGTTGGGTACATATACATGACACTAGTTTTTCTGTGTATAATACCTAAAACATGTTATGTTTTCTCACTACAAGGAGGTGCTGCCATGGAACAACAGAATCCTAAAATGTGTTATGCTTTCTCACTACAAGGCGTTGCTGCCATGGAACATCAGAATCCAGCAGAAGAACTGGGATTGGGGCCTTCACCTGCTGAGGATGTTACTGAAGTAGCAGAATGGGTCAATCCAGACAACATAGAGACAAGCAAATTAACCGAATTGGTCAGTCCTCAACATGTAGAAAATGCACCAATAACAGAACTGGTCAGTCCTCAACATGTAGTGAATGCACCAATAACAGAATTGGTCGGTCCTCAACATGTAGAGAAAGCACCAATAACAGAATTGGTCAGTTCTCAACATGTAGAGAACGCACCAATATCAGGATTGGCTTGTCCACCCCATGAAGAGGCAGTAACATTTGAAAATCCTAAAGAGAGTGTTGAAACAGAAGAGAATGTTGAAACGTCAACTGTAGAGGTAACTTCCAAACCCCAGCCTGAAGACACTACCAATGCTCCACCCTGTCCTGGGCCAGAGACACTACAGATAGTCCAGGAAGAATCAGCCACCCAGACACCAGAGGAGGAGTCTGTCCAGGCGGAACTAACCACCAAGACACAAGAGGAGGAGTCTGTCCAGGAGGAACTAACCACCAAGACACCAGAGGAGTCTTTCCCAAGAGTCCCCACACCTCAGTTCCTCTTGCCAATTCATACTGCAGAGGGCCGTCAGCAGAACCGAACCAAACCTGCCAATCTGATCAAGATGGCTGTCGCTGAGAGGAACCACCTGATCAAGAGACTTGCCAAGTCAGACCCACTAAAGAACAGATTGGGTAAGGCCCGCAGTTCACATTGCAAGGGACAGTACTTTTTGTTTGGTGAGGGGATGGTAAACTATGTTGAGGTGATACATTAATGGCTTCTGCATGTTGTCTTTTTCAGATGGGTCTAAATCTGCTACCAGAGTGAGAGAAGTGTCCTACGCCACTAAGATGATGAAGCAACGGTCCCAGACAGCCCCACAGCCCAACATCAAACGAATGTTGAACCTAACAGGTTATTATATATCTGATAAGACAACAGATTACTTGCCCTAAAAACTTACTATATGACATTTCCTGGTATCATTGCTATTTTAATATTGACACCTTTGAAACATATATTTTCTATCCACCTCATTTTCTAACGTTGCTATGGGCACAGCCAAACAACGGAAGTGATGGATTCGACTTCCGCTTTATTTCCCTACTGCAGCACGCTGGTCGCAAGCTTGCGGGAGTAAATTATTTGAAGGCGTCAATTTATCGAGTATAAAAGTCAAGTAAACAAGTATAAGTGTAAGAGTATTAGTGTAATTTTATATTTATTTAATTCAAGTTCGCTAACGTTAGTTAGTTCTGTTGTGATAATAACGTTAGTTGTGTTGTGTCAGAGTTAAGACAATAAATATAACAATAACTACACTGAACAAAAATATAAACGCAACATGCAACAATTTCAAAGATTTTACTGAGTTACAGTTCATATATGGAAATCGGTCAATTGAAATACACTGAACAAAAATATAAACGCAACATGTAAAGTGTTGGTCCCATGTTTCATGAGCTGAAATAAAATATCTAAAAAAAAAATCCATTGCACAAAAAGCTTATTTATCTCCAATTTTGTGCACAAATCTGTTTACATTTGAGGGAGCGTGCAATTGGCATGCTGACTGCACGAATGGCCACCAGAGATGTTGCCAGAGAATTGAATGTTAATTTCTCTACCATAAGCTGCCTCCAACGTCGTTTTAGAGAATTTGGCAGTACGTCCAACTGGCCTCACAACCGCAGACCGTGTGTAACCACGCCAGCCCAGGACCTCCACATTCGGCTTCTTCACCTACAGCATCATCTGACACCAGCCACCCGGACAGCTGATGGAACTGTGGGTTTGTACAACCAAAGCATTTATTTCAATTGACTGATTTCCTTATATGAACTGTAACTCAGTAAAGTCTTTGAAATTGTTGCATGTTGCATTTATATTTATGTTCAGTGTAAATACTGTATTAGGGCTATAGGCTAAATATGTACCTGTCAAAGTGCAAGAAAAAAAGGTTACCAGTTCTGAAATGGCAGATCCAGCCTGCGCTCTGTGGTCCCTGGGCATGCAAAGCTCCACTATTGATTATTAGGTCTACGTTAAGTGTGTCTTGAATTCTAAATAAATCACCAACAGTGTCACCAGCAAAGCACCCCCACACTATCACACCTCCTCCTCCATGCTTCACGGTGGGAACCACATATGTGGAGATCATATGTGGAGATCATCCGTTCAGAAATTCCACAAATTAACTTTTAACAAGGCACACCTGTTAATTGAAATGCATTCCAGATGACTACCTCATGAAGCTGGTTGAGAGAATGCCAAGAGTGTGCAAAGCTGTCATCAAGGCAAAGGGTGGCTACTTTGAAGAATCTCAAATATAAAATATATTTTGATTTGTTTAACACTTATTTGGTTACTACATGAATCCATATGTGTTATTTCATAGTTTTGATGTCTTCACTATTATTCTACAATGTAGAAAATAGTACAAATAAAGAAAAACCCTGGAATGAGTAAGTGTGTCCAAACTTTTGACTGGTACTCTATATTAATACTATTATTATTATTTATTTTTTTACCCCCTTTATCTCCACAATTTCGTGATATCCAATTGGTAGTTACGATCTCATCGCCGCAACTCCCCAATGGACTTGGAAGAGGCGAAGGTTGAGAGTCATGCATCCTCCGAAACATGACCTGCCAAGCCGCGCTGCATCTTAACACACTGCTCGTTTAACCCAGAAGCCAGCCGCACCAATATGTTGGAGGAAACACTTCCAACTGACAAACGAAGTCAGCTTGCAGGCACCCTGTCCGCCACAAGGAGTCACTAGAGCACGATGAGCCAAGGAAATCCCCCCGCCAAACCCTCCCCTAACCTGGAAGATGCTGGGCCAATTGTGCGCTGCACCATGGGGCTCCTGGTCATGGCCGGCTGTGACACAGCCTGGGATCGGACCGAAGGCTGTAGTGGTGCCTAAGCACCACTCTAGAGGCCCCAAAAATATATATATAAAAAAAAGTATATATTTTTTTCCCTCACAAATAGTCCTGTATTAGCGGACCAATATAGCCATCTGCAGTCCCCCACCCGTGCGCTCTGGCACACTCAGACGAAAGTGCCCTGATATCGGAGTAGATAGCCAGAGGGAATTTACGAATGCACCTAGTATGTAAAATATGTTCTCTTGATTGTTCTATCATACACTCTTAGCATAACACAACCTTGCTGTGGTGGGGTTTGTTTCGGAAGCACCATGATTCATGTGTTGTATACCGTCTTCCTATTTCAGCAATGGAGGAGCAGCAGAACTTCCAGGGTGTCCCCGTTGGAGAAGGACGCATAACTCCAGATATGGACCCTGCTCGGGAAAGCTCTATCAACAAAGTCTGGACCCTTTATCATCTCGCTCAGGAGACAGGCAACTTGTCTTTGAGTGTGTTGTCCCAACCATCATTCAATGGCCGTGCATACATTGAAAGTGTTGATCCAGAGCATGTCTTGTTGTCAAAGAGGACCTCCCACAATTCAGGTCTAGACTCAGGTCAACTCACGAGTGGACCGACACAGGGACATTCAGGCCAGACTGTGCAGACTGTCCATAAGTTAGACACTCCCGACACTCAGCAAATCAAAATCCCCAACTATCTCCTTGTGGAACGTTCATCCGCAACCTCGGACATAGCCTCTTCCCAAGAGAGAAAGCCAGCAGATCAAGAGAGTTGTGTGGTCAACAGGGGACGCTGTACTGGCTTCCTGTCCTTCTCTGTGCCAATTGACAGTTTCTGCGGAGCAGAGTGGGGCTGTCGACCGCAGTTCCTGCAGGTCACAAGCGACGATGGAGACGTGGTCTATTCCCCTGCGTTCATACAGTCTATCAACCCATGTAGACCTGGTGCAGATGAGGTCTCGGAGAGGACAGTCACACGCCCGACAACTTCACCTGCCCACATGGAATGGTCTTTCAAAATCAGCATAAAAGGTAGCAAAATGTAATGCTATGCTGTCCTCGTGCAAAAGAAGATCTACGTGAATACTATTTTGTTGAGTGCATTGATTACAGTATTGTAGTATGTTATTTTGTCATTATGTTAACTTTATGTATACATTTTCCTCCAAAACAGGACAGACTGTGGGGGATGATGAAGTTGAGCAAGAGAAGTGATGGATCAAATTTAAGTTTTTCCGTCTGCATTGAACTCTTGTAATAAATGCAATTCATCTGAAGTCTGAACTTTTTTGTTTGTTTTTCAATTAATTGGGTGTATTTATTTGTAAACAGTAACATGGCAACTTAAATTTGCATAAATTAAACATTTCCAGATTTGTTTTCCCCTCTATTCAGTTGTGAAAATAACACTTTTCCCAAGAAGGCTTTTTTCTGCTACACATTTGCAAGTTTGACTGTAAAATACAAAATAATTTTGTTATAAACCTAAATTACCAATCTAGGTTTAGATCATTTGTCAAAAATCTAAGTATTAATCATTGACAACCTTGGGAAAAAGCGGTGGTGTAATATTACTTGAGGCAAAATCAGCACCAGGGACAGCGCCTATTTAGCTAGTAGTGTGAAGTCTTGGAATAATTTTTGGGGGGGCTGTCTGGTGCTAATTTCTGCCAGTGCTTTTTGTTTGGCTTCACCCGCGACTGAAACAAAATGGCTCAACGGTTCATAACTGATTTTATAAGGGTAATTGATTACCTGGTTATTTGATTAATGATTTAATGGATTTATGATGTTTTATCATTTTTTACAAACAAAAAAAATCCATTCATAAGTTTTAACTTTTGAGAACTTGAGAGCTTCTTGTCTCATATGAATTCTAATGTAGCGAAAGGCCATTCCATTCCAACCATTATGACTTCAGAACGTTGGTAGGTCCGCGATAGCAACGAAAGTCAACAACTCAGACAACTCAAAATGAGCCGCTATGACCAGTAACCTGTAAACTACTCCTACTCTCATAGATCGACAGCCAAATTTACAATTAGCAAATTCAAGGTAAGTTTTCATATGTCTCGATTATTATATTTTGCTACAGAGCCATGATCAGTTGAATGAATCTGCCTCATGGGCGATCCATTGTTAGTCTGGGTACCACAGTACCAGTCTGTTTAGCTAGCTATCATCCACTCCTTGCCAATCCGTGTCATATGCTAAACTTTGTCATGATATGACCCGGAGTACAAGGAGTGGAAAGTTAGCTAAACAAACTGGTACCTAGGCGAATCCGTTGCTGCTGGGTAATTATTATAACATGAATGCGATGTTGCATTTACTTTGCGTTTCTTCTTGTTACAGTCCGCCACACACGGTCATGTCTAAACACGTGAAACCCCTCATCCCAAACGGCCTGATGGCCATTCTGGCAGGCTTCAGTCGAGCATACCTAAGGAAGAGGCCAACTGACTTTGGGCTATTTGCCATGTACTACTGTATGGAACTGCGGAAATACAGAGATGGTATATTAGCTCACCATGGTCCCACAGAGACAAAAATATTGATTATGTAGTGTACAGTGCATTTTATCATGTGTTAAGAGTTCTGTAGAAATACATCTGATTAAGATTTCATTTTATTTTGTCATGCAGAAATACCAGCCTATTCACCAAACATGCTAGTGAAAGAATTTCATAAACATAGAGGTAAGTCCAGTGATGATGCACCATGTATTTCTATAGTCGTTGATGCATACAAAACACATACTTTTGCACTCACATCCCTCACAAAACAAATTATCTTCCCCCTGAAGCCGAGAGACTCTGTGGCAATGCCTATGAAGAGGAACTGCTGAAGTATGGATACAAAGTGACCTCCAAGGAGGATGTGACTTTTAATGCCCTGGAGATCACCTCTCAGGACCTACAAATACTAGGCAGTAGGGAGAGACAGATCAACAGACAGTACTCAACCACCACTAGCCCATGTGGAGAACAAGTGAACAATATTACAGCTCCATCAGCCATGGAGCAGCAGGTGAACCAAACCCTGGGGGCTGCAGCTATGGAGCTAGGGGCACTGGTTGGCAACATTGACCCCACAACATCAACAAGCCCTGTTCAACCAACCAACAATAATGCCAACAACACCCAACACGTGGTACAGGCATCCTCCCAGGCAGTAGCAGGTCTGGAATCCACTGAGAACAATACTGGTGAAGGTATGTGTCCTCTCAGATTCTGAGGCCCAACTATGTATGGTAAAATAAAATCTGCTTTGCACTAGTAATCTAATGTGTTCCTCTCCCTCCCACTGTTTTCCCCACAGTTGCTCCACAAGTCAAACCTGGCTCAGCAGAGATATTGGCCAGCAGCAGCGAGGCCAGTATTTCTGGACAGGCCTGTGCTCCCCAGCATTACACACCCACCAGCCAGGAGGGGGGGTGTGCTTGTGCCCCCATGCCCACAGAGATACCCTGCTACCCCAGATTTCCTCAGAATTACCCGCCATACCCTCCACCACCACCCTACCTCCCAGACCTTCATCATTATTTGGACCTCATGTCTGGCCAATATGTCCAGCCGTCCTGCAGATGCCAGCTATATGGCAGAGTGGTATATCGTCCCCCCAGTCAGCCAGTGCTGCCCCAGTGTCACCATGCCGCTCCACTGCCATTGCCCCAGTGCACTCACCAGCACCTCAGCCCTTCTGCCAGCTGCATTCAAGTGACTCCAACCATGGGGCCCTCCTGCCCCTATGGAGAACAGAGCCCTTTCTCACGGTACATCCCTGTGCCTGTCCTCACCAATCACTTTGGCTCCCTTTACTACAGACCCAGGATTGCCACAGGTGTGCCTGGCTGCAGGAGCGAGTGCCTACCCACATCCAGACGGCTCAGCTGCACTTCCTGCAACGTGAGTGACAGCTCTAGCTGTGGGCCAGAGCCCGCGGCCCAGACCTCCTGTCATGGAGGATATCGAGGACAGTGTGGGGGTGATGCCAACCATGGACCAGTCCCTGCCGGTGCACTAAGGTCCCTGTATGCCCCTGTGCCGTGCCCCATTGGACTGCAGAGAAGGGATGCCCCGGCACAGCGACCATGCAGCGCCCCAACTAGGAGGGTTGTTCCACTAACCACGCAGAACCAGAATAGCCCTTTCCCATCCGAATAAGGAACAGGTATGGAACCAGTTCTTCTGTGAATGGATAGCTGCAAATTATTTGATTTAATTTAATCTGATTAATTAAGAAAACATGACTACAGTATATTTGGTGCATATTCATTAGAGGATAAGTCTTCAGTTTGATTACATTTTGCCTTGAAGCTTTTGTTAATTGGTAGTATAATTAAACTAGTAGAACGTTTTCGTCTTGGACACAGAGAATATTATTAATCAGTTAGTATAGAATAAACATTTCTCAGGTGGCTAAATTGCTGTTATTTTTCTCTTTACAGAATGCCCAGACATGAACTGAACACAAAGCCCTACAACTTTATCATTGATTTTTATAATCAATAAAGTATTTTGCAGATTCGTTTTTAAGTCTCATTATTGTAGAACGGAAAATAAAAGATTGTTGAGTGTTTTATGCTAAAATAGTGCCAGTGAGAACGACTGTGCTTTATTATGCGTAAACGTAGGCATTTTTTGTTTGTTTTGCTGCTGCTGATATGTCGTGGCATTTTGAATATTTCATTTTGCAGAAATTGATTATAATGTTGTTGAAATCTAGGCTGCACAAAATACGCAAATTTTGCATTCCTTTTCAATTTGGCCAATACATTCTTATGAGGTTACTACCATTGTGACGTCACGCAGCCGCGGAGTTTTAGATCATGGATTTGAATCAATCAGTCCTCGATGTGGCTCAAGAGGAGTTACACCTGTCTGCAATGGTATGTTTTTACTAATCTAAATTATCTGAATCAATTTCGAATAATCTGACTTGATATCTAGCTACCTGTGTAGGCTAGATAATAGGCATAACCAAATCAATTGGCTGCAGCCATTTGATTGTACAGCCAGCGTACAGTAGGCTGAGCAGGATAGCCTGTCTGATTATCAGGTAAACAACCACTGCAGCTAAACCATCAACGACATTTTCCCAGATGGCTTCCAGGAGCACGCCTCACTTCAAGCCCCCGTTGACGATCATCATCCCATACGGGCTGAAGAGTTGGCTAGAATGTCTTTGCAGAGCCATATTTATTGAGGGACCAAGGCAGATACCGGAATTTATTGCTGACTATTGCGTTGAGCTGCTGGAATTCAGAGAACGTGAGTGGTGTGGACTGATGTAGATGCAGTCATAAACAGTGTTTGCGAAACACCTAAAAGTAGTCTATGTTTACAAACACACGAATTATTTGAAGTAGTTTAACCCTTTTTTAGTAGACCCTAATAACATTCAAAGCTAGAATCCTTAGTTGCTACATCCATTTTGGGACTTATAAATTAATGATATATAGGCCTACCCATTGATTCTTGAAGAATATAAATGCCTCATGAGCTTAGTTCAACTGTTGTACCCCATCAGAACCCAAAATATAAGCTTGTTTTACTCATTTTACATTTTAGTCATTTAGCAGACGCTCTTATCCAGAGCGACTTACAGTTAGTGAGTGCATACATTTTCATACTGCCCCCCCGTGGGAAACGAACCCACAACCCTGGCGTTGCAAGCGCCATGCTCTACCAACTGAGCTACAGGGAAACTCCAATGTTTGTAAACAGTGTAAATGTAAACAAACACCGTATAGCCTCAAAACATGGTTAAAACGATCATTTTAATATCATGGATGGTCAGACCTTGCATCCATAGCTCTGTCTATGAATTTTTGAGAGTGGTTACATTTTTCCAGGTCCATCCTTCAGCCTTTTACCAAAACAGAGGCGGGGTATACACTTTGTTATTGTTTCAACGGCGGATTCTAGCTACATTTTGAATTCATGTAGGCTAAGCATTTTAAAGGCTATCTCTTTAAAGTGGAACAGGCAATTAACTGTATTTTATTTTGCTTCAGGTAATCCTTTGATGGATACCAAGGATGTTACACATCTGTACCAGGAGATGCGGGGTAAGGAATATTCAGTCAATCATACTGCTAAAGATAACATTGCGCACTATCACTGCACATTCACTGCATTTAACAATTTCATTAAAACACAATGTTTAAAATCAACCCGCCATTTAAAATGCTTTAAAATAAATACAGTTGAATGTTTCACACACATGGCTCACAATTTCCGGAATTATTATTCTTTCAATAGAGGCAAATTACGTCAAAGACTGGCTAGTATGCCCAGTGCCACAAGCTGCCATAGACTGCTGCCTGGCTGAGGAGACCCTGTCAGTCAGCCAGAGGACCAATCCAAGGTCAGCCAAGGAGTTCAAGGTCCCCTCCAGCGAGCCCATGGGTGGGCCAGATAAGCAGGCTCAGTCTCTGAGCAGTCCCCCTGGAGAAACCCACCATAGAACCCACCCTGGAGATGGACCTCAGTCCAGCCCAGCCCACCTTGGAGGTCAACCCAGCCCAGCTGTGGAAGAGGAGGCCCAGGCCCGGCCAGGCTCTGCGGTGCAGTCAGTCGTGTTCCAGAGAGCTCCATCATTGGACAGTCTACTGGAGGCCAACCACTCTCAAGTCTTGATCAGCACTGCCAGTGCTCCAACTGATGACATCATCATCATCCACTCTGAGAACCTTCAGGAGGCAACTGTCTTCCGAAGCGACAGTCGTCCATATTCAGGTGTATCTCCCCGAGGTAGTTTGACCAAGATTCCTTCAGTTGGTGAGGTGGATAAGATTGGGGTGAATGACACAACAGAGGTGACGTCTGAAGATGTGGTGGTGTTCCACCAAGTGCCCTCAGTGGAGAACCTGCCTCGCACGCCGTCTGCCTTGAGTAATACCTCTCTAGCAGCTGAGGAAACAGTGGATCAGGTGATATCATTGAGCAGCAGAGAATTCTTACTGGAGAATGTGGTGCCTGGCTCGCCGTCCATTGAGAAGGTGGCTTCAGCTGCAGCTTTGCAGCAGGCAGACACTGATCAGATAAGATCTGCCTTTGGACTCACAGAGAAAGTATCTTCCTCAGAGATAGTGGGAGTCGGCACAGCACGGAGAGTGTCCTCAGTCAGGATACCCAGTAGAGAGGAGAGTGCGGGGAGAACAGCAGAGACACTAAATAGATACACATCTCCACAGATATCTCTTCTGTCAGGTATAATATTCATCTATACTCAAAAATGTATATGTATGGACAAGATATGACAAGATGCACAGTAATGTTTCAATTCTTTGCAATTGCATCCTGTCTATCCTCACAGCTCATTCTGATGAATATCTGAAGGCTACATACAAGTCATCCACCTCCAGCCTTGCCAGGGTTTCCTCTGCACCTTGTGGTGAGAGAGAGGCAGCAGCAACTATTTCACCTAAATCCAGTCTGGCCAGGGTTTCCTCTGTCTCTACTGGTGAGAGAGCAGCAGAACCAGCCTCTAAAGAAGCCTTCTCGAATGTGGAGGAGACTTACACATTACCATCAACAGAGGACCTACTGGTGTCTTCAACTGCTTCAGTTAGTAGAATCTCACCAGTAGCGTCTGCAATATATTCCAAAAGTGGTTTATCAGGAAGAGCTTTCTCTGATCCAGAACTAGTTGATGCAGCACACAGAGTGTCCTCAGTCAGGATACCCAGTAGAAAGGAGAGTGTGTGCAGAACAGCAGAGACACCAGAGAGACGCACATCTCCCAGAGTATCTCCACAAGCATCTTTTGTGTCAGGTAATGTCTCTATATCACAGTTCTAAAGAGGAAAATAGTCAACAAAATCATTATAGCTTTTCTGTATCCTCTGTTGAGTTGAAAAGTAATGTCTGTGTTTTATAGGCTCTCCAGTGATGTTTGAAGAAGAGGACTGGTGTGTAATCACCACTCACTCTGCTACAGTGAAGAAAGCAGTCAAATTGGCCCACTCAGAAAACATCTCTCCTCTTACTTCACCCAGCATAGACCTGGCCTGGGAGGAGCTTCTGCAGACATCAGCATCCATCGTGGATAAAGTAGCCCTCAAGGCTTTCGAGATTGTGAACCAAAAATTACAATGCTCAGGGATGGAGATATCTGAAATGGCCTCATCCAACCCTGTGGTTGTGTCTCAGTCTCTAAACACTCTCTTTTATAAGGATCTCTCTCACTCGCCTTCAGCTGTGGAGGAATTCTCTACTGCCTCAGCAAGATGCTCAGAAGGTGACATCACTGAAAGAGCTCCCTCTGAAACAGCAGGGGAGGGAGAAGCAATCTCTGTTAGGGAGATTACACCAGCAGTGTCTGCAAGGTATTATGCCAGTAATGTATCAGAAAGAGTTCCCTTTGAAACAGCAGTTTTGGGAGCAGCAGTATCATCAATGGAGGAGCTATCAGAGTCACCAACTGCATTTGCCTTTGTGGGTGAGGTTTCACCAGCAGTGTCTGCCAATGATGTATCAGAAAGAGCTCCCTCTGAAACAGCAGTAGTGGGAGCAGAGGCACCAGAGAGACACACATCTCCAAAAGTATCTGCACAAACATCATTTGTGTCAGGTATGAGTCACTTCTTATCTAAAGGTGTACTTACTGTGTACAGTACAAGCCCATGATACTTTATGATAATGATATAAATGGAACAGTCCCCTACTTTATTTATGTTTGTTTTATTGTGTCTCTCTCCACAGCTTATTCTGATGGATTGCTGAATGCTACAAAGTTGTCACCTCAATCCAGCCTGGCCAGGATTCCCTCTGGATATATCAGTGAAGGTGTGTCACCAGCAGTGTCTGCAAGATGTCCTGCTAGTGACTTACCAGAAAGAGCTTCCTCTGAAACAGCAGTAATGGAGTCAGCGCCCAGAGTGATCCACTCTGCACCATCAATGGATGAGCTACTGGTTTTACCAACTGCTTCTGTTGATGGGATTTCACCAGCAGTGTCTGCAAGATCTTCAAGAGGTAGTTTGTCAAAAAGAGCTCCCTCAGAAAAAGCAGTGGAGGGGGTAAGATATTCGGAAAGTGGTTTATCAGGAAGAGCTTTCTCTGAAACAGAACTAGTTGATGCGGCACAGAGCGTGTCCTTAGTCAGGATACCCAGTAGAGAGGAGAGTGTGGAGAGAACAGCAGAGACACCAGAGAGACACACATCTCCCAGAGTTTCTGCACAGACATTTTCAGTGTCAGGTACAGTAGTCATCCAACTCTGTGATATACTACTAATAAGGTCCATGTCACTAATTCGGGTAAAATGTTTAAGAAAATGTCAGGGTAGCATCACAACATACTCAAAAAAATAATCGGAATTTCCTCAACTCATGCTGACGTTACTCCAACAGCTACAGGCTTGTCATCTAAGTCCAGTTTGGCCAGAGCTCCCTCTGTGTCTCTGAGTGATGGTCCAGCTGAGTCAGTCTCTTTGGAAGTAATCTTTAATATGGAGGAGACTTATACAACACCATCTATGGGGGAGATTGTACCTCCAACTGCTGCTGGGGATGGCATTTCTGCCTCTATTGGTGAAAGAGCAGCAGAATCAGCTTCTAGAGGAGTGTCGTATATGGATGAGACGAATAAACCACCATCAATGGCAGAACTACCAGGGTCTCCAGCTGCTGTTGGAGGCATTTCACCAGCAGTGTCTGCTAGATGTTCACAAAGTGACATGGCAGAAAAAGCTCCCTCTGAAACAGCAGTAGGCAGACACACATCTTCCAGAGTACCTCCTAAAGTTTCTCCACAAACATCCTTGAGCTCAGGTACAGTTTTCAAATATCTTGAATGAAATATAAGGTTGTTATGTTAGTAGTCGGGGTGAAATTAATTGTAAAACACCACAGCATACTCATATATTGTAATCTGGTCTGTCTTTCCACAACCCATGTTGATGTTACTCCAACAGCTACAGGCTTGGCATCTATGAGTTTGGCCAGGGTTCCCTCTGTGTCTCTCAGTGTTGGTGCAAAAGAACCAGCTCAGATAGACAAAACACTGTCAATGGAGGAGCTACTGGCGTCTCCATTGTATTCTCAGTGGGCAATGTCACCAGCCTGTTCTGAAAGAGTGTCCTCAGTCAGGATACCCAGTAGAGAGGAGGGTGTGGGGAGAACAGCAGAGACACCAGGGAGACACACATCTCCCAGAGTATCTCCAAGAACTTCTCCAACAGTTTCTCTACAAACCTCTCTTGTATCAGGTACAATTGTCATCCATACGCTAAAGAATGCTCTAATAATAAGCTACTAATACAGATTTATTTAGGTAAAAAGGAGCAACACTTGTAAGGTAAAATGTATACACTACATGCCTGATTTTGTATCTGCATCCACAGCTCATGTTGGTGAATCTCTTTCTGGTACAGACATTTCTCAACAATCCAGTCTCCCTAGGATTCCCTCTGCACCATCAATGGACAGACACACATCTCCCAGAGTTTCTCAAAAAGTTTCTCCACAGTCTTTAAGAAGTAGTTTGTCAGAAAGACCTCCATCTGAAACAGTCATAAGGTATTCTGAAAGCGTTTTATTAGGAAGAGCTCTCTCTAAAACAGAAGTAGTCGATGCAGCACCGCGAGTGTCCTCAGTCAGGATACCCAGTAGAGAGGAGAGTGTGGGGAGAACAGCAGAGACACCAGAGAGACACACATCTCCCAGAATTTCTCCTAGAATGTCTCCCAGAATTTCTCCCAGAGTTTCTCCACAATCCAGTCTGGCCAGGATTCCATCTGCACCATCAATGGAGGAGCCACTGGTGACTCCATCTGCTGCTGTTGGTAGAGTTTCAACAGCCAGGAGTGGAGTTTCTCTAGGAATGTCTCTCGGAATTTCTGCAGCCAATGTGGTTGGGCCAGTGTGTTTCAAAGATGTGTCACAGATTATGCCGACTACAATACCAGGTAAATATTCCCTTAGAATACAGGAATTCAGCTTTAATAATTGAATAGATTTTACATTGTGCCAATTTCTTGTTTTATTGTGTTAAATACATTTTTATATATTCATTTTCTTTCAATATACAGTTGAAGTCGGAAGTTTACATACACCTTAGCCAAATACATTTAAAATCAGTTTTTCACAATTCCTGACATTTAATCCTAGTAAAAATTCCCTGTCTTAGGTCAGTTAGGATCACTACTTTATTTTAAGAATGTGAAATGTCAGAATAATAGTAGAGAGAATGATTTATTTCAGCTTTTATTTCTTTCATCACATTCCCAGTGGGTCAGAAGTGTACATACTCTCAATTAGTATTTGGTAGCATTGCCTTTAAATTGTTTAACTTGGGTCAAACGTTTCTGGTAGCCTTCCACAAGCTTCCCACAATAAGTTGGGTGAATTTTGGCCCATTCCTCCTGACAGAGCTGGTGTAACTGAGTCAGGTTTGTAGGCATCCTTGCTCGCACACGCTTTTTCAGTTCTGCCCACAAATGTTCTATAGGATTGAGGTCAGGGCTTTGTGATGGCCACTCCAATACCTTGACTTTGTTGTCCTTAAGCCATTTTGCCACAACTTTGGAAGTATGCTTGGGGTCATTGTCCATTTGGAAGACCCATTTGCGACCAAGCTTTAACTTCCTGACTGATGTCTTGAGATGTTGCTTCAATATATCCACATAATTTTCCTTCCTCATGATGCCATCTATTTTGTGAAGTGCACCAGTCCCTCCTGCAGCAAAGCACCCCCACAGCATGATGCTGCCACCCCCGTGCTTCACGGTTGGGATGGTGTTCGTCGGCTTGCAAGCAGCCCCCCTTTTCCTCCAAACATAACGATAGTCATTATGGCCAAACAGTTCTATTTTTGTTCATCAGACCAGAGGACATTTCTCCAAAAAGTACGATCTTTGTCCCCATGTGCAGTTGCAAACCGTAGTCTGGCTTTTTTATGGCAATTTTGGAGCAGTGGCTTCTTCCTTGCCGAGCGGCCTTTCAGGTAATGTCGATATAGGACTCGTTTACTGTGGATATAGATACTTTTGTACCTGTTTCCTCCAGCATCTTCACAAGGTCCTTTGCTGTTGTTCTGGGATTGATTTGCACTTTTCGTACCAAAGTACGTTCATCTCTAGGAGAGAGAAGGCGTCTCCTTCCTAAGCGGTATGTTGGCTGCATGGTCCCATGGTGTTTTTACTGGCGTACTATTGTTTGTACAGATGAACGTGGTACCGTCAGGCGTTTGGAAATTGCTCCCAAGGATGAACCAGACTTGTGGAGGTCTACAATTATTTTTCTGTGGACTTGACTGATTTCTTTTGATTTTCCCATGATGTCAAGCAAAGAGGCACTGAGTTTGAAGGTAGGCCTTGAAATACATCCACAGGTACACCTCCAATTGACTCAAATGATGTCAATTAGCCTATCAGAAGCTTCTAAAGCCATGACATCATTTTCTGGAATTTTCCAAGCTGTTTAAAGGCACAGTCAACTTAGTGTATGTAAACTTCTCACCCACTGGAATTCTGATACAGTGAATTATAAGTGAAATAATCTGTCTGTAAACAATTGTTGGAAAAATGACTTGTGTCATGCACAAAGTAGATGTCCTAACCGACTTGCCAAAACTATAGTTTGTTAACAAGAAATTTGTGGAGTGGTTGAAAAACGAGTTTTAATGACTCCAACCTAAGTGTATGTAAACTTCCGACTTCAACTGTATGTTTGAAAATGGAAAGTTTCAACTTTGATGTTGCATTATATTGTCATTTTAGAGAATCAGGGTTCGGCCTCCTCAGTCAGGATACCCAGTAGAGGAGAGGGTGTGGGGAGAACAGCAGAGACACCAGAGAGACACACATCTCCCAGAGTATCACCAAGAGCTTCTCCAAGAGCTACTCCACAAACCTCTCTTGTATCGGGTACAATTGTCATCCATATTCTGAGGAATGCTCTACTAATAAGCTACTAATAAGACATTTTGAGGAAAATAATGGTAAAACTTGTAAGGTACCATTTTTACAGTATGTGCCTAATTTTGTATCTGCATCCACAGCTCATGTTGGTGAATCTCTGTCTGGTACAGACATTTCTCCACAATCCAGTCTGCCTAGGATTCACTCTGCACCATCAATGGACAGACACACATTTCCCAGAGTTTCTCAAAGAGTTTCTTCACAATCCAGTCTGGCAAGGATTCCCTCTGCACCATCAATGGAGGAGCTACTGGTGTCTGCATCTGATTATTTTGGTAGTGTTTCACCAGCAGTTTCAAGAAGATCTTCAGAAAGAGCTCCTTCTGAAACAGTCATACGATATTTTAAAAGTGATTTATCAGGAAGAGCTTTCTCTGATCCAGAACTAGTTGATGCAGCTCACAGAGTGTCCTCAGTCAGGATACCAAGTAGACAGGAGAGTGTGGGGAGAACAGCAGAGACACCAGAGAGACACACATCTCCCAGAGTATCACCAAGAGCTTCTCCAAGAGCTACTCCACAAACCTCTCTTGTATCGGGTACAATTGTCATCCATATTCTGAGGAATGCTCTACTAATAAGCTACTAATAAGACATTTTGAGGAAAATAATGGTAAAACTTGTAAGGTACCATTTTTACAGTATGTGCCTAATTTTGTATCTGCATCCACAGCTCATGTTGGTGAATCTCTGTCTGGTACAGACATTTCTCCACAATTCCAGTCTGCCTAGGATTCACTCTGCACCATCAATGGACAGACACACATTTCCCAGAGTTTCTCAAAGAGTTTCTTCACAATCCAGTCTGGCAAGGATTCCCTCTGCACCATCAATGGAGGAGCTACTGGTGTCTGCATCTGATTATTTTGGTAGTGTTTCACCAGCAGTTTCAAGAAGATCTTCAGAAAGAGCTCCTTCTGAAACAGTCATACGATATTTTAAAAGTGATTTATCAGGAAGAGCTTTCTCTGATCCAGAACTAGTTGATGCAGCTCACAGAGTGTCCTCAGTCAGGATACCAAGTAGACAGGAGAGTGTGGGGAGAACAGCAGAGACACCAGAGAGGCACACATCTCCCAGAGTTTCTCCTATAACTTCTGCAAGAGTTTCTCCAAGATTCTCTCCACAAACATCTCTTCCATCAGGTACAATTTGTAGAATTATCTACAAATAAGCTATTAATTGTTTGGTTGAAATGTTCACAGTATGTGACTTAGTTCAAATGTATGCATGCATGACTGTAAGTCTCTTTGGATAAAAGCGTCTGCTAAATTACATATTTATTTATTTGTATATTCATCCACAGCTCAAGTTGGTGAATCTCTGCCTGGTACAGACATTGCACCACAATTCAGTCTGCCCGGGATTCCATCTGTAGCATCAATGGAGGAGCTACTGGTGTCTCTAACTGCTTCTGTTGGTAGAATTTCACCTGCAGTTTCAAGAAGATCTTCAAGAAGTAGTTTGTTAGAAAGTGCTTCCTCTGGAAAAGCAACAATTGAAGCAGTACACAGAGAAGAGAGTGTGGAGAGAACAGCAGACGCAACAGAGAGTCACACAACTCCACGAGTGTCTTTCAGAGCTCCTTTGGCAACATCTAGGACAAGAGTCCTTTCTGATGTGGCAGTTTTGTACAGACCATCCATTGCTGAAGGACTTTGTCTTGAGGTCTTGGACATGGAGTCTGACCAGGTGAAAACATCAGTGAGTGACATCACTGCACAAGCTTCCTCTCACACTGCAGCAATGGAAACAGCTCATGATACGGTCAGGATACCCAGTAGAAAGGAGAGTGCAAGGAGAACAGCTGAAACGCAAACATATTTTGCATCAGGTAAGTATCAAGATTAATACATTACTGAAATATTATCAACGAAAACCAACTATTTTCTAAAGATTTATCTTCCTAATCTCATAGGATTATTGAACAACAGTACACAAGTTTCAGGAACTTCAATCCGCCTTCATGAAGAGGTGACTGCCCACCCTACAGAAGTGCAGCAGGGGACCCTGCGACATGGAATCTCTCTTGGACTTTCTCGAGCCAATGTGGTTGGGCCTCAAAACACACGGTCACAGAGTGTGCAGACTGGACCAGGTACATTTCCCCTCAGAATACAAGAATTCAACTTTAATAATTGTTCAATCATATTTTTTTAATATGTGTGTTTTGAAGACATTTAGGGATTTTCCCCTCCAATGCCTTCAGAAAGTATTCAAACCCTTGACTTTTTCCACATTTTGTTGTGTTACAGCTTGAATTTAAAATAGATTAAATTCAGATTTTTTTGTCACTGGCCTACACACAATACCCCATAATGTCAAAGTGGAATTATGGTTTTACACATTTTTACAAATCAATTAAAAATGAAAAGCTAATATGTCTTGAGTCAATAAGTATTCAACCCCTTTGTTATGTCAAGCCTAAATAAGTTCAGGAGTAATAATGTGCTTAACAAGTCAAATTCAACCCAACACATCACTGAGTACCACTCTTCATATTTTCAAGCATGGTGGTGGCTGCATCATGTTATTGGTATGCTTGTCATCGGCAAGGACTAGGGATTTTTTTTTTAGGATAAAAAGAAACAGAATAGAGCTAAGCGCAGGCAAAATCCTAGAGGAAAACCTGGTTCAGTCTTCTTTCCAACAGACACTGGGAGACAAATGTACCTTTCAGCAGGACTATTACCTAAAGCACAAGGCCAAATATACACAGGAGTTGCTTACCAAGATGACATTGAATGTTCCTGAGTGTCCTAGTTACAGTTTTGACTTAAATCGGCTTGAAAATCTATGGCAAGACTTGAAAATGGCTGTCTAGCAATGATCAACAACCAACTTGACACAGAACTGGAAGAATATTTAAAAGAATGTGCAAATATTGTACAATCCAGGTGTGCAAAGCTCTCAAGATTCAACTGTAATTGCTGCCAAAAGTGATTATAACATGTATTGACTCAGGGTTGTAAATACTTATGTAAATGAGATATTTCTGTTTTTGATTTTCAATAAATTTGCAAAAATGTCTAAAAACATGTTTTCACTTTGTCATTATGGGGTATTGTGTGTAGATGGGTGATTTTAAAAAAATTTAATCCATTTTGAATTCAGGCTGTAACACAACAACATTTGGAATAAGTCAAGGGGTATGAATACTTTCTGAATGCATTGTATGTGTGGAATTTTACATTTTCAACTTTTATGTTGCATTCTATTGTCATTTTAGATTATCATGGCCCGCCCTCGCATAGCATTCCTATTGGAGCAGGACGTGTCACTCCTGATGCGCAGCCTGCCCTCGAGAATTTCACCAATCAGGTCTGGACACTATACCACTTGGCCAATGAGACCGAGGAGGGCACACTATCCACTAACGCTATCTCCCAGCCTCCGTTCAATGGCAGTGCTTTCATTTGCAACTTTGGGTCTGGACATGTGTTACTGGCAGAGAGGTCCCCCTCCCCTCAGCAGTCTGACCCCCAGTCCTGGTGTGGCCGACCCAGACAACAACCCCAGCCACCACCATTCCCAATGTGCCCAAGAAGGGCCTTCACACCCAGGTCACAGACCTCAATCCTCCGCCCTCCACCCCAGCCTCCGACCATCCTCAACCAGGAGATCAGCATCCCCAACTACTTCCTGTTCCTCGATGGCAACCAGGTGTCCCTGGGCCAGAGTGCTCGTAGTGTTCCGACCGCAATGTTTTCCAGGTCGAGATCTGCTGTGGTCAGGGCGGACGACCCCCCGGGGTACCTGTCCTTCTCCGTTCCAATGGAGATGGTGAGCGGAGGTTCCGGTCGGGACGGCCAGGCCCAGTTCCTGCAGGTCATCAGTGATGAAGGAAACACTGTTTACACCCCCGCTCTCATACGCATCGTCACCTCCGAACCCACAGAGGAAGAGGACCAGGAGGGAGCCGGGAGGTGGCCAACTAGTGCCCCATTTAATTGGTAGGGGACTGTTGTCTACTGAGTATCAATAAACATGTGTGCATATCATTTAAAACTTTCTCTTTTCATTTAATAAACATGTTTTAAGTGAGAATTTAAGCTAGTCTGAAGCTGAAAAAGTAAGGAAATTCACAAGCTCAACATTAACTTCAACCATCCCACTGGGCACAGACGTCAATTCAACGTCTATTCCATGTTGGTCAATGAAATGACGTGGAAACAACGTTGATTCCACCAGTGTGTGCCCAGTGGGATGTTAGTATTATCTGGGGAATTCAATCCACAACTTAGGTAATGCTTCAGGGATACACAGTGGTGGAAATAGGAGAAGCAGGACACAAACAGTAAGGGAACATTAAGCTTTTATTTAGCAACAATAGAAACAATCTTGATTCTGTAATGTGCTATACACAAAGTGAGAGTAGCCTCTAGATAAAACTGTGCATTCACAGGGTGTGCTAGGCCCAGTCTACTGTACTGTCATGTATTACATGATAATCCTACCTAAACATCCGCTTTGAGGTTACAGCGGCAGCTATTCACAACCAAAGAGAGGAATGTTATGCAGTGCATGAGTGAATTGAACAGTGGCTGTGTGGCTGTGTCTGTCCCAAATGTCACACTTTTCCCCAATAGGGCTCAGGTCAAAAGTAGTGCGCTATGTAGGAAATAAGGTGCCAGTTGGGTCATAGCCTTACTGTGTTTCTGTGGGTGTAATGCAGCTTATGCTTGCATAGTCAATGTGGTGCATGTACTGTATGTGCATTCAGTGTGTGAGGGGTAGTTCAAACAGTTCTCAGAATATCCAGAATTACATTTTTACTTTAGAGGAAACTTTTGCACGCATAAATATATATTCATATAGAGCCAAGTGGTTAAACTTGGCTTAAATAAATTCTCAAGTGCTATTGAAGCAAGAGCCATAATTCTAAGTACAGTACAGCTATTCTCCTCTTTACATAGCATAGTATCCTAAATTCATCAAGTACTACATTGTATTACAGCTCAGAAGAATAGACAAGCTCTATCCAATAATATGTACAAACATTTATTATGTCCTCAGCCATAGTTGCTGAGGTCCAAGCAGCTGTGATACAGTAAGTGTGTCATAATGACAGTTTAGTTTGTTAGCATATAGCAGGGACTGCAGGAAGTTGGAACAAGTCTATTTCACACACTATTTGAAAGCTGTTTCCTTAAAATTGATACTGAATGATACTGTAGCTGCACACATTCGTAAGTAACAGCACTGAGCGCACTGCATTCAAATGGACATAATTCTCGCAACAAGTGTTTGAGAGAGATACTAGAGACACATCAAGAGATGGGTCACATTCAATCCACTCCATTCAAAACACTCCCATTGTTAAAATGACAGGCAGGTTACACCCTACAGTTTTATTATAATTATATACACACTGGTCGATGACCATAGCTTACAGACTCATGAGGGCTTCACAATTGTGCTTTGAGTGAGACATAGGCTATGATAGGAGATATGTTTGGGGACTACTGAATGGTTGTTGCAGGTACATGGGTAAGGCTGATGCTGGGAATTGAATGACAGTAAAGGACAATAGTAGGTCCAGAGCAGGCTTTGAAATGATTAAGGCCAGAACTCTCCCTTAACCTTGCCTATGTTGACACCATAACTAATTTTTCCTGACCACATGACCTGACCAGGACTAACTTTCTCCCCCTTCAATGAACCCTCTGAGAAAATGTCAGAGTTCCAGTGTCAGAATATAAAAAATAGCAGAGCGAGTTAAGACGAGGTGTGTACAGATAGAGATGTGTATGTGGTGTGTGTCCTGTGGGTCAGTATATATCAGGCAGCAGGGAGTAGTTCCGGTCCCAGTAGCTGTTGGAGTAGAGCCAGTCCTGAGCTTTGTTGTGGGGGTTGAGGCCCTGGTGGAACCACCTATATGGGAGCAACAAGAGTAACCAAGTCAGATAAACTAGCACAGATACGAGTATCCAGGCACAGGCATGATAGTTTTACATGATGATTGTGATAAATACAAACCCACACAAACAAACTTCGTAATATCCAGTAAATTCAACTCCTGATGGTGGGGTTTAACAAACTAAGCTTCAATTGAAAATGTGTTGTTTCTCTATATAGCTTGGGTCTTTTGTGTATTCATGCAAACTGGAGCATGCAGATATCCGGGACAATTCAAGACCATGATTGTAATTTTGTCAAATCACCACCATAATAAGATTTCAAAATGTCCAGTATTTCTGTGTTCATATTTCAGAACAAAATATGGATTCTTAAGACATTCAGAATAGTGAAAGAAATGCATGCTGAGGGAAAATAGAGCCACTCTACAATTTATTACTAACCCAAACACAGTGGAGAACAATGGGCCTTCTACGCCTTCAGAGAAGGGCTAAGGATTTATAAAATAATGATTATAATAATATACTAATTATTTCATAATGATCTTATTATTTTCAATGATGTTCTGATTTAATCTCTTCGGTTTTTGTTGGAAATTAAAGGGTTAACGCTGAAGAGAAAAAAAGATCCAATCAGGATTTTTCTTTGCTGGCCTCTGGGGAGATAAATCTAGCTAGCTAAATCAGCCATTGACTAGGCCACCAGAAGCTAGATAAAGGCATCTGCCATGCAATTGTATTAGGGCAAAATTTGGGAGTGACAGTGGAATCACATTTTGACTTAATGGGTGGGACTGTTTTTACAAACACTTATGGAAACGTCTGCCTTCTTGAAGGCGAACAGGTCACTGCGCAATAGCGAGTAGTTTTCCCACGGTCTAGCTAGCTAGCTTTTGTTGTCGGCTAGTTTGCAGTGGCTGCAGCAGGTGTTATCAAAGAAGATGTTGCTAATTTTCAAGAATAACAAATTAAGTTTCAAATGATCATCATCTGGTGATTGGAACTGTTTTTTATAGCAGCACACTTGCTGTTGTTAGCAATCTCTTTGAAAATAACTTATGTTCGTGAAACGTTGTTGCATTTAAAGTGGAACTGACAGCATTTTAGCAACATGAAATCGTATTAAAATCTGTTCATATACACCCCCCGGAAGAATATTACACTTTTTAAAACATTTTCTGACAAGCGACCACTTAGATATGGTCACGTTTTCATAGATTCTTAGAATGTTTGGGAATTACATATACTAAGGCACCTCTACACCACTGGCCCTTTGTGTTTTATCAGTGTAGATGAAGGGGGGGAGACAGGTTAAAGAAGGATTTGTAAGCCTTGAGACAATTGAGACATAGATTGTGTATGTGTCACATTCAGAGGGTGAATGGGCAAGACAAAATATTTAAGTGCCTTTGAACGTGGTATGGTAATAGGTGCCAGGCACACCGGTTTATGTCAAGAACTGCAACGCTGCTAGGTTTTTCACTCTCAACAGTTTCCCGTGTGTATCAAGAATGGTCTACCACCCAAAGAACATCCAGCCAACTTGACAACTGTGGGAGTCAATATGGGCCAGCATTCCTGTGGAACAATTTTGACACCTTGTAGGGTCCATCCCCCAACAAATAGAGGCTGTTCTGGGGGCCAAAAAAGGAGGGGGATACAACTCAATATTAGGAAGTTGTTCCTAATGTTAGGTATACTCAGTATATATTTGGCCTTGTCTTTTATGTTATAAACCTGCTGAAAGGTGAATTTGTCTCCCAGCGTCTGTTGGAAAGCTGACTGAAGCAGGTTTTCCTCTAGGATTTTGCCCGTGCTTAGCTCCCTAGTCCTTGCTGATGACAAGCATACCCATAACATGATGCAGCCACCAACATGCTTGAAAATATGAAGAGTGGTAATCAGTGATGTATTGGATTTGCCCCAAACATAACGCTTTGTATTCAGGACATAAGGTGAATTTGGGGACCCTATTAGATTTTTTTATTCAATTCAGTCTGGTATGAGTATGGTAGCCCCTATCTGCAAAAGCAGGGTGTCTGCGGAAAGCTGAGTATCTTGGCTATTGATCTGTGCCTTAAAATCTTTGGTGTGACTTACTACCATATATGGGCATACGAATGTACAGTGGGGAAAAAAAGTATTTAGTCAGCCACCAATTGTGCAAGTTCTCCCACTTAAAAAGATGAGAGAGGCCTGTAATTTTCATCATAGGTACACGTCAACTATGACAGACAAAATTAGAAAAGAAAATCCAGAAAATCACATTGTAGGATTTTTAATGAATATATTTGCAAATTATGGTGGAAAATAGTTTTTTAAATTATCAGAAAAAAAATATTCCATTTTAAATGGAATGGCAAACCAGACAAAATTAAACGGGCCTATTTATATAATGAATATGAATTCGGAGGACAGAAATTATTAAATATTAAAGCATTAGACCTATCACTAAAAGCTTAAGTCATACAAAAATTATACTTAAATCCGAACTGGTTCTCTAGCAAATTAGTAAAATAGTCTCACCCAATGTTCAAGAATGGCCTTTTCCCCTTTATTCATATTACAACCTCTCACTTTCAGTTATCTGAAAAGGAAATAATCTCCCAAATACAGTGGGGGAAAAAAGTATTTAGTCAGCCACCAATTGTGCAAGTTCTCCCACTTAAAAAGATGAGAGGCCTGTAATTTTCATCATAGGTACACGTCAACTATGACAGACAAAATGAGAAAAGAAAATCCAGAAAATCACATTGTAGGATTTTTAATGAATTTATTTGCAAATTATGGTGGAAAATAAGTATTTGGTCAATAACAAAAGTTTCTCAATACTTTGTTATATACCCTTTGTTGGCAATGACACAGGTCAAACGTTTTCTGTAAGTCTTCACAAGGTTTTCACAGACTGTTGCTGGTATTTTGGCCTATTCCTCCATGCAGATCTCCTCTAGAGCAGTGATGTTTTGGGGCTGTCGCTGGGCAACATGGACTTTCAACTCCCTCCAAAGATTTTCTATGGGGTTGAGATCTGGAGACTGGCTAGGCCACTCCAGGACCTTGAAATGCTTCTTACAAAGCCACTCCTTCGTTGCCCGGGCGGTGTGTTTGGAATCATTGTCATGCTGAAAGACCCAGCCACGTTTCATCTTCAATGCCCTTGCTGATGGAAGGAGGTTTTCACTCAAAATCTCACGATACATGGCCCCATTCATTCTTTCCTTTACACGGATCAGTCGTCCTGGTCCCTTTGCAGAAAAACAGCCCCAAAGCATGATGTTTCCACCCCCATGCTTCACAGTAGGTATGGTGTTCTTTGGATGCAACTCAGCATTCTTTGTCCTCCAAACACGACGAGTTGAGTTTTTACCAAAAAGTTATATTTTGGTTTCATCTGACCATATGACATTCTCCCAATCCTCTTCTGGATCATCCAAATGCACTCTAGCAAACTTCAGACGGGCCTGGACATGTACTGGCTTAAGCAGGGGGACACGTCTGGCACTGCAGGATTTGAGTCCCTGGCGGCATAGTGTGTTACTGATGGTAGGCTTTGTTACTTTGGTCCCAGCTCTCTGCAGGTCATTCACTAGGTCCCCCCGTGTGGTTCTGGGATTTTTGCTCACCGTTCTTGTGATCATTTTGACCCCACGGGGTGAGATCTTGCGTGGAGCCCCAGATCGAGGGAGATTATCAGTGGTCTTGTATGTCTTCCATTTCCTAATAATTGCTCCCACAGTTGATTTCTTCAAACCAAGCTGCTTACCTATTGCAGATTCAGTCTTCCCAGCCTGGTGCAGGTCTACAATTTTGTTTCTGGTGTCCTTTGACAGCTCTTTGGTCTTGGCAATAGTGGAGTTTGGAGTGTGACTGTTTGAGGTTGTGGACAGGTGTCTTTTATACTGATAACAAGTTCAAACAGGTGCCATTAATACAGGTAACGAGTGGAGGACAGAGGAGCCTCTTAAAGAAGAATTTACAGGTCTGTGAGAGCCAGAAATCTTGCTTGTTTGTAGGTGACCAAATACTTATTTTCCAACATAATTTGCAAATAAATTCATTAAAAATCCTACAATATAATTTTCTGGATTTTTTTCTCTCTCATTTTTTCTGTCATAGTTGACGTGTACCTATGATGAAAATTACAGGCCTCTCATCTTTTTCAGTGGGAGAACTTGCACAATTGGTGGCTGACTAAATACTTTTTTCCCCCACTGTATGTATATACTGCATTCTATTCTATAATATTCTACTGTATCTTAGTCCATGCCGCTCTGTCATTGCTTGTCCATATATGTATAGTATATATTCTTAAACACCATTCCTTACTAGTTTTGTGTGTATATGTTGTGAAATTGTTAGATATAACTGCACTGTCGGAGCTAGAAGCACAAGCATTTCGCTACACCCGCTATAACATCTGCTAAACACGTGTATGTGACAAATAAAATTTGATTTGGTCTGTGTTTGAGCTATAGCTACATGGGGGATATGAAATTAATCCTAGGTTGGTAGGAACACATCTAGCCTATTGCCAATGTTATCTGATGATGTATGACTTAATGGCAACATTGAATGTCCACCGAGTGACTATATCTTTGCGCATCAAAAATATCGCCTGCTTACGTGCCATAGGCATCCATTACACAGGGGATTGGCTACTATGGCACCTTGACAGTCTTGTAGCCAATGAGATAAGCCCCGTGTAGCTCAGTTGGTAGAGCATGGCGCTTGCAACGCCAGGGTTGTGGGTTCGATTCCCACGGGGGGCCAGTATGACTTATTTAAAAAAAATTTAATGTATGCACGCACTAACTGTAAGTCGCTCTGGATAAGAGCGTCTGCTAAATGACTAAAATGTAAATAAGCTTTCCATGGTTATGCAGTTGACCTGGGTGAGACAAAGCAAGGCCTAGTACCTTTTATGCGTAATGCGAACTATTGCTACCTGGCTCAGAGACGAGACACACCGAGCACTTACAAAAAACTAAGAATATCGAAGAGGAAGCTAAAAAAAAGGCAGCTATGAATAAGTATACCGACATAGAAGCAAATACTGGTGTTGGACTCGGATCAGGGGAGCGATTTGGACAACGAAGATTGGTTTCTAGAAGGATTGGATCCACTTTTAGATCTGTAAGTAAATTATTTATGACTTTATAGAGCTAATTTACTATATGTATTTCATTTTTTATAAATTGTCTGCTTTTTGTGCTTTGGATTTAGTTTACATAGGCCTATGTAACAACTAATTTCAATGTTATATAATTCCAAAGTAGTTATTGTCTATCTTTCATATTAGTTCACTGTCCAATGCCAGCATGGGGGGTGTCGACCTATCTGATGCTCTGATAGGCTACTACCAGGTCCTCCACAAGACCAGGAAGTGGTAGAATACTTTTTTTTACCACTTTCTGGACATTGCTACAGTAAATGCATTAATTCTCCACAAACAGATGGCCAAAGCAAAAGGTCAAAACCCCTCTCTCCCAGTTGGCCTTCTGAGAGCAGCTGGTGTTGGAAATGGAAACCTCACAACCATCACAAGACCTCCCACTTAAGGTGAGCGCCACTATCCAACACACATGCCAAAAAACAAAAGGAAGAACTGAAAGCATTGCACAAAACACACTGGGGAAAAAAGCCAGATCTTCTGCTCTTTCTTTCCTGGCAGAGAGGGACTGCTTCAAAGATTATCACAACATGCACAAGCTACAGTGAAAGTGAAATCTAATCATCTACACCTGGGATGTAAAACGAACACGAATTCCATTTGTAAATAGTTCAGCTTATTTCTATTTTTGCACCTTTTTTAGTGAAGGACACATGTGTAACCAAGTTTGTGTTTGATAAGACATTTTTATTTTTATGTATAGCTGTTGCTTTTATATTGTTTTTGTAAACAGTTCATTTGTATGTGGGACCAATGCATGGGATATGCCTAGGCTAAACATTCAGGCACCTTAGAGAGGTTGAAAAAACACTTGGATATCTCCTGTATGTCCCCCGACACCACAACAACGTTTGAGAGAGGTTGGTGTTGTAGAAAGTTAGTTTTTATAGTGAACAATAACTTTTAGGCACATCCAGTGTGCAAAAACAGTGCAATTACCACATTTGGACACTTTGGAGAGGTTGAAAGGACACTTGAATGTACCCTGGATACCCCATAACATCACCACAATGTTTGAGTGAGGTTGATTTGGTAGACATTTTGTTTTTATGCTGAACAAATAGCATTTAGGTATTGCAAATATGTGATAGCACTGGAATTATCTACTTTACAGACATATGCCACTTTGGAGAGGTTTAGGGACACTTGGAAACGTCCCGTGACCACACCTGACATCACTTACTAAAACATCTGCCCAAAATATTGTTCACATATTGTAGAAGCCATCTGATGTGTTTCCAGATCTGGGCATCAATAATTAACTTATAGCTTGTCAATGAAAGATGACTTTCAAAATAAAACAATAAAAAAACACAAAAACATTATTTTGTGTGTGCTTGATCTTGTGTATTCTGAGCTATGTAACTCCGATCTATCTTCTGATCATTTCCTCATAATATCCCAGATGTCTTCTTTCCAAATATACCAAGTTTTGGCATGTCAGAATCATGTGATTACACATGAATAGCAGTTACTTTTAGGTATGTCTAATTAGGCGGAAATCTACATTTTGCCATTACATTTAAGAGGTTAACACATTTTTTGCAGTTTTCCTTTATGCAAACAGGATACATGTTTTGGAATATTTTTATTCTGTACAGGTTTCCTTCTTTTAACTCTGTCATTTAGCTTAGTATTGTGGAGTAACTACAATGTTGTTGATCCATCCTCAGTTTCCTATCACAGCCATTTAACTCTATAACTGTTTTAAAGTCACCATTGGTCTCATGGTGAAATCCCGGAGCGGTTTCCTTCATCTCCGGCAACTGAGTTAGGAAGGACGCCTGTATCTTTGTAGTGACTGGGTGTATTGATACACCATCCAAAGTGTAATTAATAACTTAAACATTCTCAAAGGGATATTCAATGTCTCTTTTTTATTTAATTTTTTCCTTCTTTGCGAGGCACTGGAAAACCTCCCTGGTCTTTGTGGTTGAATCTGTGTTTGAAATTCACTGCTCGACTAAGGGACCTTAAAAGTAATTGTATGTGTGGGGTTGAGAGATGAGGTAGTCATTCAAAAATCATGTTAAACACTTATCGCACACAGTAAGTCCATGCAACTTATGTGACTTGTTAAGTAATTTTTTACTCCTGAACTTATTTAGGCTTGCCATAACAAAGGGGTTGAATACTTATTGACTCAAGCCATTTCAGCGTTTCGTTTTTAATTTGTAAAAATGTCTAAAAACGTAATTCCACTTTGACATTATCAAGGTGTGTAGGCCAGTGACACAAAATCTCTATTTAATGCATTTTAAATTCAAGCTGTATTACAACAAAATGTGGAACAAGTCAAGGTGTGTGAATACATTCTGAAGGCACTGTACTTATCAGGAGTCAACTACACTCAGGTTGTGAAGTTGCATGATCAGTGTTTTAGTCAATGCATTTGCTGCCGTTCTAAAGCTGTCCTGAGGGAGGCAGTATAGTGCAGCACTCAAACAGTGAACCACAACAACAACCAAAAGACACACCAGACAAGCAGAGCCAAACCTGGGGCCAAGAGCTGGGTTCCTTCTCAATGACAACACAGTGGGGAGAGCATAACACACAGCACAGGATGACACAAATGTGGGATAATTAGCAAAGCAGGCCTAGCATTAGCGTTAGCATACATCCAATGAGAGTTTGCACAGCAGAAGCAGAGGTTCCAGGAGGTAGAGGACCCAATCACTCACCTTGTTTTCCATTCCTCGGTCGACTTCGAACGATTTTTCCGGGACAGTCTTTGTTTTTCCTCTACCCTCTTCTTCTCTGCACTTGCCGAATCTGAGAAATATTTTAACATATATCAAAATATAAATTACTGAACACCAGATGTGGACACAATGCTTTGATCATTCACAACAACACAATGCCCTATATAACTATAACTTTATCACCATACCCATGTCTCCTTTCTCCATATGTCTGATGTCAGGCCTGAGTCGACAGTCTGTGGGGGGTAGGACCCCCTTCATGCCCTCCTCCAGCTCATTCAGCTGCATGGCAAATGTGGAGAAGGCATAGAACTATGAGAGAGAGAGAGAGAGAGAGAGAGAGAGAGAGAGAGAGAGAGAGAGAGAGAGAGAGAGAGAGAGAGAGAGAGAGAGAGAGAGAGAGAGAGAGAGAGAGAGAGAGAGAGAGAGAGAGAGAGAGAGAGAGAGAGAGAGAGAGAGAGAGAGGATTCAACAAATCAATAACTGAGTCAAACTGACAACCAGTTGAATCACTCAAGAAGGCTAAAAATATCATCAGTAAATCCCAGATTTCTGCCTTTTAGTAATCCCCCTAATACAGTACTCTCTCATGCCTGTGATCCCTGCAGTTGTCTGGTCGGAGAGCTATCCCCCAGAACTGCTCGTCCCATTCCCTCTCACCCTGTGCTGTACCACAGGGCAGCTCTCTAGGCCCTCTACTCTTTTCTATTTTTACCAATGACCTGCCACTGGCATTAGACAAAGCATTTGTGTCCATGTATGCTTATGATTCAACCATATACACATCAGCAACCACAGCTAATGAAGTCACTGAAACCCTTAACAAAGAGTTGCAGTCTGTTTTGGAATGGGTGGCCACTAATAAACTGGTCCTGAACATCTCTAAAACTAAGAGCATTGTATTTGGTACAAATCATTCCCTAAGTTCTAGACCTCAGCTGAATCTGGTAATGAATGGTGTGGCTGTTGAACAAGTTGAGGAGACTAAATTATGTGGCGTTACCTTAGATTGTAAACTATCATGGTCAAAACATATAGATTCAATGGTTGTAAAAATGGTGAGAGGTCTGTCCATAATAAAGAGATGCTCTGCTTTTTTGACATCACACTCCAAAAAGCAAGTTCTGCAGGCTCTAGTTTTGTCTTATCTTGATTAATGTCCAGTCATGTGGTCCAGTGCTGCAAGGAAAGACCTAGTTAAGCTGCAGCTGGCCCAAAAAGAGTGGCACATCTTGCTCTTCATTGTAATCAGAGGGCTGATATAAATACTATGCATGCCAGTCTCTCTTGGCTAAGAGTTGAGGAGAGACTGACTACATCACTTTTACAAGAAACAATGTGTTGAATCCCAAATTGTTTGTATAGTCAACTTACACACAGCTCTGACACACACACTCACCCCACCAGACATCCCACCAGGGGTGTTTTCACAGTCCCCAAATCCAGAACAAATTCAAGAAAGTGTACAGTATTATATAGAGCCATTATTGCATGGAACTCCGTTCCATCTCATATTGCTCAAATAAACCGCAAACCTGGTTTCAAAAAACATATAAAGCAACACCTCACGTTTGTGTGTATGTTTTGATATGTAGGCTACGTCTGCCTTTTAAAAAAATATATGTAGTTCTGTCCTTGAGCTGTTCTTGTCTATTAATGTTCTGTATTATGTCATGTTTCATGTTTTGTGTGGACCCCAGGAAGAGTAGCTGCTGCTTTTGCAACAGCTAATGGGGATCCTAATAAAATACCCCCTGCCTCTCCCACCCCCTGCCGCTCCTCCCCTCTCACCTCTGCAGAGTTGTCTGGCCGGGGGGCTATCCTCCAGATCAGCTCACTTCCTGGGATGACCTGGACCGTGTCTCCGTCAGGCAGGGGCATCTCCTCTGGCTCCTCGTCTACACTGGTCTGGAGGGACAGACAGGGGGACACACGCAACCTTCAAACAGGTATGGCCTACCAATAGCTAATTATTCGGTCATATCACGGGTCCTCACTCCAAAATGAGCTTAAAGGTTGCTTAAATACCACTCATTCATGAGCATGGAGCAAAAGGATCATTTTCATGGTGCGAAAGCAATGTGTTAAGTGTCAAATTTACCATAAACCTCATTGTAATCTAGCAGCACGATTTAATTTGAAATGTTTCTTCAACAATGTGGCTATTATGAATTTACTATTTATATATTGCTCAGTTTACTAAACTCTAGTCAAATAATCACCTCCCTATAACACATATTGTTGACTAAAAGTTTAAAATTATATCACGCTGCCAGATTACAATGAAGTTTATGGATAGGTATTTTAAGTATCAGCTAAGTCACATATTTTATTGCAATCTGGTGCCCGACGGCACAGTCGATGACGTGGCACGCAACCATTGGTTGATGCATGCAATGTCTGAGCAGGGGAATGCGACCATGGCATTTGCACGACGAAAATGTCACCCTTGGTGGCTTATTGAGTAATATTTATTTCCATTTATCACTACATTATCATCTGAATCTATGAATAGTACTGAACAGCACTGGACTGACATAAGGTATAGTATATAGCTTATTTCACCTAACAGATAATGAAAAATATATCAACATAATTCAAAGATCATAATAGTTACATAATCACCCCAATGGGGCTCGAGGCACTTCCTTGTTTTTGATACGGTGTGTTTTTGATTAGTGCACATCATACTGTACCTGCTTGTTGCTTTTCTTCTCCTCTGAGTTCTTCTTGTCAGATTTCTTGTGAGCATCAAAAGTGTCAGCGTCCACAGTGTATAAGCACTCGGTCCATTTACCGTAGATGGCACAGAGCTTATTTTTGCTGCACACACACACGCAAAATGTATTATAGCCTTTTCTTTGGTAATTAGATGTCCCCTCAGTGAGGAACACAATCCGTAAAGAATCAGGTTGTAACATTTATTATTATTTTTTATTTAAAAAGGTGCAATATGCAGAAATCGCTCCGCCATTTCCTGGTTGCTAAAATTCAGCTGTTTGAAGTTGTTGTACAAAACTGAAAGTAAAATACTCAAAAATGAACCTTAAGAACGGGAAGTATAGAAATACCGCACATAGAAGAGATCTACCGCTTCTTAGACTTGCTTTCAATGATAATTGCTATGTGTATTTGGTCGGGTCGCCCAAAAAGTTACATTTTGCAGCTTTAACCTTTATTTATCCAGGGAGTCCCATTGAGGTCAGGATACCTCTTTTACCAGGGAGACCTGGCCAGCAATGCAATACCAAACATCTCCAATTCGTAACAAAAGAAAGGCCACAAGTACCTTTTATCCAGAATGTAGCCCTCCACTTTGTGCAGCTCCTTACCAAAGAGGCCACTTGGTCTGAACGTCAGGCTGCATCTCTCTCCGGTCCTGTCACAGAAAGACAAGCCTTTGTTTACATATTCTCGTTCACTATTTCTCACCGTGAGACAATGCTTTCAAACAACTACCATGTAGCTGCTCAGTCTATCTCCTTTGTAAAGGCAAGTATCTGTCCCAGGTCTGTTACATTGCTCAATCAACTGGAAACAAACGTGGATCCACACTACTGCACACACACGGCAAGGTAGTCTCCCTTACTTGTGGTTGATCACCTCCACATTGCCATACTGCTCGATCCACAGCTGGCCCACGATGATGTTGTGTACACAGCAAGTGGGGTTTGTCCAGGTGTACGCTTCGTTGTATCTGCAGAGACGGAGAACATGTCATACATAGCAGCAGATAACCTCTCACCAACCATGTCCACTTAGATATGCCAACTCATACCAAACTACTTCAGGGAGATTACAAATGTCCTTTAAGCTTCAACATTGTTTACATTTCATTTATTAATTTCATCCAGGCTTTACAAAAAGCTCCCAGAATAGATTTATTGCTAGCTTTACTGGGAGATAAAGGCCAATTCAAGGACACTCCAAGCCAAACCCTCACTAAGGGAAAGCTATTGAGGGAATGTCAGCTCCAGACTCACTTGGGCAGCTCCAGGGTGATGATGCCTCTAGGCTCTGCCTCCACACTCTTGCCCCAGAACTTGAGTTTGGGGTAGATGGAGCCGTGGAACAGGAAGTCCTCCTGCAGGCCCTCAGCATGGAAGGCGCTGACGGGGGGGTGGTGGCTTACCTGCTCCGACATCCACCTGAACCCCAGGTCCTCTCTGAAGTGACAGGAGGGAGGGGGTTAATGGCACATACAATGCATTCGGAAAGTATTCAGACCCCTTCCCTTTTTCCACATTTTGTTACGTTACAGCCTTTTCTAAAATGAATAAAAAATAGCATCAATCTATGCACAATACCCCATAACGACAAAGCAAAAACAGATTTTTAGACATTTTTGCTAATTTATTAAAAATAAAAAACAGAAATACCTTATTTACATAAGTATTCAGACCCTTTGCTATGAGACTCGAAATTGAGCTCAGGTGCATCCTGTTTCCATTGATCATCCTTGAGATGTTTCTACAACTTGATTGGAGTCCACCTGTGGTAAATTCAATTGATTGGACATGATTTGGAAAGGCATACACCTGTCTATATAAGGTCCCACAGTTGCATTTCAGAGCAAAAACCAAGCAATAAGGTCGAAGGAATTGTCCGTAGAGCTCCGAGACAGGATTGTGTTGAGGCAGAGGCACAGATCTGGGGAAGGGTACCAAAAAATGTCTGCAGCATTGAAGGTCCCCAAGAACACAGTGGCCTCCATCATTCTTAAATGGAAGAAGTTTGGAACCACCAAGACTCTTCCTAGAGCTGGCCGCCCGGCCAAACTGAGCAAATGGGGGAGAAGGGATTTGGTCAGGGAGGTGACCAAATAATAATAATAATAATAATAATAATAATAATAATAATAATAATAAGCCATTTAGCAGACGCTTTTATCCAAAGCGACTTACAGTCATGTGTGCATATATTTTTACGTATGGGTGGTCCCGGGGATCGAACCCACTACCCTGGCGTTACAAGTGCCATGCTCTACCAATTGAGCTACCAAGAACCTGATGGTCACTCTGACAGAGCTCTAGAGTTATTTTGTGGAGATGGGAGAACCTTCCAGAAGGACAACCATCTCTAGAGCACTCCACCAATCAGGCCGTTATGGTAGAGTGGACAGACGGAAGCCACTCCTCAGTAAAAGGCACATGACAGCCCGCTTGGAGTTTGCCAAAAGGCACCTAAAGAACTCTCAGACCATAAGAAACAAGATTCTCTCGTCTGATGATACCAAGATTGAATGTCAAGCGTCACGTCTGGAGGAAACCTGGCACCATTCCTGTGGTGAAGCATGGTGGTGGCAGCATCATGCTGTGGGGATGTTTTTCAGCGGCAGGGACTGAGAGACTAGTCAGGATCGAGGGAAAGATGAACGGAGCAAAGTACAGAGAGATCCTTGATGAAAACCTGCTCTGGAGAGCTCAGGACCTCAGACTGGGGTGAAGGTTCACCTTCCAACAGGACAACGACCCTAAGCACACAGCCAAGACAACGCAGGAGTGGCTTCGGGACAAGTCTCTGAATGTCCTTGAGTGGCCCAGCCAGAGCCCATACTTGAACCTGATCGAACATCTCTGGAGAGACCTGAAAATAGCTGTGCAGCGACGCTCCCCATCCAACCTGACAGAGCTTGAGAGGATCTGCAGAGAAGAATGGGAGAAACTCCCCAAATACAGGTGTGGCAAGCTTGTATCATCATACCCAAGAAGACTCGAGGCTGTAATCGCTGCCAAAGGTGCTTCAACAAAGTATTGAGTAAAGGGTCTGAATACTTATGTAAATGTTAGTCCGTTTTTTATTATTTTTTATTTTTAATACATTTGCAAAAAAAATTAAAAACCTGTTTTTGCTTTGTCATTATGGTGTATTGTGTGTAGATTGATGATGAAAAAAAACAATTTAAACAATTTTAGTCAAGGGGTCTGAATACTTTCCGATTGCACTGTACTTAGCCATCACCTTCTGTCTTCAGATGTCTTGAGACATCTGACCTGTTGAGATGTATTTTGAAGACGTCTTGAGTCACCAACTAGTACGACTAGTGGTAACACACCAACTCACAACACATACAGAAAAGTCTACCTAAGGTCTAACCTGATCAGCTCATAGGTTTCTCCCAGTAGTGGGTTGAAGGGTTTTCCCGTCCTCTCCCACTGTGATGCTACAGCAGACACAGCAAACGCTGCAACACACTGAAACCATCACAGATTAACAGAAGTTTGTAACGTTAGTAGCTGTAGATGAGCACAGCAAAAAGAGTAGGTACTACTGCGGTAATTATGAGTGAAAACTCATGTGTGTCTATCTAAGAGGATGATTATAATCTAGCTACCTTCATCCTCTCAATGGAGTCTGTGGTGGTGTTCGCCTGGTGGATGAGGTACGTGTGCTCCATGTACTCTGTCAGCCGCTGCAGGAAACTAAGGGGCTCGTTGAAGATCACTGGCATTGCTATCTTAGACAGCTCCTGGTTGGGGAGTGAAGAGAGGAGCCGAAGAGTCAGAGAGAGGGGTAAGGAAACACACAAGCAATGAAGTTCATTCACAGCCCACACAGACAAATATACACGGAGTGTACAATACATTAGGAACACCTGCTCTTTCCATGACATAGACTGACCAGGTAAATCAAGGTGAAAGCTTATTGATGTCACCTGTTAAATCCACTTCAATCAGTGTAGATGAAGGGGAGGAGACAGGTTAAATAAGGATTTTTAAGCCTTGAGACATGGATTGTGTATGTGTGCCATTCAGAGGGTGAATGGGCAACACAAAATATTTAAGTGCCTTTGAACGGGGTATGGTAGTAGGTGCTAAGCGCACTGGTTTGAGTGTGTCAAGAACTGTAACGCTGCTGGGTTTTTCCACTCAACAGTTTTCCGTGTGTATCAAGAATGGTCCACCACCCAAAGGACATCCAGCTAACTTGACACAACTGTGGGAAGCATTGGAGTCAACATGGGCCAGCATCCCTGTGGAATGCTTTTGACACCTACCTTGTAGAGTCCATGCCCCAACGAATTGAGGCTGTTCTGAAGGCAAAGGGGGGGGGTATCGTTTCGGTTACTGGCCCAATGCTCTAACCGCTAGGCTACACTGGCAATAGAGTGAAATTCCCTGTAAAGCACACATAATGGTGTTTCGATGACAGAGGTTTGAAATAACATCATCAATAAGCTCTAGGCTAGTCCCCAGTCTGGAACACTGCTTGACACCAGTACCGACTAGTCTCTGGAGGGTCATTAAAAGGCCCACGTTTCAGCAGGAATCCTGGGCTAAAACAATAGAGTGCCATGGATCTAACTCATTAAGCCCCATATACAGTGAAGGAAAAAAGTATTTGATCCCCTGCTGATTTTGTACGTTTGCCCACTGACAAAGACATGATCAGTCTATAATTTGAATGGTAGGTTTATTTGAACAGTGAGAGAAACAGAATAACAACAAAAAAATCCAAAAAAATGCATGTCAAAAATGTTATAAATTGATTTGCATTTTAATGAGGGAAATAAGTATTTGACCCCTCTGCAAAACATGACTTTGTGATTGCCAACAAGGGTTTTGCCACCAAGTACTGAGGTCAGACGTTTCTTGTAGTTGGCCACCAGGTTTGCACAGATCTCAGGAGGGATTTTGTCCCACTCCTCTTTGCAGATCTTCTCCAAGTCATTAAGGTTTCGAGGCTGACGTTTTGCAACTCGAACCTTCAGCTCCCTCCACAGATTTTCTTTGGGATTAAGGTCTGGAGACTGGCCAGGCCACTCCAGGACCTTAATGTGCTTCTTCTTGAGCCACTCCTTTGTTGCCTTGGCCGTGTGTTTTGGGTCATTGTCATGCTGGAATACCCATCCACTCCCATTTTCAATGCCCTGGCTGAGGGAAGGAGGTTCTCAACCAAGATTTGACGGTACATGGCCCAGTCCATCGTCCCTTTGATGCGATGAAGTTGTCCTGTCCCCTTAGCAGAAAAACACCCCCAAAGCATAATGTTTCCACCTCCATGTTTGACGGTGGGGATGGTGTTCTTGGGGTCATAGGCAGCATTCCTCCTCCAAACACGGCGAGTTGAGTTGATGCCAATGAGCTCCATTTTGGTCTCATCTGACCACAACACTTTCACCCAGTTCTCCTGTGAATCATTCAGATGTTCATTGGTAAACTTCAGACGGGCATGTATATGTGCTTTCTTGAGCAGGGGGACCTTGCGGGTGCTGCAGGATTTCAGCCCTTCACGGCGTAGTGTGTTACCAATTGTTTTCTTGGTGACTATGGTCCCAGCTGCCTTGAGATCATTGACAAGATCCTCCCGTGTAGTTCTGGGCTGATTCCTCACCGTTCTCATGATCATTGCAACTCCACGAGGTGAGATCTTGCATGGAGCCCCAGGCCGAGGGAGATTGACAGTTCTTTTGTGTTTCTTCCATTTGCCAATAATCGCACCAACTGTTGTCACCTTCTCACCAAGCTGCTTGGCGATGGTCTTGTAGCCCATTCCAGCCTTGTGTAGGTCTACAATCTTGTCCCTGACATCCTTGGAGAGCTCTTTGGTCTTGGCCATGGTGGAGAGTTTGGAATCTGATTGATTGATTGCTTCTGTGGACAGGTGTCTTTTATACAGGTAACAAGCTGAGATTAGGAGCACTCCCTTTAAGAGTGTGCTCCTAATCTCAGCTCATTACCTGTATAAAAGACACCTGGGAGCCAGAAATCTTTCTGATTGAGAGGGGGTCAAATACTTATTTCCCTTATTAAAATGCAAATCAATTTATAACATTTTTGACATGTGTTTTTCTGGATTTTTGTTGTTGTTATTCTGTCTCTCACTGTTCAAATAAACCTACCATTAAAATTATAGACTGATCATTTCTTTGTCAGTGGGCAAACGTACAAAATCAGCAGGGGATCAAATACTTTTTTCCCCTCACTGTAGAGGACAAACATAGTCAAGACAGTTTCTCCATTGCCAACGGTGACAGCTGCCTCTACACCAGGGCTGTCCCAAATGGCACCCTATTTCCTATGAATAGATCCAATAAAATTTCATCCAGGAAGTGGAGAGAGGGTATTAGTGTCCCTACAGACCCCTACTAATGACCAGAGTCTTTTACAGCAGGGTTTCTCAAACTTGGTCCTGGAAATCATGTTTGTTTGTGTCTGAATTCTTGGCAGAGAGTAGCTATATCTAGGCCTCGGTGGAAGAAAGGCTTGCTCACTGTTTGATTACAACTTTTTTGGAGAGCAGGAAACAGTGAACGAACATCCCTTTCTTTCTTTGCCCAGCCTGATACATTTCTATCCTGCTCCGGTGCTTTTTTGGATGTGCCAACACAGTACTGTACTTTTCTTTAAATAAATAATGAGAGTGAATTCTCACCATGCCGATGCATTTCTTCAGGATGCTCCAAATGCTGACGTCATTCCTGGAGAACATGGGCGCTGGTAAAGACATTCTGTGGGATAGAAAAGGAACGGACAAACAACAAGGTCAAATCTAAATGGAGTACTCCCACTGAATACAGACACAGGGATGCATACTGTACACTTAGCCAGGTCCCAGATCTGTTTGTGCTGTCTTACCAACTACTATGGTCAACTCCTATGGTCATTGTCACGCCAAACGGCAAAAACAGATTTGGGACCAAATCAACTTTAATTTGTCACATACACGTGTTTTGCAGATGTTATTGCGGGTGTAGCTTGTGCTTCTAGCTCCGACAGTGCAGTAATATCTAACAAGTAATATCTAACAATTTCACAACATATATACACACAAATCTAAGTAAGGAATGGAATTTAAGAATATATACATATGGACAAGCAATGACAGAGCGGCATGGACTCAGATACAGTAGAATATTATAGAATACAGTATATACATATGAGATGAGTAGTGCAAGATATGTAAACATTATTAAAGTGACTAGTGTTCCATTTCTTAAAGTGGCCAGTGATTTCAATAGGCAGCAGCAGCCTCTAATGTGCTAGTGATGGCTATTTAACAGTCTGATGGCCTTGAGATAGAAGCTGTTTGTCATTCTCTCGGTCCCAGCTTTGAGTGTGAACCAGGCTAGGAAACAGTGTCAGAAGAATACAAACAAGTTAAAAATACACTCAAGGACTATGGTGACAGAGTAATTGATGAGGGGTTTAAGCCAGTCTCTTACAGTAGCATACTTCCACCGAGGGCTAGATATAGCTACTGTATAGATAATGCACAGCTCTCTTCCTCCTACATCTTAGCAACGCTCTAGGCTATCACATTTATCAGATAGTGGTACAGTATCTTGTTGTTGTTGGTGAGGTGTGTCTCTACTTTCTAAGTATGTGCATTTGTATTTAAGCTTGTGTCCTTGGTTTTATGTGATGTTCTCGACTTTGTTAATGGAGAACCATGTTTAGAATATACAACTACGGTCTTTATCATTGTGTCTTCAGGATTGTTAACATTTTGGCATGTTTCTAAAATAAAGAAAAGTCACCATTTAGTTATGCAGACAGCTGTATTACATTAACCTTATCTGGAATATCAGCGACGGCTTGACCTACTATTTGGAAACTGAGTTGCCTCGTCTTGCCTTGCCATTAGGAAACAGAGTTACCTGACACCTGACAGCTAATGAGCTAACTGTAGCTGCTGCGGTCAAGCCTCGTGCAATAACCATGAATGAATGGGAGAGTGTGCATGTGTTCCTGTGTGTGTGTGTGTGTGTGTGTATTAAAGGCGCACCGGTCAGCTGTTTGTTCACCCGCACGCAATTGCTAATAACCCATCTCCAATGGCTCGGCTATATGTGATAAAGTGAAAATCTGAAGCCCACACCCGACCCTAACCAGCAAATATAGAAAATGTGATGTAGACTACAGTCAGAGACGGCGTAACAATTTATTGACGGGGTGCAGGATTTTTTGTTGTTGCCTCATTTAGATATGTTTCTGCTTATAATTTCAGAAATGTTGGTAGGCTATTTGTTAGTAAACTTGTCTATAATTAGATACATGCAGCTTCCCTTCTGTAATTATATGTTGCCCTAGAAGACTAAATAAACCCTTGCTCACCAGAATAATGTCATAAATCGATAGAATGAATGCTTCAATCTAGTTGATATTGGTGAAATGTTATGTAATCTCTGCTTCTTTCACAGAGCAAGGACGTTTAGGGACAGGGGACAAAATGCAATAACAAAAATGATAGTCCGCTGTAGCTCAGTTGATAGAACATGGCGCTTGCAACGCCAGGGTTGTGGGTTCGTTTCCCATGGGGGGCCAGTATGAAAAATGTATGCACTCACTAACTGTAAGTCGCTCTGGATAAGAGCGTCTGCTAAATGACAACAACAACAACAAAAAAACATGTGAACGATTTTCAGTGCAAAATAGAACGCTGTGAAAACAACCCAACATTTTTCTGATAAGATTTCAGTTCAGCTTGGATGCATATTTTAGGTGGTTGAAATACTATCAGCTTTTTGATGCTGATAAAGATAGCACCTCTCCAGACAGTCCCTAACTGCACATTCGCATTTTCTCAAGATGCTGAAAGAAATAAATCATATTTCTCCACTCCTGTTCCCGAGTCAAATTGTACATTTGGTGTATAATTTTACTGCAAGAAATGCTTAATTCTGCAGGAATGATATTAAGACTATGTGAGACATTATAGACCTACAGTGAGTGTCCAGATTTCAGTTTCCATTTAACCCATCTGAACAGTAGGCTACAGTTTTGTTGACTTGCCATAGGCCAATCTGAAGACCCCGTCTTGTGACTGTCAAATTTTTATAGCACCTCATAATCATCACACATAACATAGCTAGCACTGCTATCATCCTCTTTTACCACTTCACCAAATCTTTCCCAAACATTATTTTTCTGGCCGTGCCTTCTCTTTATTTTCAATTCTCCATTTCGCAGCTTTTCTGTTATTGAATTAAATTCCGACATTGTCCTTTTTGCCTCAGTGGATCAATGTTATCTTTTACTGCACGTTCACAAAAGCGTTTGGTGTGTAGGCTATTTGGGGATTGGCGTGTAGTCTATTAGTATGCCATATATACTAAAAATAATGAAAGAAAAACCTAAATGTAGCCTATAGATGCACAAGAATGATACATTTATGAATTTTTTAATGTATTGTTTTCTCTTTATTCAACCTGACCGCCACACATCGGCCCTTCATCCGCACAATATTTCATGACCTAAACCCACCTGCCCCGCGGATATAACCGTGGGGGCTGCGGGTTATGAGTCAACCCACGCATCACTAGTGTGTGTGTGTATGTGTATGTGTGAGTCAGACGGTGTGTTTGCTCAGAGATGAGCAGAGAAGCACCTATATACAATGAATGCTGACGCTCCGACTAAACAAACGCAACAGGCGATTGAGAGGAGGAGGGAGATTGAGGAGAGATGGAAAGAGGAGGGCTGTGGGGCTAAATCCTAACCCTCTCTCTTATCAACAGTGGAATGAGCAGGCCAGTGGAGCATGGCGGAGCAGTACTTATGTCAGCTACATAACACAGCATAACATATTAGGCTGAATGAACTGACTCCTCCTGTAACTACCTACACTCACTCTGAAGCTTCATTCACTTCCCATAGCTATCATTTTACATTTCCTCTCGAATCAAATCAAGCCTAAAAACGCATTTTTGCATAATCAAGGATTTATCGTACGCTTGTGGGCCACAGAAGATCACAAGGGATTACAAATCGAGGTATCAAATTAAAAACTAGTTCTCTTTAACATACTGAGGTAGGAAATGAACAAATCCCATCTCCTTTATGAGAGCATGTCTGACTGTCTCTTAGAACACACACAAAGGTGCATGCATGTACACAAGCACACACACAGACAGACACACACATCCCTTTCCTCTTGGTCTTTGTTTCTCTAAACTGGCAAGCACTAAATTATTCACTGTTCAATTGTTGGATTAAGAACCACCATCCTCATCCACGGAAATAAAGTTGATTGGCCAATCTTCAAAAAGATTTCTGCTCTGACCCAGTGTACCAAGCACCAACAAGCAACTAGCCTGCTGAATCTGAATTACATAACTGTGGATGGAAAAACAAGAGAGACCTGTCTATGGGGCTTGGGTGCGCAAACAAAAAACACTGGAATAGAAAGACAGACAGACCGGGGTATCACATTACATACAGTATCCTGTAGAGCCGCTGGCTGCTGACAGTCTACTCTGAACAACAACAGTCATTTAGCAGACGCTCTTATCCAGAGCGACTTACAGTTAGTGAGTGCATACATATATATTTTTCATACTGGCCCCCCGTGGGAAACGAACCCACAACCCTGGCGTTGCAAACGCCATGCTCTTCCAACTGAGCTCCACGGGACAGTCATCAAAGACTTATGCTAAGTGATCAAATATTAAGCATTATAATGGCATTATGGACGTCAGCAGTAACAACATTGTGACTGGTGAGTCTTTCCTACAAAAGTAATTTCCTACAAAATGTCACAAGTGATAAAAACACTTTTTAAATGAAACATAACGATCAAATATAAATAATGATGGAATAAACTTGAGTACATGAAACAAACACTGATACAAGCCTTGTTATTACACGCACTGGAGAAGAAAGGGGACAAGAAAACCAAGCTGGAAACAACGTGGGAAACAAGACGTTACATCATATTAGGTAGAGCGGGATCCCACCTGTGCTTCTTTACTCCATTGCACTGGGCCTTCTGGTCACCACGGTTACCCTCCCCGGACATTCCGCTGGCGGTGGCGGGTCCCCTGAGGGTGGTACGGCAACGGAGGCTGCTGCTGAACAGAGGGGGCTCTCTCCCCCCCTTCCTCCTCTTCAAACGAGAGTCCGACCACAGACAGGAAGCCGTTCAGAGAGAGAGAACGCTTGTTCTCGGAATCTGCAGGAGGGGGATGCCAGTAGCCAGAAACAGAGAGGGGGTCACGTCACGTTTGAGCTCAGTCCAAAACATTTTAAGCTTAGCTTAAACCTAGCCCCAAAACCCTATACTTAGACCTGCAACCTGCCCTCACACTCCTCCACCCGGTAGTGACTGACTGAACTCTCGCCTCCTCCTCTCCCTCCCTGGAGCCAGCGAAACCCCACCTGTGGGATAGTGTTCCAATGAGAAGCCACACAGACGCTCTGCTTCCTCCGGGTGCTGTGCCTGCTGTGGTTAGTACAGTACCATGGCTCCGCCTCTAACCTAGACCTCACGCTGCTGCTACTAGGGGCAACACAGGTAGTAACACCCAGGAAAAGGGGGAGGGGAAAACATAATCTTTACACAATGAGGAGCTGCTGAGATACTCTATCAAATAATATTGTATAATAGTTTTTGTAGTGCTTCATGTGAGGCAGGGGTAAGGGAGCTGGCATGACTATGATCAAATATTCAATAACTTAATGATTGTGGCAATACAATTTTTTGGACATGCCAATAAAGCATTTGAATTCTAAAGTTGGGGAACAACAAAGCTTCAAATCTCAGTTATGGGAACAACAAAGCTTCAAATCTCTTGTTATAGAGAAATGCTATTTATAAATGTTGGTCATGTGGCTTAATCCAATAATAAAGTTCAATCAAAGAAATGGACATGATGCGTTGATGCATCTTTATTATGCAAACAACAAACACAAACAAGATAGAGGTCTCATAATGCCCCATAACATGCTGGTCGATCTTTATCATCATCTCATTATAGCTGCAGTAAACAACAATCCTAGAGTAACAGGGATCACTCTAAAATGCACAAACTGTATAGCACAGCAGCACACTCCTATTGTAGCCTGTATACAGTATCAACCACTATACTGCAAGGCTCTAGGGCAGGGATCAACTAGATTCAGCCTCGGGCCAATTTTTTCTTGAGCGGCTGGTCAGGGGTCCGGAACATAATTACAAATAATTTGTAGACTGCAAATTGACCGAAAGTAGCCAAACAGATAAATATTTGAATAAAACAATAATTTGAAACCTTGCTTACATTTGTATACAACCACATATATTTCTCTATTGTGTGGGAAAACTTCGGAACAGATTTCCAAAATTAAAATAACTTGGAGCTGATTTGCTGGTGTTTTTACAGTACTTTATGTCCAACAATAAAAACAATTACAATAATAAAAATCATCTGTGGGCCGCCAGTTGGGGAAACCTGCTCTAAGGTACAGTGCATTCGGAAAGTATTCAGACCCCTTGACTTTTTCCACATTTTGTTACGTTAAAACCTTATTCTGAAATGGATTAAATCGTTTTTTCCCCTCATCAATATACACACAATACCCAATAATGACAAAGCAAAAACAGGTTTTTAGACATTTTAGCAGAGTTATAAAACATTAAACACAAATATCATATTTACATAAGTATTCAGACCCTTCACTCAGTACTTTGTTGATGCACCTTTGGCAGCGATTACAGCCTCGAGTCTTCTTGGGTATGTTACGAACCGGCTCTTAGCCCATAACAAAGAGGGAGACAACGCTGAGATTCAGAAATAACAAAAATATATTTATTAAATAAAGTAACCTATTTACAAGTAACAATGGTGTGTGTATCAGTAGTCAGTAGTGTAAGTGAGTGGATGCGTGCATAGATGGTGTTGAGGTGCCAAAACAAACCAACACAAAGAAGCCCCAAAATGCCACAACAAAACAACAACAGTGTGTCTGCATGGAGAGAGTCTCCTTGATATATGGGGGAAGGTGTATTTACACCTGAGCCCAGGTGTGTCCCATTTCGCTGACGACCCTCACAGCTCCGCCCACCTACATCCTATTAAGGAAAACAAGAGCAGAGAGAAAGAATTCGGCAGACAGAGTGGGAGGGTTGTCACAGGTATGATGCTACAAGCTTGGCACACCTGTATTTGAGGAATTTCTCCTATTCTTCTCTGCAGATCCTCTCAAGCTCTGTCAGGTTGGATGAGAGCGTTGCTGCACAGCTATTTTCAGGTCTCTCCAGAGATGTTCGATCGGGTTCAAGTCCGGGCTCTGGATGGACCACTCAAGGACATTGAGACTTGTCCCGAAGCCACTCCTGCGTAGTCTTGGCTGTATGCTTAGGGTCGTTGTCCAGTTGGAAGGTGAACCTTCGCCCCAGTCTGAGGTCCTGAGCGCTCTGGAGCAGGTTTTCATCAAGGATCTCTCTGTACGTTGCTCTGTTCATCTTTCTCTCGATCCTGACTAGTCTCCCAGTCCCTGTCGCTGAAAAACATCCCCACAGCATGATGCTGCCACCACCATGCTTCACCGTAGGGATGGGGTCAGGTTTCCTCCAGATGTGACGCTTGGCATTCAGGCCAAAGAGTTCAATCTTGGTTTCATCAGACCAGAGAATCTTGTTTCTCATGGTCTGAAAGTCCTTTAGGTGCCTTTTGGCAAACTCCAAGCAGGCTGTCATGTGCCTTTTACTGTGGAGTGGCTTCCGTCTGGCCACTCTACCATAAAGGCCTGATTGGTGGAGTACTGCAGAGATGGTTGTCCTTCTGGAAGGTTCTCCCATCTCCACAGAGGAACTATGGAGCTCTGTCAGCGTGACCATCGGGTTCTTGGTCACCTCCCTGACGAAGGCCCTTGTCCCACGATTAATCAGTTTGGCCGGGCGGCCAGCTCTAGGAAGAGCCTTGGTGGTTCCAAAATTCTTCCATTTAAGAATGATAGAGGCCACTGTGTTCTTGGGGACCTTCAATGTTGCAGAAATGTTTTGGTACACTTCCACAGATCTGTGCCTCGACACAATCCTGTCTCGGAGCTCTACGGACAATTCCTTCAACCTCATCGCTTGGTTTTTACTCTGACATGCACTGTCAACTGTGGGACCTTATATAGACAGGTGTGTGCCTCTCCAAATCAAGTTGCAGAAACATCTCAAGGATGATCAATGGAAAAAGGATGCAACTGAGCTCAATTTCGAGTCTCATAGCAAAGGGTCTGAATACTTATGTAAATAAATTCGCTTCATTATGGGGTATTGTGTGTAGATTGAATTCATTTAATCCATTTTAATAATAAGAATAAGGCTGTAACGTAACACAATGTGGAAAAAGGGAAGAGGTCTGAATACTTTCCAAATGGACTGTACACTGTGCTGGAGCAGGCCACTACAGAGTGCTATATCTATTTCAGTACTAAAGCATTGTTAGTTCACATTAAGGCCAAGCATAGAGTAATTACTATAGATAACAATTCCATTTCCTCTGGTTATATCAAAATCAAATCAAATGTATTTGACACATGCTTCATAAACAACAGGTGTAGACTAACAGTGAAACGCTTACTTACAGGTCCTTCCCAACAATGCAGAGAGAAAAAAAGAGAAATAATAGCACAAGAAATAAATACACAATGAGTAACGATATCTTGACTTTATACACGGGGTACCAGTACCAAGTCGATGTGCAAGGGTACGAGGTAGATACAGTATGTACTGTACATATAGCTAGGTATAAAGTGAATAAGCAACAGGATAGATAATAAACAGTTGCAGCAGCGTATGTGATGAGTCAAACAGATTAGTGCAAAAAGGGGTCAATGCAGATAGTTAAATAGTTAACCAATACCTACCCGGACTAACTATTTAGCAGTCTTATGGCTTAGGGGTAGAAGCTGTTCAGGGTCCTGTTGGTTCCAGACTCGGTACCGATGGCTGTGCGGTAGCAGAGAGAACAGTCCATGAGTTCTGTGGCTGGAGTCTTTGACAATTTTTAGGGCCTTCCTCTGACACCGCCTGGTATATTGGTCCTGCATGGCAGGGAGCTCAGCCCCAGTGCCGTACGCACTACCCTTTGTAGTGCCTTGCGGTTGGATGTCAAGCAGTTGCCATACCAAGCAGTGATGCAGCCAGTCAAGATGCTCTCATTGGTGCAGCTGTATTACTTTTTGAGAATCTGAGGGCCCATTCCAAATCTTTTCAGCCTCCTGAGGGGGAAGAGGAGATGTCGTGCCTTCGTCACGACTGTGTTGGTGTGTGTAGACCATGATAATTCCTTAGTGATGTGGACACCGAGGAATTTGAAGCTCTCGACCCGCTCCACAACAGCCCCGTCGATGTGGATGGGGGCGTGCTCAGCTCTCCGTTTCCTGTAGTCCACGATCAGCTCCTTTGTCTTGCTGACGTTGAGGGAAAGGTTGTTGTCCTGGCACCACACTGCCAGGCCACTGACCTCCATATAGGCTGTCTCATCGTCGTCGGTGATCAGGCCAACCACCGTCATCTTGTCAGCAAACTTAATGATGGTGTTAGAGCCGTGCGCGGCCACTGAGTTGTGGGTGAAGAGGGAGTACATGAGGTGACTAAGCACGCAACCCTGAGGGGCCCCCCGTGTTGAGGGTCAGTGTGGCGGATGTGTTGTTGCCTATCCTCACCACCTGGGGGCGGCCCGTCAGGAAGTCCAGGATCCAGTTGCAGAGGGAGGTGTTCGGTCCCGAGCTTAGTGATGAGCTTTGAGGGCACTATGGTGTTGAACGCTGAGCTGTAGTCAATGAACAGCATTCTCACGTAGGTGTTCCTCTTGTCCAGGTGGGAGAGGGAAGTGTGGAGTGTAATAGAGATTGTGTCATCTGTGTATTTGAATTGGAGTGGGTCCAGGGTGTGTGGGATGATGGTGTTGATGTGAGCCATGGCCAGCCTTTCAAAGCATTTAATGGCTACAGATGTGAGTGCTACGGGGCGATAGACATTTAGACAGGTTACCTTGGCGTTGTTGGGCACAGGGACTATGGTGGTTTGCTTGAAACATGTAGGTATTACAGATTGGTTCAGGGAGAGGCTGAAAATGTCAGTGAAGACAATTGCCAGCTGGTCAGCACATGCTTTGAGTACGTGTCCTGGTAATCCATTTGGCCCTGCGACGTTGTGAATGTCAACCTGGTTAAAGTATTATGTTATCATATTCATACGAGGTTTCACTGAACCAGTTCCTTTTGAATGGAGTTGAATTTTAGAGCCTAGCTACAGCGAGAGATGAGTATTTCTGCCTGAAACGAGAGCCTAAATGGAAAATAATCATGAAATTCAAATAAGTATCTTGTATGGCAGAAGTAGATTACTTGTACAAAAATCTAGTAAGAATCAGGTAAGATACAAATAAATGATTTGTACATGCATCCTCTATTCCAAAATTTAAATTGTATGTTTAGCCTTGTTTGACAAAACACAATCGAATACTTACAGTAAGTGGCCACTTTCCTACATGTACATTGTATGACAAAATACACTGAGTATACCAAACATTAGGAACACCTTCATCTACACTGATTGAAGTGGATTAAACAAGTGACATCAATAAGGGAGCATAGCTTTCACCTGGTCAGTCTGTCATGGAAAGAGCAGGTGTTTTTAATGTTTTGTATACTCAGTTTATATGAATTATAAAGTCATCAATGAATATTATAAGAAAAGTGTATGTTCTGACAATGTAACCTCTACAAAATAAATGCTTTTCTTATAGGTTCCACATTGTTTTTATAAGTCAACATATAAAAAACATGACAATTACTATAAGAAAAATACAATATTTGTATATACACATTTCTCAAGTGAGTTTGTGTTTATACAGGACCTCCCGCCCCCACCTACCGTCAACCAATCATGTCAATGCAGAGCTATATGGAGCCCTCCGCATTGTTAGAACAGTTTGGGAGGCGCACAGCGATGCGGTTCGGAGCTCAATTTGGCCTCCGCAACCCTCCGGAGGCTCTGCAATTGCGTCACACCCTCCGTATGGAGCTTCCGTATTGCATTCCCAGAGCAAGCGTAAATGGTCTTTTAGCTTACATGTCTTTCATATGTTTTTCATACAATACATGCAACAGCTTGCTATTACTATGATCTAAGTTCTTAGAAATGTGTATGTCCCATGTATGAGAGACCTTAGAAGGCTTAGCTTACATGTCTCTTGTATGTTTTTTATACAATATGTGCAACATTTTGGTTATGTTAAAATGTCATCCACCCATATAAGTCATATTACAAGAATCTTCCATGAATCTTGTATGTGTATTTGTTGCCATATCTATTGCTTACAAGTTCCAGGTAGAACATAAGAATCTTGTTAAATTCTTCTATATCTTTTCCATTTGGGAGAATATCTCATCCTTAAGAAGAAGCACTAGCTAGCTGCCTCAGCCTTGGGATTCATTAGCAGAGGCCATTTTGAGGTTGTTACTTCTCTGCAACACTAGTACTAAGGGACGTTCTTTGAGCCCAACATGGAGACAATTAGCCAGTGTAGCAGGTTGGGTAACCAGCTGTGTAATGCATCGCTGGGATTGGTCATTAGACAGGAAGACGTGGAGGGAGGCTGGGGTGGCTGAGGTGCCCTGGGGACCTTCTGGGGCAATGGACCATGCTGTGGGCGCTTTAGCATGTGTAGTGAATTATGTTCCAAGCACACACAGCCAGACACACATAATCTAAAGTTGCTCTTAACTTCAACTTGCTCTTTGCGTGATGATCTCATCTGATAGAGCTGTATATGGTCATGAGCAACCCATTTACAGTTGAGGTTTTATGATATTGCATAATCAAAGATGGTGAAAATGTGTGTGTATGAGGACCATCTGAAGGATAGGCTACCCATTGCTATGGCAGTCAGCAGAAAATCATACGTCATACAGAACAATTATTAACTCTGCCAAAGAATACTGCAAACCAGTTATAATATAAAGACAGGACCAAAAAAAAGAGTGAAATCTTCCTCAGCCCCAGAGCCTACTGTCTGCTGGATAAATATGTGTTGCTGGAGCCTAGAGGTGTCTGTGCTGCTGATAAAAATAAACAATGTGTCTATATACACTCCAGCCTATTCTTCAACACAGAAACAACTCCACAAGGGAAGTGGTTTTCACTTCTGACAACAGTGTGGAGGAGCTAAGGTTAGGGAGCCAGGACTCAACTCAGCTTTATAGTTCATTGCTGCAGAGCCACAATAGTCAGCTGGACCATTATGTATTCACACTCAATCACTCATCACCATGCACACACCCATTCACCACTTACGATGCTGCTATATTGATTATTATTACCATTAATATTTATCCTTTTTACCCATTTACATATACAGTATCTACTCCAGTACCACCTGCACATTGTAATTATGGTACTGGCACTTTTTTCTTTCTTTCTTTTCATACTTCTCGTGTGTTTTCTTACTTTATAGTAGTACCTTATATTCTTTCCTCTCGCCTTGATACTGAATATTGAGTACTGCATTGTTGGGAAAGAGCTTGTAAATAAGAATTTCACTGTACTGTTTTACACCTGCTGTATTTTGTGCAAATAAACTTTGACACTTAAAACTGGCTGTGTTCTCCAGAAGCGTTAATAGATAGTTTTGTATAGAGGTGCTTGTAGAGGTCTTTCAGAAATGATCCAAGTCAACAACAGTTAGAGGTCAATGAAAAACAGAATAGCCTGCAATTAAAAATATGAATTCTCTGAATAAAAATATCAGATGTTGTGAACTTATACGGCCCCCTATTCCCTATGTAGTGTGTTTCTAGTGCACTACCCATTAGGCCCTGGTCAAAAGTAGCACACTGTATAGGGAATAGGGCGCCGTTTGGGATGCATCCCAAATGTTTAATGAAGACCAGATGGGATTTGATTGACTTGACAGGGCATCATAGAGGTCATCCTCTGTGAGTGTGTTTAGTGTGCCTTTACAGAGGGAGTGCTGGTCTAGTTCCTGGTGCTCTGTAGCCAACATCTGGAGAGTCTCTGACAGTAGCTTGTTCTTCTCTACTTCTTGTTCCAACTTCAGGCTCCACACACACACACACACAAACCGACACACCACACACACACACACACACACACATAAACCGACACACCACACACCACACACACACACACACGCACGCACAAACCGACACACACACACACACACACGCACGCACAAACCGACACACACACACACACGCACGCACAAACCAACCGACACACCACACACACACTTGTTGGCACATTAGACAAGACATGGCACATTACAAACACTCTCCCACACAACATTAATTTGACATTTGTTTTAATACATCTATAATAGATAATCTGATAAACAGACAGTGATAGATGTGTTTGTGTGGTATTGATCTCTCCCTCTGTAGAGTTCTGTAGTTGAAGCTGCTCCTGACGGGCCGGCAGGTCATTGTTCTAAGCCCCGCCCTACAGATCCAGTTTCCTCCACTCGGAACCAAACCCCCCCGTCTCAGAGAGCACTGTGGCCCAGGATCAAGTGTCTTTCCTGGGAAACCTGAACTCGGTTGCTAGCCATTCCCCCCTTTGTCTGATGCTGCTGTTATGGATCCTCCACTAACCAGGAGGACAGCACTCTGACAAAACAACACTCTTACCAAGCAACAGCCTACGTCAGAACCCAGGCTTTGAACACTCAAGAGACAGCTGGAAAGAAAGTCAACCTACTTAGAGTTATATTAATACAGTTTCTCCTTTGATGCGTTTCCAGAGAAAATAAGTACTATGGTAAATAAATAAATACTTAGTATAGATGTTCCCTACTAATCTACTGAGGGGAGAAGTTGATTGAATTCTTTGAGTAAATAAAGCACAGTAACTGAAGACAAAAACAAAGTGAGCCAAGTCTCCACAGAGTGAAAAGATGCCAAAGTCACCTTGGGGAAGGATGACAGGCAAGCAGCCTCAGCTGATAGTCTCCATCGGAAACTGGAGCCCGTAAATCAGGCTGTAAATCTGAGATAGCGAAGAGGCCACCTTCCTCAATTAAAGTTATGAGAGAAAAAAAAAACAGCTTCATCAATTATCCTACCTGAGGGACTGTTTCACATTACACTGCACACGTAGCCTACACACAATCATGTACGCACACACACACACACACTCCCTCCCTCCCCCCTCTCTCTTTCTTTCCGAGGGGCAGTTTCTAATAATAGGTGATGATTCCTTTATTACAACCTATTGTGGCTGTCTGACATTCACCTTGGTGCGTTACTGTATGACTTATAGTGGTACAATGCACACATTGTTGAGCCTGTAGTCGTCACAGTCAAAAGGGCATGTGGACAAGCAATACCACAACCTCAGCAAAACACCTCTAATGTAAAACTCATACTGTTATCAGTGGTGTTTAATAACCACTAGGTCATAGCTACCTGAGAGGTAGAGGGACAGACAGTGAGAGGGTACTTGTTATCTATTCTATATGATGACGTAAAGGATTAGTGAATATTATAACATGGCTCTTTTACATAACTATGCAAACAAGGAGGAAAAACAACCACTTTACACCCAGAGGACAGATAGCAATTCCAAAGAGAGAATACTTCAATACAGAGGAGGATAAACAAAAACCCTTCAATACCAGAAGAGCCACTGGAGAGTGCAGTGACTATGATAGAATATTGAAGTCTTCAGATTGTTTCTTAAAATGTCAGGACACTTACATACAGTATGTAGATGGTAAACTAAAAACTCAAAGTAGTTGCCTTGTAAGTTCACAATAGCAGGTGCTGATTCATACAAAAACATTCTCCATCCCCTCTAACCCAGACGATAGATTAGACAATTATCATAATATACACTCCATCTGTTCTCTATGGCCCTGACTTTAGTCTAGCCCAATGTTAATTACCCCAGCCCGCTTCAGTGCTGCGTCTGAGGTCAGAGTGGTGAGGAAGACTCCTGTGAATCAATATTCTAATACAGGGTGTGCTGAGCTGCTTCAAAAATAGTTCTCTCTGTTATCAACACATGATCAGGTTGGCAGGTGGGGTGTTGAAAGGTGAATCTATCACAACCGATAGGATCATTCATTTCCATCCATCCTTCGATGGAACAACAACACATCAAACAAGGGACAAGGCCAGGTAAACACGTTTTATGTACAGTACCTGAAACCACATCAAAATTGAATCCTGAATCCAATACAACAGGATTTATTTTTTGTCAAACCCATTCCTTGTGATTTTTCACCCTTCTCCCAAACGGGAGTGGGCAAGTCCACACTTTGGGGAGTGGAGAATTGGGACTCACTTTCTGAAGGGTGGAACATCAATTTCCTTTAAGAAATGAGGGTGATTTATTTCCATACTATAAATAGATGCCTTTGACATTCTGCTGAATATATTCCTTTGATTCTGCTGTCTGGCACCATAGTGTCAGAAACAGTTTATTTAGTCTTCTCTCTTTCCCCCCCCCATACAAGTTACAGTGCAAAAGGTCTCTCAACACATTCACATCAGCTAAGAAGCCATCCTCTAGAGATCTCAATGGAGGTTAGGGAGAGTTGGTACTGTAGCGAGAGGGAGAACATAACCAGATGCTGTCTGAAATAGGTCAGGGTTAGTCCCAGTCTGTATGCTCTGGAAGGGGATTTGCTTAGATATAGCATAAATAAAGGAAAATATCAGCTACAATTTCATTTCAATTAGGAACGAGCCTCTCTATTGAGGCCAGTTGTTTAATGCTGAAAGATGCTTTGTTCACATCTACCGCTCTCCATTTTCCACTTAGATCACAAGATGCAAGGTATATCTACAGTAGAACATTCTAGATTTAAATCTAGGACATAATTATGAGAAACCGCCATTTTGATGAACATAACATATGCTGCCTTTTATATCCACCAGATGGAACATCCTTACAAATAGTATATTCATTCTCACTCTGCCTGTGAAATAGAACAATCACTTGTAACCACAAAACTCAACACTCCTCTCAGAACAAGGTTCATCTCTGTAGCTACAGAAACTATTTGAGCTCACGTTGCAGCCTGAGCCAAGGCTCACAAGACCATCTGAAGCGCTTGCTTGGCTCTGGAGAAAAATCTGGGAATACTTTGTTGTGTAACGTGCCCCTTTCTTTCTCTCATACCCTCCTCTCCTCCTCATCCCCCTATCCCATCCCTCCATCCTCTCGCCTCAGCACACACAGCGCTATTTTAAGCTCTGCTGAGGCTTTGTGGCTGTGCTGTACTCTGTGTCGAAAGCCTGGGAGAATCACAGCTCCCAGCCTCCCTGCCCGGGACCCTGAAGCTGCAAGCTTTAACTTTGTTTTCACGCTAGAGGGGAAAGAGATTCGGGGCAAACGGGTCCCATTGAATACTAGATACACTACTGTACAGTGTTGACTGTACAGCCATGATACATCTAAATGGGGTTAGGGCTTCTTTACCACTAAGCGGTTTTGTCTCTTCACTACCCTCCCAATTGTGCATTTAACTAAACATATTTACATAATGGAGTAGCATTAACTAAACATGGCAACAACAACAACAACAAAAAAGGTCCTGGGGCCTGTTTAGTAGGGTGCAATGTCACTGAACATTCAAATCAAGTCATCACTATTTATTATATTTGCAACATATCTGAACATTTGACCTGTGAATACAGCCTGGTTCTACATGCTGTGATCACAGCGACAGGGCTGAAAGTCAGACTGTAAAATAAACAGGACAGGAAGTGTTTAGGTTCATCTTCAGGCCCTGTGCAGTGAGCTGGCCCACTGAGAGAGGTCAGCGCGGAGAGCAGGGAGCAGACCTGGGCTCAGGTCACCATCTCCCCTGGTGAGAGATGAAAGACAGGGTGACTCATTGAGGAGACGAGGGGTTATGGCTGCCTGGCATCTGTCTGCGATGCTGTTCCCTGAGGGGTTGGAGGCGGCTGTCATTCTGTCTTGTGGACATAATGTATGTGAATGACTTTAGAAGTCTCACACAAAACCACTGATACTGGTAACAAAAACCAAGTGACAGCGGTTGTTCTTGTTTCTCCAGATAAAACAATTATAACATGGAGCCAGTGTTTTTGTTGTGACGTAGGTGTGAGGCAGATAGAGTTAAATGGCAAAGATGTTGCTGAGACAGTTGCGCAGAAGTGTGTGTATATATGTGTGTGTGTGCATCAGACTCCACTCTAAGGAGTTTCTTAACCGCCTACATACAATACAGTCACTACGGTGATGTCAAGTCTGTATTGGAAAACAAAGCAGGAAAACAAAGACAGACAAGACATCCACAATTCAAAGACCAATCACACTGTCTCTCCCCCTGCCTGAGATAAATCATTTTGACTTCTTGGCTAACAGTCCCAATCTGGATCTAACGAATGATCTGGGTCAGGGAATATTCACCCACTGGAGGGGGGACTAACTGGAGCTAAACCCCCATATGACTCACATCATCTTCATATCACACATCTGTAGGAACTGAAAGCTGTCCATAACACAACAACAATCACAACAAACCCGACAACATGCGGCTCAATGTTAACTTTGGATCTTGATCATGTTTCCCTTGTCAGGAAAATCTTCTGGCCATACCAGTTCAACATGACATGGGGTCAGGAGTTTTTCCTGATCAGGCACACAGTCCAGAAAAACTCCTGACTCCACCAGTATTACATGACTGTGGCACTGAGTTTTCCTTGGTCAGATACAGTCAGGAAAAACTCAGGGCACTATTAATCACCCTCTCTGAGGGTCTCAGGGGGAGTTGGGATATGCAAAAAACACATTTCCATTTCACACATGCGTATAATACACACTTGTACAGGACAAATATAAGCACCAATCAAATAATTATCATCATCATCATCATCATGACAGGCAAAGAATGTCTATTTAGGCAGCAGCTGCAGCAGTAGAAGCAGTAGTGAGAGCTGTGCCCGTGGTAGGAACAGAGGGATGGAGATGGATGGAAGAATTAGTGTTAATACTGTCCAGCTCTCCCTCTTGGACACTCTGCTAGGTGTCTTAATCTCATTAGTCTGATCTAACACATCCAACTCAGAGAGGGAGCCGACACACATCGTTGTGCTTGTTCAGACATCTCTGTGATCCGTTGTCCAAGCAACCAATCCCCTGTGTCGACTGTCTGGCCAGTGAGCCCCATTTATGACATTCACTTTGCATCGCTCACTGTGGATAGAATCTTCTAGAATGCTGCTAGATACTCTGAGTGCTATCAGACAGAACTAGCCCAGGACCAGCAAGCAGAAGGCAATGTATCCGACCACTGTTGGGTCGTTTGAATGCCACCTCAAACTGTCATTTTTAAACAGTGACTCATCAGAAAAAGGTGGGAAGGAAATACAAACTTTTTCCAGACATACACTACATGGCCAAATGCTCGTTGAACATCTCATTCCAAAATCATGGGCATTAATATGGAGTTGGTCCCCCCTTTGCTGCTATAACAGCCTCCACTCTTCTGGGAAGGCTTTCCACTAGATGTTGAAACATTGCTGTGGGGACTTCCTTCCATTCAGCCACAAGAGCATTAGTGAGGTCGAGCACTGATGTTGGGCGATTAGGCCTGGCTCGCAGTTGGAGTTCCAATTCATCCCAAAGGTGTTTGATGAGGTTGAGGTGAAGGCTCTGTTCACACCGATCTCGACAAATCATTTCTGTATGGAACTCGCTTTGTGCATGGGGGCATTGTCATGCTGAAACAGGAAAGGGCCTTCCCCAAACTGTTGCCACAAAGTTGGAAGTACAGAATCATCTAGAATGTCATTGTATGCTGTAGCGTTAAGATTTCCCTTCACTGGAACTAAGGGGCCTAGCCCAAACCATGAAAAACAGCCCCAGACCATTATTCCTCCTTCACCAAACTTTACAGTTGGCACTATTGGGGCAGGTAGCATTCTCCTGCCATCTGCCAAACCCAGATTATTCCGTCGGACTGCCAGATGGTGAAGCGTGATTCATCACTCCAGAGAACGCGTTTCCACTGCTCCAGAGTCCAATGGACACGAGCTTTACACCACTCCAGCCAACACTTGGCATTGCGCATGGTGATCTTAGGCTTGTGTGCGGCTGCCCTGCCATGGAAACCCATTTCATGAAGCTCTCGACGTACAGTTCTTGTGCTGACGTTGCTTCCAGAGGCAGTTTGGAACTCGGTAGTGAGTGTTGCAACTGAGGACAGATGATTTTTACTTGCTATGCGCTTCAGCACTTGCCGGTCCCGTTCTATGAGCTTGTATGGCCTACCACTTCGTAGCTGAGCCATTGTTGCTCCTAGACGTTTCCACTTCACAATAACAGCACTTATAGTTGACCGGGGCAGCTCTAGCAGGGCAGAAATTTGACAAACTGACTTGTTGGAAAGGTGGTATACTATGAGAGTGCGACGTTGTCACTGAGCTCTTCAGTACGGGCCATTCTACTGCCAATGTTTGTCTATGGAGATTGCATGGCTGTGTGCTCGATTTTATATACCTGTCAACAACGGGTGTGGCTGAAATAGCCAAATCCACTAATTTGAAGGGCCACGTAGTATATGTTTCTTACCATGAAGCTGCTGAAATACTGGTTGATTATTGCAGTCATATCATCAATGACCTACTAAACTCAGCAAAAAAAGAAACGTCCCTTTTTCAGGACCCTGTCTTTCAAAGATAATTCGTAAAAATCCAAATAACTTCACAGATCTTCATTGTAAAGGGTTTAAACACTTTTCCCATGCTTGTTCAATGAACCATAAACAATTAATGAACATGCACCTGTGGAACGGTCGTTAAGATACTAACAGCTTACAGACGTTAGGCAATTAAGGTCACAGTTATGAAAACTTAGGACACTAAAGAGGCCTTTCTACTGACTCTGAAAAACACCAAAAGAAAGATGCCCAGGGTCCCTGCTCATCTGCGTGAACGTGGCCTTAGGCATGCTGCAAGGAGGCATGAGGACTGCAGATGTGGTCAGGGCAATAAATTGCAATGTCCGTACTGTGAGACGCCTAAGACAGCACTACAGGGAGACAGGACGGACAGCTGATCGTCCTCGCAGTGACAGACCACGTGTAACAACACCTGCACAGGATCGGTATATCCGAAAATCACACCTGCGGGACAGGTACAGGATGGCAACAACAACTGCCCAAGTTACACCAAGAACGCACAATCCCTCCATCAGTGCTCAGACTGTCCACAAGTGGCTGGACTGAGGGCTTGTAGGCCTGTTGTAAGGCAGGTCCTCACCAGACATCACCAGCAACAACGTCGCCTATGGGCACAAACCCACCGTCGCTGGACCAGACAGGACTGGCAAAAAGGGCTCTTCACTGACGAGTCGCGGTTTTGTCTCACCAGGGGTGATGGTCGGATTCGTGTTTATCGTCGAAGGAATGAGCGTTACACCGAGGCCTGTACTCTAGAGCGGGATCGATTTGGAGGTGGAGGGTCCGTCATGGTCTGGGGCGGTGTGTCACAGCATCATCGGACTGAGCTTGTTGTCATTGCAGGCATTCTCAACGCTGTACGTTACAGGGAAGACATCCTCCTCCCTCATGTGGTACCCTTCCTGCAGGCTCATTCTGACATGACCCTCCAGCATGACAATGCCACCAGCCATACTGCTCGTTCTGTGCGTGATTTCCTGCAAGATAGGAATGTCAGTGGTTCTGCCATGGCCAGCGAAGAGCCCGGATCTCAATCCCATTGAACACGTCTGGGACCTGTTGGATCGGAGGGTGAGGGCTAGGGCCATTCTGGGAACTTGCAGGTGCCTTGGTGGAAGAGTGGGGTAACATCTCACAGCAAGAACTGGCAAATCTGGTGCAGTCCATGAGTACTTAATGCAGCTGGTGACCACACCAGATACTGACTGTTACTTGTGATTTTGACCCCCCCCCCCCCTTGTTCAGGGACACATTATTCCATTTCTGTTAGTCACATATCTGTGGAACTTGTTCAGTTTATGTCTCAGTTGTTGAATCTTATGTTCATACAAATATTTACACATGTTAAGTTTGCTGAAAATAAACGCAGTTGCCAGTGAGATGACGTTTCTTTTTTTGCAGAGTTTACATTCAAACCAAGGACTTCAGCCTTGCTCTTTCTGTATTGCAGAGGGACTCTATTGTCATTCAACCTTCCCTCTGGGAATGTCATCGCACCAGATGTTGAAGTCCAAGATTACTAAACACAGCAGCACTGTGAGCACAGTTTGTCCTTACTGTATCCATGTATTGCGAAATCGTCTACTAATTCTCTACTCTTTTTCATTTTCCAACAAACAGTTTCAGCTTTTCTTCAGGTTCCTCTAACAACATGACAGGGTGCACTGCAATAAAACCCAATGTCATAAAATGTAGATACATTTCCAGATAAAAGTTGTAAATGCACTGAACGCTATGCAAAACCCTCTTCATGCACACTCAATGCCACACTTCACCATCAGAGCAGTCAAGACGACTTGTTCTGAATGTAAAACGCCTGTTTTTAATCATCTACCTACATTGCAAAAGAGACCCTACCCTGGTCTCAATGGTGACTCCCTGTTTAAATAAAAGGTAAAATAAATTAATTGAAATAACACTCACCTGAACAACCTTCAAGTACTTAGCCTCAGAATGAAACAAGCACAGTCTATAAAGAGCAGCCTAATGCAAATAGACCCATAGTAGTTCAGAAGACAATGAAAAACAAAGCGAGGATGTTTGTCTTTACCTGAGTGGATAGAGGGTGCTGCTGTCACTTTTCCTTCTCTCTCCTGTCCTCGGGGTGCTCTGCTGGGTGGTGGAAGTGTGCCTGCCTCTGTGAACGTGTGTGTGAACGCATGCGTCTCTGCCTGAGTGTTAATATGCACACGCAACAGTTCCGTCTCTAAATGCTTAACGTTTCCCTTAAGCAAGAGCGTGTGTGCCTGCACTGATCTGCAAGCAGAGTGCAGAGCTCAGCATAAAAGCGGATCTTGCTTGGCCGTGTCCTTGCTGCATGCTCGCTAGTGATTACCACTCTGTTCTACTGATGTCCCAAGGGCACGGCACGGCCGCTAGGACAGGTGTACACACACACACACACCACTACACAAACCCTCCCTTCTATACATACACAGGCATCAGCCCCACCCAATTCACTACCCCTCCCTTGTCACGCACAGCTACTGGCCAGTCACAGCAGAGGGAGGGGCTTGAGGCTTCTATAAACCATTCACCATGAATGCATGTGCCAATAAGAACACAGCACACTTGTAAATAATTGTGTAAGCATCAATACGAGTGAATGGGATAGATGCTCTTCATCAATGAATTTTGACTCCCAGTTTTGTATTTTTAGGACCAATGCCCCACTTTTTAACAGAGGCATAACTTTCCTGGTTGGAAAGATGTAATACTACACACAAAAGTAAAAAAGGGTTGCAACCTACACAAGTACAGTGAAATGCCTTTCTTGCTAGCTCCAAACCCAACAATACGGTAATCGATATTGTACTAAAGATAACATAAGGTAGAACAAAAACACACAATAAATATACAGGGTCAGTTCCAATACCATATTTACAATGTGCAGGGATACTAGAGTGATAGAGGTAGATACTGTATGTATAGGGGTAAGGTGACTATGCATCAGGATAGAAGACAAAGAGTAGCAGCAGCGTATATGATGATTGTATGCGAGTGTGTGTAGTCAGTATAAATGTGTGTGCATGTTGTGTGTGTTGGAGTGTTAGTGAGTGTGTAGAGTCCTGCGAGTGTGCATTGAGAAGGGTCAACTCAGATAGTCTGTGTACCCATTCTGTTAGCTATTTAGCAGTCTTATGGCTTGGGGATAGAAGCTGTTCAGGAGCCTGTTGGTGTCAGACTTGATGCACCGGTACTGCTTGCTGTGCGGAAGCAGAGAGAACAGTCTATGGCTTGGGTAGCTGAGTCTTTAATGATTTTCCACACCACCTGACAGAGGTCCTGGATGGCAGGGAGCTCTGCCCAGTGACATATTGGGCTGTCCGCACCACTCTCTGTAGCGCCATGCAATCGAGGGGCAGTGCTGTTGCCATACCAAGCAGTGATGCAGCCAGTCAAGATGCTCTCAATGGTGCAGAACATTTTGAGGATTTGAGGGCCTATGCCAAACCTTTTCAACTTCCTGAGGGGGAAGAGGCGCTATTGCGCCTTCTTCACAACTGTGCGTGTGTGAGTGGACCATTTTAAGTTCTTAGTGATTTGGACAGAGTAGCTCTCGACCTGCTCCACTGCAGCTCTGTCAATGCGGATGGGGCCTTACTTGGTCTTACTGACGTTGAGGAGAGGTTGTTGTCTCTGGTCCTCAGGCTAGTCAGCTGGTAGAGCACGGCGCTTGTCACGCAAGGGGTAGTGGGCGATCCCGGGACCACCAATACACAAAACATGTATGCAAGCATGACTGTAAGTCGCTTGGAGTAAAAGCACTGCTAAATGGCATATTATTTATATTATTATTATTATTATTATGCATATCTGACCTCCTGTAGGCTGTTCATCATCAACGTGATCAGGCCTACCACGTCGTGCGTCAGCAAACTTGATGGTGTTGGAGTCGTGTGTGAACAGGGAGTACAGGAGGGGATTAAGCGCACAGCCTGTGGGGCCCCCCGTGTTAAGGGTAAGCGTGGCGGAGGTGATGTTGCCTACCCTCACCACCTGGGGTCATTGACATTCAGGACATTGACCGACAGTGGCAGAAGACTGGTAGAAGCTGTGAAGGCGAAGTAAGTACACTGACAGCTGAATGAATGGGAGATCTTTTGTTTTTCTCCTCATTCTTCACCATGGATAGAAAAATAGACACTTGAGTCTCCAATTTCTGCTGGCAGGCTTCAGTGGCCTGAAAGAGAGCGAGAGAGAGACACTTCACTCGCCGCACACAGCTTTGATAGGATGCTATTCACTTTTCTTGGCACACTGAACTATGTATTCAACACTATACTTGACACTGAGGCCGGGTTTCAACCAACACAGATTTAAGACCAGGGCACTGTGATTGAATTTTACAGAGTGTTACGCACCCCGTGGCTTTAAAAGTCTAGGGTGGATGGAAAAGAGGCCCGTAACATAACTCATGCAAATTAGGCTATTGCCAAGGAACATTGAGAACAAAATACGGCAACAACCAAATGCTACCGTCAAACACAAAATGTTTATTATAAAACACACGCTAAATGGTTTGGGGAAAAGGGGCTGAGCTGGACCCAAGAAATGAAACAAAGTCAAAAACCCCTAAACTGATCTTACCTACCTCAAGACCTACTAATCGTACTGCTAACCATACAAAAATACAATGGGTGGTCCACTCAGGTCTAACTAGTGTGTTTAGACAAGGTTTTCCTACGGGTAGTGTATGCCCAAGGGCGACTTGCTAAATCCCCCTTTTCCCAGGCACAAACAAACAATATAGGTACCATACGGACTAAACCGTTAACGAGTGAGTACACAAAAACAAGACACCACCGTATACATACTCACAAACAAAAAGAGTCTCTGTCAGCAAACACAACTGACTAGCTTTTAACACAAGGGGATGATTGGGTAAGAAAACAGAAACAGGTGGTGCAATCAGGAGAAATGTCCACTGATTGGTCCACCTCAGCAATCAGCAGATTAACTGATGACTGACAGGTGGGACACCCCAACGACCTCCAATCAGGAACACAAAGGACACCTGTGATTAGAGCAGAAGGAGAGGAAAAACACAAACACACATACAGGATAACTGTATCCATAACACAGAGGATTCATGCTTGAGCCTTCATCCATGGTGTTTACAGCCAATGTGATCTCTACAAACATCAGGGAAATTATCTTTAAAAGTAAAGCGTAATGGACAGGTTTTCACTTGTCACTAGGCCTTTTCATACTGCATTGTTCTTAGCCTCAGATTATCCTTAGCCCTAGGCTAAAACTGGGTCTAGGCTAGCTTCGCCTGTGTTCACACAAACAGGGCTAACTGAAACCAACTGTCACTTTTCTGGAGTAGAATATTAATAATGAGGTAACAATGGAACTCTGTGATTGGCTAGCCCCGTAAAAGTCGTAATCTGTGTTGGTTTCAGTTCCGGTCTGTGTGTGTGTGTAGACCAGTGGTTTCAACCTGTGGTCTGCGGTGCAGGTGGTCTGCGAAATGTATTTTAGATGAAGAACTTTTGATTTGGTGATTTGGTGATCTCCAGAATGGAAACATTTGGGAAACGCTGGTGTAGACTTCATCTGACCTGGAGGGAGTCTGAGGTCGCCAAGATCCATCTTCATCACCCTCCTCATCTGTCTGCTCCTGGGTAGAGTGACGGCTGCTGTAGGCCACATGCTCCTCCAGGGCATCCAGCCATCTCTGTAAACACACACGCACAAATAAAAACACACCACAGAACTAGGGCTATGTGTTGTAAACTATGAAGTACGGTGTACCAAACCACATATAATCTATACTAGGAGAACGTGACTTTTCTTATAGCCTCTGGATCTGTCTTGGATGACACCTTAAAGTGATGGAGACTGATCAAAGCACTGGAGGCTGAAGAAAAACTAGTCCCATGCTTGAACCTGGAGAGATCCATGAATGACATAAAATCTAAATGAGTGACATAAATAATAACAATAGACATTACATATATGACCATAGGTTTTTCTAATGTCAACATAATGTGACAAATATGCATTGCAAGAATAGAGGAGGGTAGGCCTATACATAACAGTGAAAGGTTAACTAACTGTCTGTTGTGCTGTCCAAATCTTAATGTGTGGTAGAGCATGGAGAACACAGTGCCCTGGTGCCTACCTACCCTGCAGTGAGCTTTCATCAGAGCCTTAGAGCCTTGCTTCCGGACACCAGCCACTGCATCAGCTCTGGAAACAAACACACAGACAGACACAAACACACAGACAGATGAAGATATCCCTGCACTACCTCAGGCTCTTCAGGGGATAAGAGGAGGAGCAAGTTGCTGTGCTGTGTATCCAATAGGGAGAGGGGGAGGAAGGGTGGACGTAGCATAAAGACTCACTGTCTAGGATACTAGGATAGATCCCCGTTTTGAATGACCACCAAATAGGAATTGCCATCCCAGAAAACGGGAACTCTGTGAGGGTCAAACGCAGCATCACTACATTACAATGTCCGTTTTCAGAAGTTTCAGTAACACTAAACACCAGTTCCCTAATATACTAATTATATAGTAAGTATAAAATAATTCCATTCTGTTCAAGATTGTACAGTATATTTCAAAATACATTAATATTTGCTTAGAATAAAACATTAAAACACACAAATACCTTCCATAGTATGCCTTCAAACTTTGGCACAACAAGTCATATCCTTTAGGGGAAGAAAAAAAAAAAGAGTTCATGTTTCAGTAGATTCACAGAATCAGCAGCTTTTTGCTCCAATGTTCTTCTCGTACCTCACCTTGTCATGACTGCCCACCAGAATCTGCTTAATCTCCTCACTGCAGGCCAGGTCAAAAACAGTTTGGTCTAAAACAGAACATAGCCATTTATCAATCAGTTATTAATGACCTCCTGCTAGCTGACAGGGAGGTAAGCAGTGAATACACCACATACTCTGCATCCCAAATGGCACCCTATTCTAGTGCACTACATTTGACCAGGGAGAATAGGGCTCTGGTAAAAAAAAAGTAGTGCACTATGTAGGGAACAGGGTGTCATTTGGGACTCGATCATAGACACCAACTAAGTAGATTTTGTTTTGTAAATGTTAGGCTAAATCTATACCTCTGTTTTACACATTATGAAATGCAAGTGACTTGAAACTGCATCCAGGCTCTTCGTAAAGTAATATCCATGCAAACATGCAAGTCACAAGCCTATTTAATATTTATTAAAAAGGTGTATCATGGTTATAAAAATAATGTGCTTCATTTCCTCAGTGGACATATCAGTTGCTACATAGCGCTAGTTCTTGATCCTGGGGCTGGCTCGACTTGAGCATCTTTCCGACACGCTGCTTCTGCCCCCTGTAGGCAGCACAGTGTAATGGCGTGTTCCCCTGCCGGTCTCTACAGTGGATGTCTGGAGGCCGCTTCTTGCTGAGCTGAGAAAGGTAAGACAACAAAAGTGAATGAATGAATTACGCACATGGTGTCTATACATTCACTTAACATGCATGACACATGTAAGTTAACTCCGCATGCAAGCAATTGATAAATGTGCAAACTAAATTTGTATAGAACCAAACAAGTTTTTGTGGCAGAATCTTGCATCCTCTATGGAAGGACTAGGTTGACCTCTTCAATTGCAAAGTCATTAACCAAGCTGATGACAATGTAAGATGAAATGTAACATGACATACAGTGTTAATCATCAAGAAGAACATTTGGGCTGTCAGCCCAAACCCAGGCTACTACTCTACTCCACCCTGAGGTTGAGAGGTTCAGTGGAGGGTCAGGGATGATCAGATGCTGAACAGCTGAGACAGGCTGAAGATGTATCCCTCTCTGTCCGCCTCCAGAAGCTTCTCCTCCTGCCTCCTCTCCGCGCTTATCTCTGCAGCTGTGTACAAATTATATAGGGTTTGTAAACTAGGGTTGGGTTCAGTAGGGCAAACTGTAGCAAAATGTTATGCAAGGGGAAAGGAAAATATGTGTTCTTATTGGACAAGTTCAGATAGTATCTCCCCATTTCATTCTGTTTAAAATATCACTCGACCCACTGAAAATGTGTGTTCTTATTGGACAAGTTCAGGAAATACCATGCCATTTCAAAACGTTTTCCACCTACTGAACACAACCCAGTGCAGGGACGAAGAGAGACCATCAATGACACAACCTACCCTCCAGCATGGTGATGGTCTCATCATCCTCATAGACAGATTTAGGGACCTGGGCTGTCCCGTTGATGATAGCGGCACAGGCATCGTATCGCAACAGCAACAGAACTACACTACTAAGTAGCTGTGCATACAACAACACCTGAACACATGATCTTGTACACACATGTGAAAGTACTGGAAAAAGCATATGGCATGATGAAATGTTTACCTTTCTTCCTGTGAAGGCAGCTTTGTGTAGAGGCTTGTCCCCCATGTTATTCTGCAAATTCACATCAGCACCATCCTAACAACACACACGAGGCTTAAACATGAATTTGAATACAACCAAGTACTGTATAGGTAAAGTGATGTGTAATACATCAATAATTGATAAGTAAGTCTGTATTCTCACCTTGAGTAACACCTCCACAACATCTTTGTGTCCAAAGTAGCAGGCCAGATGTAGAGGTATCCAACCTGCACTGGCCTTGGTCTTACCTGGAGGACATCACATCAGTTTGATTTCAAGAACATGCTGGCTACTCAACATAAAATGTATATATATATTTTTTATAATCACATACACCTGATAGGTGCAGTGAAATGTGTTGTTTTACAGGGTCAGCCATAGTAGTAAGGTGCCCCTTGAGCAAATTATTGTTAAGTGCCTTGCTCAAGGACACATCAACACGTTTTTTACCTTGATGGCTCAGGTATTCGAACCAGCGACCTTTCAGTTAGTTACTGCCCCAAACGCTCTAACCACTAGGCTACCTGACGCCCAATATACATTAGAATACATTGAGGTAAAGGGTACCTCTGCAATTGATGTTGAGTCTGAGATCTTGCTCAAGCCTGAGCTGCAGAAGCCACTGGATAAGAGACAGGCTTCTTATCTCGGAATAGTGGAGTAAATGCTCCTCAGGGTCTGACAGGTCCATCACTGAAACTCACTATAATAAAACAACAATAAATGGCTCAATAATTGATGTAGCCTATCTGGCATTACAGACTGATACTTACTAAATCTGCAACAACGTCACAATTTGTGCTGTGACTTACATCATGAAAATAAATACACGTCTGGGTGCATGTTCACTCACCTCACCCGAGCCAACTCTTATTGGTAGATTCCATGCGCAACAGGTGCTTAAAACAACATTCAGCTTTGATATCCGGGACATTTGTCCATGTTCCGGCGCTTGAAATCAATATTTGGTGGTTGTAATAGTAGCCTACAGAAAAGTAACGTTTTTGAGGAGTGTGTGGTCGGCTACGCTAGACTGTTTTGCTTCTAAACATTCGTTATTAACTTAATTTCAATAGTGAGCAGGACATATATTCTAACTTACATACGTTTCGCAGTAAACAACATCCACTATAGAAAAAGTTATGTTGACAATTGATAGCGCATATAGTGAAATTGGATATGGATGTCAGCTGACAAGGACTGGAACGTGGAACTTGTGGACGCACGTGACCAATTTAAAGCCCTCAACGTTTCAGCATCAATGTAAGAAACACGTTCTTTGCTTGAAAATATGTTTAAACAAAGATTATCTATATTTCAAAATCACAGAGAATGAAGAAAAGTGATTTAATAGAACAGGCTGTCACGCATTTGAGCAAGTGTTGTTCTCCAATTGTACGCTAGATGGAACTATTGCAATGAACCCCATCCTATGTGCGGTTTCATTAGGCAATAGACAAAGTGTACACTTGGTCAATGAAAGATCAGCCACAAGCTTCCTAGATTGTCTTAAGGTAAACAATTATTGTAAGTCATTATTTGTGTGTGGTCATTCTATCATTTTTACCCCCACACTAAAACACAAGCCTACCTGGGGGAAAAAAAGAGTAAAGATATGCCAACTCTTGTCCACTCTCCTGGGGCCTCATTTATCACAGGTGCCTGCGCACAAAAAAGACTAAAGCTTGCATGCACCAATAAGTTTTCCCACAAAGGTTGTCAGGTAGCTTAGTGGTTAAGAGCGTTGTGCCAGTAACCGAAAGGTCGCTGGTTCTAATCCTCGAGCCGACTAGGTGAAAATTCTGTCGATGTGCCCTTGAGCAAGGCACTTAACCCTAATTGCTCCTGTAAGTCGCTCTGGATAAGAGCGTCTGCTAAATGACTTATCTCTAAAATTTACGAAGAGGAAGCCTGACATTGCACTCCCTCATTTTGTCTTTTACAATAGAGTACCACAGTATGAACCTCGCGGTCAAACAGGGAAATGGTTCCAATCGTTTTGCCACCATTCATTTTTCCTATAGGGGAAAATGAAATGCTAATTAGCTGCTAATGTGGTTATCATAAAGAACTACAAATGCCATGATGATCTGGACGAGCCTGCCAAATCGAGGCAAAGGTAAGAATCTCTGGATTAACTATCTAATGTTAGCTAAATGTAGTAATAAATAAATTGGCAACATTTCTTTAAATTGACAATTCTGTGAACTGTTAGCAAAGGTGTCAGCTAGAGATGAGGTGCGGGAGCTTGCAGGGATTTATAGTTTTGCATGACGTCTATTTTGATACTAATTAGCATTTTCGAATCTGAGAGTAAATACAGGCAAATATATTGATAAAAGTCACCTTGTCCGAGAGAGATTTACATGGTTATCAAAACATCACGCCAGGGTAAGCCTACACGAAATACAGACCTTATTTTAAGTGTTTCTAAAATCCCCTAAGGGAAAAATGAATGGTGGAAAAACGATTGGAAGCATTTTCCTGTGTGCCCGCTACGTTTTATGGGTATTATGACACCTCCACTGTGGGGCTCTATAGAAGTCAATGAACTAAGTAGACTAGACCCATCTGTTATCATATTGGTGTCTATGGGAGCAACGTGGTCTTTGTATGTAAAGCTGAGACACTCTATGGTATGTATTCATTTGTGGATGTCCATCATCCATTTCGTATAATATGTTACGAATTACAATTCGTATGATATGTAACAAATTGCAATTGGTGCAATATGTTACCAATTGCAATTTGTACAATATGTTACAAATTTGTCAAACATACAATATGTAAAAAAAATTGCTAAACATATGATATGTTACAAATGCCAATTATTTTGTGGCTAATGTTAACTAGGTGGCTAATGCTAATGTTAGCTAGCTGGCTAACGTTAGGTTAAAGGGTTAATGTTAGGGGAAGGGTTAGCTAAAAGGGTTACGGTTAGGGTTATCTAACATGCAAAATAATTGCAAAGTAGCTAAAAAGTAGTAAGTAGTTGCAAAGTTGCTTATTGGCTAAAGTTGTCCTTGATGAGATTAGTTTGCGTATACGCGCACTCACCGACCCCGAGCAACCACCCACCCTCTTGCCTTAAAGGTGCAATATGCAGAAATCGCTCTGCCATTTCCTGGTTGCTAAAATTCTAATAGTTTGGCTAATTTCAGTTTATGTGACAAAACAAGGAATGCATAATGTAGAGAATCATTTTACCATCTAAACTGCTGTGAAATATCTTTTCAATAACCAAATATGTTGTATTTTCCGCTGTTTGAAGTTAAGAACAGGAATTTAAGAAAGGGAAGCATAGAATTAGAGCACATAGAACAGAGCTACGCTTCTTAGATTTGCTTTCAATGAGAATGACAGATCTATAACTCACATTTCTATGTGAATTGGGTCAGTCGCCCAAAAAGTTAGATATTGCAGCTTTAAGTAACCTTCTATCTTATGTAACATATCATACTAATTTGAGTTTCCCGGATTTACATTTACTATGTTACATCTAGTCTATGAGATCAGTCTGATGGGAGAGCCACCCCCTTAAGTAGACATGAACTGACCATATTTTTCAATGGTACACGGCCTAAGTGAACTACTGTATCTTTTTTTATCCATATTTATCCATTTTGAACTTGACGGGAAAGTATGCGTATTTCCACGCAAATCTCAGACCATGCATAAGCACAACTTCTAGTGGTTGATCAATTGTATTGCAAGCAAATATTGTTATTTTGAGGGAAATGGAGGAGTTTGATGTAAAGGAATTAGAATAATGGTAGGCTAATAACTTTATAACGTAGGCCTAAAAATAAAACCGATTAATTTGCCATTTGCAAGGAGATTGCTTGACAGCATGTAGCCTAATGTGTTTATTTGACTGATATTGGCCTAAATCATAATCATATTGCAGGATAAGTCTCTCCTTTTCTGACATGACTGGTTTATTCCCGTTACACAACATTTATAGCCTACCATTTATCCATCACTCATTTAATAGCCAAACATGCTCAAAAGTAAATGGACAAATTAAAATATTTGACAGTATGCGTATAGGCTACAGTATTGCTTTGCCATAGGAGCGCAACATCATAGCCTATTTAAAGTCAGAGCCTATACCAAGGCAGGAGATAGAAACACATAATCTAAAGCTAGAGGACTCCTGATATATCCAGTAGTGTTAAGTATAAGTTTTGTCTTAATTTATTGTTGTCTAGTACTGTCTTTTTGTTAGCTAGGGCCATCTACTTTAAGTGCTGCCTGTCTTCCCATTGGCCTGCTTGCTGTGTGAACTACTGACTGCTCATAACTTGCACATGGTTCAAGGAAGGCTCCACAGCACTCTCTCACTTGAGTATCTTACCTAGTTATCTTCAGATGATCTCATTTTGCTCTTTTGTAACTTTGGCAACTATGTGTGTGTTTTCTATACCTGTTCGCTCCTCTCCCTGTAGGCTTTACTGATGCTCCCCACCTCTTGGCTGCAACCCTTTTAATGTAGTGTACCCTGCATGCCCCACCCATGTGAAATTCCTGTTCTATGGCAACGTTTGGAACTGCCGATCTGCAGTCAAGAACTCCGAGTTCATCTCAGCCTATGCTGCCCTTCAGTCCCTTGAATTTTTGGCCATGATGGAGACATGGATCACCCCAGAGAACACTGCTATTCCAGCAGCTCTCTCGTCATCTGACTACATTTTCTCTCATAGTCCGAGAGCATCTGGTCGTCGCAGTGGTGGCACAGGGCTACTCATCTCCTAAGTGGAGATGTTCTATTTTCTCCCTCACTCACCTGTCAACTCATTTGAATTCCATGCTGTCACTTGTCCACTCAAGTTTAACATTGTTGTCATCTATCGCCCAACAGGTGCCCTTAGAAAGTTCCTCAATGAGTTTGACACCTTGATAAGATCATTTCCTGATGATGGCTCACCGCTCTTCTTAGTGACTTCAACCTCCCGACATCTACCTTCGATTAATTTCTTTCCAACTCTTTCCCTCCCCTTCTTGCCTCTTTTGACCTCACCCTTTTCCAGTCCCCTCCCACTCACAAGGCAGGCAATACTCTTGACCTCATCATTACTAGAGGCTGTTAGCATACTGATCTGCTTGCAACCCCCCTTCAGGTCTCTGATCACTACTTTTTTTTTTCTGTCTCTCTCTCTTCCAACGCTACCCACTCAGTCCCTACCCAGATGGCCATGCGCCATCGCAATCTTCGCTCTCTCTCTCCCACTACTCTCTCCTCTTCT